TCTGTTGTCGTAAATTCAGATGTATGTCCTCTATCTAAAACTCCCGACTTATCTATTATTCCACACGTACAAGTATTAAGTACCGAGAATTCTATTTTTGCTTTTTTTTAGTGTTGTCACTTGACCAGGTAAACAGTGGAATAAGCTGCATTTCCTTCGTTAATTAATCTGACTAGTCTGTAGTTGGTACTTGAACCTTTGAGAGGGAGCCTGCGGATTTAGGATGGTACTTACTTGAAATCTCAACCAATTATTGTTTTAGCATCCAGAAACAAATTTATAATTTTAAGCAGCCAGGCAGGGAAGATGAGGTCAACAAATTCAGCTTTGAAAAGTGGGTGAATTGTAACCACAGACATGGCCAGAAAAAATATTCAATCACTTTTGGCCTTTTGTGTTGTGGAAGCTGTCCTTTGTCTTGCACTTAATAATGAACGGAGCAGTTATCGCAATTGACCTTTCCCACTGCATCTGCAGAATGGTCTGAGCCACACGCAGAATCATACAATCGTGGAATCTTACTGCACAGAAGGAGGCCATTCAGCCCACTGTGGTTAGCTCCCTCCGTTAGACCAGGCATACTTCTGCTCCATGTACATTGCTACCCTCTTATAATGCAACTTCTCATACAATCATAGAATCATGGAATCTCACAGCAGAGAAGGAAGCCATTTGGCCCCTCGTGCCTGTGCCAGCTCTTTGAAAGCGCTATCCAACTTGTCGCACTCCCCAGCTCTTAGCCCATGGCCCTGCAAAATGTTCCTTTTCAAGTACCTATCCAATTCCCTTTTGATTCCTACTATCGAATTCAAGATCCTCATCCTCACCTACAAGGCCATTCACGGCCTTGCTCCCTCCTACCTCTCTGACCTACTATCCCCCTACTTACCTGCCCGTACCCTCCGTTCCTCTGGCTCCGGTCTGCTCCACATCCCCCGCCCCAACCGCCCTACCATCGGTGGCCTTCAGCCTCTCAGCCCCGAGACTCTGGAACTCCATCCCCCAGTGCCTTCGCCGCTTCCTCCCTTTCCTCCTTCAAGGCCGGTCTCAAGACCTTTCTCTTTGACCGTGCCTTCAGCTCCCCTCTCGGCTCTCTACCCTCTCCTCGCTCCCTCCCTTCCCTCCCCCCACCCTGGCCATTTCCCCCCTCCTCGCTCCCTCCCTTCCCTCCCCTCACCCTGACCATTTCCCCCCACTGCTCGGGTCCTGACCCAACTGTACAGCGCCTTGGGACGTCCTCCCGACGTGAAAGGCGCTCTATAAAAGGAATCTTGTTGTTGTTGTTGTTGAATCTGCTTTCACCACTTTTTCAAGCTGTGAGTTCTAGTTTGTAACAGCATAGGAACAGAAGTCTTTCAGGAGAGAAAGCAGTATGCAATGCAACCTTCTCAAGACTTTATTGTCCCATAGAAAATGGTCTTTCAGTAGATCTCCTCTGCTGTTTTTAGTAAATGAAGAATGTATAACTGGTGGGGGTGGGGGTGTGGGGGAGGATTGAAGTGACAAGTTGTCAGGTTTACTTTCTACATAACTAACTCTAGCATAATGTAGATCCTTTATTCAACCTTGAGTCTTTCACATTGAATTATATGCAGTCATATTGGATTACTGTAGAATATCTGAAACACCAATTAAGCAAAGTGTTATGCAGCAAATCCGACACAAGGTAGACAATCTGCATATTGTACATTTTAGGAGTGTCCTGCAAGCTACATTTGGAGAAAAGTTCAATCGCTTGTGTTCCATTGTACTAGCCAGCAATGTAAACCTGCTGTGATTTGTACAACTGTAGCATTGTAAAATCCACTACATTCCAATCTTTGATGCAATATCATTAACCATGTTTTTTTTTAAACAGCAACAATAATTGTGTTGGAATGATTATGCAGTATAATTAAGTGGAATACCAATAAATTCAACCTAAATCGAAATTTTACACTTTTTCTCTTTTATTTTATGAAACCAATCTGCTTATGGTCCCCACATTACATTGAAGGTAACTTTAGGTGATAGTCTCAGATCTTAATATTTGGATATTTTCTCTGCATTTATGAGTTTTTTTATACTAATTCAATAACATGTATGTGAATGGCTTGATATTATAATTATAATCCTTGCATTTGATATAGCGTCTGTCATTGAGACGTCTCAAAGCGTATACTGAAAAGTGAATAGACTGTATATTTTTGTAGTAGAATAGTTTGGTAAGTAAGCATTGTTTATGTGTCATTACTTTTATACTAACTTCTGTTTTTGAACTTGTTTAATTATTTATGCAAACTGACACGTGAAGGGGTTCTGCAAGTCAAAGCTATCCTTGGGCATATTGTAGTTCTTGTTTGTGGATTGTAAATTTAGCTTCATTGGTTTTAATGCTGTTATACTTCAGATTATTGATCACTGTAGGCTGAATGATATCCAACTGGATCCAACTTGTCATTGTGTCATGGAAGATAAATGAAGAGTTTTGAGTGAACGTATTCTCCTCCTTCCAGGCGATATTTAAAATGAAGGAAGTGAGTTTAAGATTGATACTGCCATGTGCGTATCTATCCTAGGTTATTCTTCAATCTTCTTTGTTTGCTTGGTGGGAACTTGTCTCTTTGCTTTTCTCAACAATGAAAACATTGAATAGTAGTAATAATTCTTACACAAACAATTGTATCCCACAAACAGTTTTGGGATGAATCTAGCAATTTTCTTTGTTATACAAATGTAATCTTGTTGTTGTTTTGATTTTGAGTTGGTGCAGGATCAAGAAATGGCATTTTACTTAAAAGCTGTTGTTGTTGGAATTTACAATCCTAAGCAGTGAGTTAACGATAAGAGAAATCTGACTGCAATTTTCACCATTTCAGCCAGAAGTGTGATTTGTGGCTGTCTCAACCGCATTATTAAAGATTGTATGTGTGTGGAGATTTCCATGTTTCAAAATTAACAAGCGTTACAAAAGTGCGTGAGACAGGGCTGTTAATAAAAGGGTCATGAATTCCACATTGCCTTTTGTATTGCGACAAGCTACACAAAACATAATCACTTAAAAATAAAGGATAATTCAAGCAGAAAGATCTTCTTTCTGGCTTCTTAGATAATTAATTGAGTTGAAGGATATTCGCTCTTGATTCTCTGGGAATCTTTATGATTCTGTGTCACATTCAGAGCCATTCGGTGTTTTATCATTGCGTTGATGTACTGGAAATCATTTCAAAATATTGTATTTAGGAGATCTTTGTTAACACCGTAAAATTTAACTGAGGGAAATATTAAGAGAAACCAGGAACTAGATGAGTGTGTGTATTAATGAAGCCAAGAGTTTCTTGGTGAAAGGTTACAGCTGCAGTCTCAATCCCTTTTGAGTTTCATTATCCTTTGGCTTGCATGCAACACATTTGTATTGCAATTGCCTTGAAGTGGTGCTTGCCGGTTAGTGTTTAGAAAAGTCAAAGTAGTTACAATTTAGAAATTAATTTCTGCGAGATTAGACAAGAGTTGGTCAGGTCCCTGAAGCTTTATTTTCATCTGAAGGTAAAAAAAAACCGAGCGAGTGTCAGATAACTGCAATTAATAAACCCGATAGGTTCGAAACATTTCAAAATGCTTCACAGGTAATTGCTGTCAAGTGCAGGTAAATGGAGCAGCCAATGTATGTAAAACAAGGCAGGATACACAAAAACTCACGAAACGAATGGTCAAAATATCTCCGGAATTATTGGCCTTGGCCAGAGGATGCAGAGACAAGCTCCTTCCTCTTTTGAAGATTTACAGGATCTTTGACAGCCATATGAACAGGCACACGGGACTCCCAATTTGTTTCATCCCAAGGGCGCTTCATACTCCTGACTATCCAGCGTTCAAACCCACCCCCCCCCCCAAAACCGCTCCCCCCACCCAGTACCCCCAGCACTGCACTGGAGTGCCAGGGCTGGACTGTGAGCTTGAGTGCTGATGTGTGACCCACACCTATAAAAAATATCCATCCTGGAGACACAACTGGTAAGCCAAGATACCATCTCAATGCCAACTCCACCCCCACCACCTCACCCTTTTTCCTCCCCCCTTTTTCCTCACCCCCACCACCTCCCCCCTTTTTCCTCCCTCCCCCACCACCTCCCCCCCTTTTTCCCCTCCCCCCAGAGACGACAACGACAACAACAAGATTGCATTTACGGAGCGCCTTTCGCGTCGGGGGGACGTCCCGAGGCGCTGGACAGTCGGGTCGGGGCCCGAGCAGTGGTGGTGGGTGGAGGGGGGGGGGGGACGGTCAGGGTGAGGGGAGGCGAGGGAGCGAGGAGGGGGGGAGACGGTCAGGGTGAGGGGGGAGACGGTCAGGGTGAGTGGAGGCGAGGGCGCGAGGAGGGGGGAGATGGTCAGGGTGAGGGGAGGCGAGGGAGCGAGGAGGGGGGAGATGGTCAGGGTGAGGGGGGGAGACGGTCAGGGTGAGGGGAGGCGAGGGAGCGAGGAGGGGGGGAGACGGTCAGGGTGAGGGGGGAGATGGTCAGGGTGAGGGGAGGGAGGGGGCGAGGAGGGGGGAGATGGTCAGGGTGAGTGGAGGCGAGGGAGCGAGGAGGGGGGAGATGGTCAGGGTGAGGGGAGGCGAGAGAGTGAGGAGGGGGGAGACGGTCAGGGTGAGGGGAGGCGAGGGAGCGAGGAGGGGGGAGATGGTCAGGGTGAGGGGAGGGAGGGGGCGAGGAGGGGGGAGACGGTCAGGGTGAGGGGGGAGATGGTCAGGGTGAGGGGAGGGGAGGGAGCGAGGAGGGGGGAGACGGTCAGGGTGAGGGGAGGGGAGGGAGGAGGGAGGAGGGGGGGGGGTGGGGGGGGGCTGAAGGCACAACCTGACCCACCAAACAGCTGAGGGACACCACCTGTTGCCAAGTCTGGGCCACCAAGGCGCTGCGCGCGCACCCTGCCCGCCGGAGCTCGCGCCTGCGCACACTCGGCTTCCCCTCCCCCCCCACAGCAGCAGCGCGGCGGCGGGCTGGCGCATGCGCGGAGGCCGCCCTCGCCGAGGAGAAGGCTGCTCGCTCGCCCGTTGGTCGCCATCTTGTGCTGCTGCCTTCCTATTCGCCGCCGGGCCATTGTGTTGAATACCGGAGCCAATCAAGAGGGGCAAAAGCGCGGGGTAAGTCCGGCAAATTACCGCCAGCCGGAGAGCGGGGAGCCGGTCAGCGGCCGGGGGGAGTGAGCGGGAGAGGGGAGCGGGGCCCGGGGATAGCGAGGCGTTTGTGAGGGGAGAGGGGCTTGAGGGGGGGAGAGCGGCCGTGCGGCGGCTCCTCTTGAGGGGAAGTAATAAAAAGGTCGACGCTCACCATTGACAGCCCTGGGCCGTCCGTCTCGTCGCCTTCTTCCCTTCCTCGCCTCGCCTCACCCGCCACACCGCGCGCACACGCCCTCGCCCTCCCGAGGGTCCCCCCCCCCTCCTGCTCTGGGTCTACGCGGTCCGCGCATGGCGGCGCGAAGGCGCGAGCGGGCGACCCGGATCCCCTGGGCGGGAAATGGCGCCCGGCGGCCGGTTTGGCGCTGAGGCGATATATGTGTGTGTGTGTGAGTGTAGTGAGGTGGGTGTGTGGGTGTAGGGCGGGTAATCTGAACTGAAACAACCAGAGGAGTTTTTTTTAAAAAAATATATATAAATCTATAGTAATAAAATCTATATGATGATAAAATGGCTCAGGAATGCATCCCTCCTCCTCCTCACTCACTCACTCACTCACTCCAGTGTAAAGTGGGGGGTTGGAGCCAGGTTTGGGTGTGTGTGGCGGGGATCGAGGTGTACAGGGAACTAACCGCGTGATTAAAAGTGTGTGATATATATATATATGTGTGTGTGTGTGTGTGTATATATAATAAATGGCACAGAAAGGTTCCCCTCCTCACTCCCTCGCTCCCTCACTCCGGTGTAAAGTGGGGTTTGAGCCCGGTTTTGGCGGGGCGTCTCTGGCAAAGTGTTTGCCGAAATGGCGGGGAGCGGAGTGTGCAGAGAGACATGTGATTTTTTAAAAAAAAACAAAAACCCTATGTAGACATTATATACACACGTGTGTGTGTGTGTGTATATATATAAAATAAATTGCAATGGAATTTCCCCCCTTCTCCTCAACTTAAAGAGTACAAGTGGTGTTGGTGCCAGGTTTGTGTGTGTGTATTGTATTGTGTGTGTGTGTGTGTGTGGAAATGGCGGGGGGCGAGCAGGGAAGGAGGGAATGGTGTGACAGGAGCTCGGACGGTCATCGTTGTGATGGTTCCCAGCGTTGAAATGGGAAGGGGAGACTCGAGACTCCCAGCGTGTGTGTGTGTGTGTGGGGGGGGGGGGGGGGGCTGGGAATTCTGATATTAAAAGGATCTGTAACTCCTACCACCCCCCAGTCACACACACACACAGATAGACAGACAGACACTCCTCTCTCTCTCACACACACACACACACACACACTAAATATACTGTTTCCAAGAGGCAGCGATCACTCCCGACCTCCCCTCAGCGCTCAAGTTTCTCCCCCCTCTCTTTTTTCAAACTGACGTTGAGGTGAGAGGGAAGGGGGAAGGGGGGGGGGGGGAGGATTCAGCACCTTTTCAGCAAATCGATCCGATCAATTTTCAACGCGGGGATCATCCCTCTGTTGCGATGAATCGCGTGGGATTTTTGTTTTTTTTTATTTAAAAAAAGAAGAGACCGGGAGTGAAAACTTATTGGTGGGTCCGTCTTTGAAACGAGGGCGGGATTCCGGGTTGTGAGGGTGTGGGGGTTGGGGGAGGGGTTCCCTCTGCCATTGGTGTTTGTAAGCCAAGGGACGTAACTTTCTTGTAATGTGCTTCTGGGTAAGGTATTAATTCTCCCGATAATACGGCAGCATTTGTAATTTACAGTCTCAGGTTTTCTCTTTAACTCCCGACTGTGGAGTCCTGTGGCTCAGTGGTTGGAGCACTCGCTTTGCAAAGCGAGAGACCTGAGTTCAATCCCCGGCAGGTGAGGGCCAAACCTTGGGCAGGTTTCCTTACTCCACACAGAGCCTAATAATATTCCCTCCAAAACCCCAAAACAATAATAAATTGGTCATTTTCAATCCACGACTGTTTGTGGGACATCGCTGTGCGCAATTGGCTGCCGCGTTCGCCCACAAATATACAGTCAATTCACTTTACTGTGAAGCGCTTTGGGACGTCCTCTCGACGTGAAAAGCGCTATATCAAATGCAAGGATTATTATTATAACTCACCTTATCCCCACACACACGGTAACGGTGACTTTGTGTGGTGCTGCTGTAAACATCTTCGTTAGAAGGGCTTCTGTTCAATTAAAAGAAAACGCATTATTATTACTACAGTTGGCCATTAAAAAAAAAGCACGGGTGTCGACATTTTTGAAACAAAAAAAACCACTGCTTTTGGGGTTTATTTTAATTCCCGTCATATAAACCGAACCGATCGCGTGGATTACAATTTACTGCACGGGTTGGTTCTTCTGTCTGTGTTGTGATAAAAATGTTCTTTCCGAGGGCGAGATCTCAGTTTGATTGATCTCCGCTGGTGTTTGCAATTTTTAAAATCAAACCAGTATCAAACCAGTTCATCTTGCTCAGGCATTTTATACCAATCGTAAGATCGAAATAACGTGTTGTGATAATGAGGTGCTGTCATTGTGATACGAGTGGCGTTTACACATAATTGTAATTATTTCCCCTTCAAAAAAGATATATTTAGTTAGCTGCGGAATCGTTATGTAGGTGGCGGTCGTACCCCAAAATTACCTTAGGTGGGGGGTTAAGAGTGTTCTGAGGTTTCGAACAGAGTAGTGTCAATTATTTTCTGTGGGTGAGTTAGTGGATGTGATTTGTGAGGTGGCTTTATCGATTCAGAAATCTCAAGCTTTATAGGTCTAAAGCTGACAATTTGAATCGATACGTTTAAAGTTATCAAGTAAGTCTACATGAAAGATGAAAATTTAGTCCATCTGTTCTGCCCTGGTTTAGTTTTTCGATTCCTGTTTATTGATTTGTGTTCAATGGATATGCAGATGGAGGAAAAAGATGCTGAGCAAAATTCTGTGTTTAACTGCTCAATTTCTGATGTTTTGACATCTCATTAAGTATTAAGTTAACCGTGCTCAGCTACTGTTGGTTTGGCATATTGTTTGTATTTACACTGCATATGCAACTCATCACCTGTCCACATGCTTGTTTTATCTATATGCTAATTATTGCCTTTGGACTGACTGGAACTGCCTTGATATGTTTATATGGAAGCCTCAGAACATGGTGTAAAGCGTGTGATTTACAGACTAAATTAGGATTTCACATCCATCTCTGACTGTGCTTTGTATTTATTAGGTTTTCCCCATCCTCCCTTTGAACAGCCATCTGCAAATTCGCATTAATAATGGAACAATACACAGCAAATAACACAAATTCAACTGAACAGATAGTGGTTCAGGGACAGATTCAACAACAGGTATGGATCAAATGGGCTTATAAACTTGCATTAAAACGTTTATCGTGAAAGCATTTCTAAAGCGCTTTAATATGTTAATACATTTCAAAAAGTGTTTTGCACAATGAGTTACCTTGAAGCGAAGAGGCTTTTTTTGTTTAGGCATGTGCAACAGCTGATCAATGCTTGTGAGGCCCCAAAACAGGAATGAAATGCACAACCAAATAAAATTTCCATTTGGTGAATTTGTACGAGGGAGTACGTTGGGTTGTACGTTGGGTTTGGCGGAGGAAGCTAGCTGTAATGAAAGAAAATTATCATTTGCATTATGTATTTAATGTAAATTGTGCAATCATTTATCTATTATAAATGAAATCCTATCACCCTGTGTTTTGCGTCCCTATAAAAACAGTCATTGATTCAAAACTTGTAATATAGTGAAAGTAGCAGCCACTTTTGTTACTGATCATAAGTTTCCAAAAAAAAACGGTACTTAATCTTCTCATTTTGAACTCCTTCAAAAATGATTTGAAAGATAAATGTTTGTTTTAATGGTTGTGGAAATAATTTCTAAATGTAGTTACTTAAAATAATTAATGATCCCTGAGGAAAATCTGCATGTTTTAGGTGAGCCTGAAATAATACTGCATCTAATTGTGGCAGACACAGTTTGCTCAAAATAGTGTTTCCACAGATTATGATAGAAGTCTATGTTCTTGCAGTATCCAAGATGGTTTTGATACATATATTTGATTAGGGTTCATGAGATGAAGAGAAGTAAATTTGTACATGTTAGGTTTCATAATGATCTATATCTGTTCTGGACAAGTACTTCCTTCTCCGGTTGTAGTAGCTGTAGTTGTCTTGGACAAGCAAATTGCTGGGGCTTCTGTGGATGAATGTGAAACATTCCTCATTAATAATTTACCATATATTAAGCAAGTGCTTATGCATTCCGCAATGTTGAGCTGATCATGACAAAAATAAATGCACATCATATTTAAAACCTGATTACATTGGATCCGGGAAAATAAATAGTGATGTGACATTGTAGTGGAATTTATTTGTCCACAGGTTAAGTAATGTAAAGCTCTCCATAAGCAGTTTCCTTTTCATTACTAGTGCCTCTGTATTCTGTTTCTCCATATATTATTCAACAATCTGGATTCAGAATCTTAAACCTTTGTTTGATAAGTATGCGTTTTATATAAGACAGTAACATTCTGTCCCCAATATACTGTGTATGCTTTGATTCCAGTCTTAATACAAAATTCAATGCTTAAAGTTGAATCACGAACAGTCTAGTTAAAGCTACTTGAAGCTTGTTTGGGAAGGGATCAACAACATTATTCACTAGAGATAATTGATTTTATTCTGTTGATTGTACATCTAAAATGATTTTCAGATTGTACTGCATTTCCAAATCTCACACAAAGATCTGCATTCATTTGTGCTTTCTTTCCTAATCGTGAATTGATTCAGGGCCAGCCTTTAATGGTGCAAGTAAGTGGCGGTCAGCTTATCACCTCCACTGGTCAACCAATCATGGTTCAAGCAGTGCCTACAGGTCAAGGGCAGACCATTATGCAGGTCCCTGTCTCTGGAGGGCAGGGCATACAACAGGTCAGCTAATTATGCTTATAGTTTTATACATCATAAAATAAAAAAACCTACATCAATTATTTTGATTGGGTACATGTTTTCTGCAGTGATTATTTAGAAAAAAGATCTGTAACAACTTGTTTCCCATAAATGTGTATATTTTTATGTTCTTGCTAAATTTTACAGTCATTTGAAGACATTTGCTATTTACAAAAAAGCTTTGCTATTTTGTGGTTATTGGTTGTTTCTTCTCTTGTCAGTACGATGGGTATATAATGTATTCTATTAATAAATGAAGCAGTATCTTCAGTACATTACAAATTGTGTGCAGTCTGTTGCATCTTAATATAATCTTCTGTTATGTTTGGTCATTTTAATGCGTTTTAGATCCAGCTGGTTCAGCCTGGCCAGATCCAGCTTCAAACAGGACAGGCTGTTCAAGTCCAAAATCCACAGGGTCAGGCACAGCAGATTATTATACAGCAACCTCAGGCAGCTGTAACTGCTGGGCAGACACAGGTAAATTACACCAACACTATAATCTCAATCCGATCGGCGCATTTGCTTTGTGCCGTTTGTTTGTTGGGCCAGGATGTTAGACACAGCACTTAACAGAATCAGGGAATGTTGTCTCTTGAACTGCACACATTTCTCTTGAATGCTTCATTTCCTGTAGCTTAGTGGTTAGAGCACTTGCCTCGCAAGCGAGAGGGCCTGGGTTCGATTCCCAGGCAGGGACAAACGTTGGACAAGTTTCCGGGGATAATCTATATTTTTTTAAAAATGGGTTAGGGTCACTCAATCCAAGACTGTGGGACACTGCTGCGCGCAATTGGCGTTTCGCTCACAAAATATACTGTCAATTCACTTTACAGTGTATTCTGTGAAGTGCTTTGAGATGTTTCAGAGACATGATAAGGCGCTACATCAAATGCAAGAATTATTAAGGATTATTATTATTTCCCAGGCCACATTGGATACTGTCATACGCTCAATGCTTAGCAGTTGTGCTGCTGTTGACTTGTAAATATGAATGTTTAATTTTCTCAATCCTAACAGGGTCAACAGCAAATCGTACAAGGTCAGCAGGTAGCACAGACTGCGGAGGGGCAGACAATTGTGTACCAGCCAGTCAATGCGGATGGCACCATACTCCAACAAGGTAACCACTAAGGCAATACTGCCACTTTGTATTGTTAAAAATGGTAAAATACCTGTTAAGACTTATTGATTTGGGATTTTACTGTTAAAAGATTTACTTTTTATATTAAAAAAAAGCAAAACAGTACACTGCCCCAAAATTGCCTTTAACAATGGTTAGAACGTTGAATACTCGGGCTGCCTTATTTGTTTTTCGCACGTAAACTGAAATTTGCTGTGTGTTTAAAATAAGCTTTATAGTCTGAAATCCAAAACATGGCAAAGTCACCTGTCTAAATGAAGGCACTGTGTGCTACCAAGGTTTTAAGTCACTGGTTGGGACATCTTCCAACTTCAAATGCAAAATCAGAATTTTGCAGTTTGTCAAAAACATGTCACAAGGTGGCTTGTTCTCTGATCTCTTCCAATGTTGATTTTGAGCCAGGCAATTAGGGAAGCATCCTCGAAGCCTCAGTTAACAAGTTTTCCCATTTGTTTCCATGAACCATGTGGGTAAACAGATAGTCCCTGTTTTCTGCTGAGTTTGTATGTGTGAATGATTACATTAATTATTATATTTAAATAAAAATATTAATTGCCAAAATGATTGCAAGATTCATATTTATCATGTATGCCCCATATTTTCTATTAGCACACACCACATACACAACAACAACTTGTATTTATAGTGCGTAACCACTGAAATGTGAGCAAAATTTCTAAGTGTTTAGAAGTTGGAATTATTTTAATTTGAAATTGATTTTATTCAATTATTTGAATGATCTAAAATAAGCCCTACTTCTAAAGCTATCAAGCAATGTGACTTTTTTTGTTCAAAAAAACGCTGTTTAACATTTCTCAAAGTGAGGGATTAATTTTGTTCCTTTCATTTTTCTTTGTTTTCTTCTCACTGTACATCTTTCTTGCTGTGCTCTCTCTCTCTCGCTCATTTCCTCATCGTCTTGTCTCGCCTCTCTGTGTTATGTGCTAAAGTTGCAGTCCCTGTTTCAGGCATGATCACCATTCCCGCTGCCAGCCTTGCTGGAGCCCAGATTGTCCAGACAGGAGCCAGCACAAGCACCACAAATAGCAGCCAGGGCACTGTTACAGTAACGCTACCTGTCACGGGAAGCATGGTCAATGCAGGTGGCATGGTAATGGTAAGCTGAATTTAGAAAACCAATATGATGAATATGTTCAACTAAACCACGTTTATTACTCAAATCAAATATGATGACTTGGCCCAATTGATATCACACCTTACCTTAAGATCGGAAGGTTGTGGATTAAACTCCCCATTGACAAGACTTTCAACTTGCAATCTAGGCTGATGCTACAGTGCAACGATGGGGGAGCACTTAGTTGTTGGAGGTGTCCTCTTTTGGGAGAGACTTTAATACATCACTCCATTAGCCTATTCAGGTTCCCTGACACTATTCGAAAAGAGAAAGTTTTTCCCAATGTCCTGGTCGGCAGTCGTCGCAATAAATTGGTCATTGAATTCCTTGCTGTTTATGAACATTTGCCTACAAATGCATGGTCGCTGCACTTGACAGCAATTTACGGCCTTTTGAGACCTTTCAACGTTCTATCAAATGCAAGAAGTATTGTAAATAATTGTTTTAAATTTAAAAGGGTTATTTTTTAAATGAAAGGGATAATCTTATGGAATGATAAATGATAAACCATCATCAATTCTTGTAACATAGTACAACACTGACTTGTCCCAAAGATGATGCAGATATGCTATGAACTTGAAGGGGATTCACTAGTCAAGGCTCTGGGGAGGAATTTGCACCATAGAGGTATATAGAGTAGAGCAAGCTCTCATTACACCCTTGACTGTATTCATTCTAAACCTTATCCTTCTCTTTATAAATATGATCTGTGTAGATGGTACCCGGTACTAGTACTGTTCCAGCGATGCAAAGAATCCCTTTGCCAGGTGCAGAGCTGCTAGAGGAGGAACCCTTATATGTAAATGCCAAACAGTATCATCGAATACTAAAGAGGAGACAGGCACGAGCCAAACTAGAAGCAGAGGGTAGAATTCCAAAAGAGAGGAGGGTAAGTGGGGTAATGACTAAATCTTTCATTACATATAAAGATGCTAATTTAAGACATTGTGTACTTTAGCCTTACTTGAATTGTGTGTTAGAAAGACCTTGCATTGTCAGTCATCTAATTTCTCTGGTAGTAATTAACAGAATGATATGCCTCTTTGCATTTGATATAGCATCAAGCTTCCTGTCAAAGCATCATTTGTTCTCCCGGCGCTTGTCAACAACTTTTTTTTCTTTTTGCAGAAATACCTCCATGAATCGCGTCATCGTCACGCGATGCAGCGAAAGCGTGGAGAAGGTGGTCGTTTCTTTTCTCCTAAGGAGGGTGACGAGAATATTGTGAGTTCTGTTTTCCTGCCTACAAATAGTTTAAAGCAGAGCCTCAAGATTGAGTTTACAAACTGAGTTAACTTCTCCCAAGTTTCTTTTCTCCTATTGTAAAGTCAACATGGATTATGCTATTTTCTTTTGTTAAAGGAAACTTTTATTTCTTTATTTTGAAAGCAAAACGTAGTAAAGTCCTCCAAGCCTTGACCTCTTTAAAAAATAGAATGTTAAAAAATAGAACAGGGAACAAGGTTTTCAAATATTTACATTTTTTTTATTAAAAGGGCCAATGTTGTTACTTCCTCCATTTCATGTTCTCTCTAAATAGTTAAAATGAGTAAAAGATCAGCACAACATCAAACTGTAGGAGGTTCCTTGCTCCTGTAGTCTCACACGATTCTAACTTCTATAACACAGACTATTTTATCAGACAGCGAACTGATGTGTGTGAAATAAGTGACGTTAAAGTATGTAAATATCATGCATTTATGCAAGGGCCAGCCATAGTTGTCATTTTGTCCCACAAGATGAGAGGTATTATGTGTGTGTGTGTGTGTCTGTCATCTCCCGCGCTCAAATATATACAGTTAAGAAAAAGATGAAAATTGAGCCCTTTTTTAAAGATTTATGATTGTGCAAGGAGCACCCTAGGCTGAGTTTCATTCTCGTGAAGTGAGTTAAGAAAGCCCTGAAATGTATGTTTGAAAACCAGCCTTGAGGATTATCAGCTATGATTTCTGTTTGTATTTATTTGTATATTTGTATTCAACAGCCTGAATAAGATTTCTGGGTAGGCGAGAGAAAAATAAAAAAGGTACAGTATTATTCTGTTACATTTTCAGAGCAATGGCCACCAAGTACATCACCCTGCCTCAAAGTATTCTAAAATGTTCACCTCCCTACTTTTCAGCCAAGATAACATTTGCAACAGGGCAGCCATCTTAAATTTTTCACCTTTGTGCGTTTACTTGAGTTGATTTTATCTGTTAATGAATGGGGCTACTGTTTATCATCGTATCAAATGAAGCTGGTTAGTTGCAGATATTTATTCAATGACAAAAACAGAAGTCGCTGGGTCCTTCCCAACGTGCCCCAGTTCTGACGATGGGTCGTGGACCCGAAATGTTGACTCACTTTCCTTTCTCCATAGATGCTGCCTGACCTGCTGAGTGTTCCCAGCGACTTCTGTTTTTGTTTTCAGATTTCCAGCATCTGCAGTACATTGCGTTCTGTTTATTCAGTGAGATGTCGATCCACCGCCTTGGGATGTCCTCCCAACGTGAAAGGCGCTATATGAATGTAATTTGTTGTTGTTGTTAAATTCAATGCTTTGCAAAAAACGAAACTGGAACATTATCAGCAGGTTTCCTCTTACAGTTCATAGGTTACACAACCCCAAGGAGAAAGTTGCTGTAATTTCCACAATACAGGAATTGTACAAAACTCTAGGTTCACACCATGATTGTAGGTTCTTCACGTTGGAACATTTTTTTTACCCCTGTCAGTAGACTGTACTGTGAGCTAGGTATTCAATATAAGATGGCAAATCTATGTAGAATTTGAGATTTTGATCTGCCCATGTTTTCACCAATTTAATATCGACACTGTTAGCAATAATAATAATCCTTACATTTGATGTAGCGTCTTATCACGTTTTCGAGACGTCTCAAAGTGCTTCACAGAATATACGGTTAAGTGAATTGACTGTATTTTGCAGGCAAAATGCATTATCCAGCAGGAATTAGATTGGGTGAAGGTTAAAACGATTCCACCACAAGTAATCATCACCCTTTTCCTCTTTGACAGAAGCACCAGCAACAGAATGAAGAAATAGTGGGTCAGGTGATCAGGGTGGCCTAAACCTTTGCCTTACACATGCCTTTTGAAGTAAGCATCAAGCAAGATTGACGGTCTCTCCCCCGATCCAGTGTTGCACCATTGGCATCCCGGCCTCCACTCGCGAAACAGGATGGAAGATTCCAAGGAAACCTTATCTTCTTCAGAAATCTTCCTTCTGCTTCAAATCTCAAGAATTCAGCCTGAAAGTACCAGAGTATCAAATAGGGGGAGGGGGGAGGGGGGGTGCATTGTCTCTTGAAAGAAGGACCTTGTTTATAGTCTGAAAAATGTTCAAATTAAAGACGGATTCTCAGTGGTGCTGATGGTGATAATAGGACATAGTCTGCAGTATTTTGGGAAAAAAATTCTGCATAATTCATCCACTTACAGAAAGATGTTGGATGTCAGAAAGAGTTAGTGTCCTGTAGGTATATTTAATTTATCAAAGACTTTGTGGTGGGGGGGGGGGATTAATAGGACTATAATGGCAAGAGAAGAGCTTTTCTGAGACCTACAGTATGTTATTATGAAACTTCACGATTTACATATTTTTCCATAAGGTTTGTTAACAAAAATGATGTGTAAGTGCTGTTAATGGGGGTTTTTTTTGAGAGGGGGGGGCTGTGTTTAGTCTGTACCCGTGATGCAAAAATTAAGCTAAAATATAGCAGGCATCCGAGGGATGACTGAACCATTTTGGCTGATATCCTGAGTTTTTTTTCAAAAAAAACATCTGCTAAATTGGTTGCAGTTCAGTGAATTAAATTTGCTCAGAAATATCGCAAGCAAATTCAAACCTTTTTTTTGCTTTTCTTGTGCAAAGTAATTAGTTTTTTTCCCCCCAAGATACAATATATCAATTGTTTCACTGGGGGGGAAGGGGAAGAGAAATGATTTTCTTATCTGAAAAGTGATTGCCTGTGCTATATTCAATTGAAGGCAATTACTGTTTTTATAGTGGCCATTTGCACGTTGGAGACTTCTGACATTAAAAGGGCCTTTTTCATGTGAATTGTACCTTCACCAATACAGACAGTTGGATTTTTTTTATTTTGACAGTATCTCAATCTCAATATCTCTGAAGTAAAACAACAAAAGGGGATACTGTCTCATTTAAAAAGCAATATTTGGCTTCCTTTTTGTTTAATTTTTGATGTAATCCATTTTAAGTTAAAACCCTTTTTCATCTGAAGGGCCTGGACAAGAGGGACGTGGAAGTTTGATTTTACTCAGATCAAGCTTTTGTCTTTTTTGGCCTTTCACCTCTAGGACGTGTGTTCAGGTCTAGCCCATGCATTGATTTGAAAGTCCCTACTCTTTGGTGGAACTGAAGTGATCCAAGCATGTTAGTAATATCCTTTATTGTAGACTGAGACAAGAAAGGAAAACTCGGCTCCACTTTGAGCTGGTTGTCCCAACAGATAACTGCATCCATCCACCTTTGTTTGTATAAGACCTGAAAGTGCAGTATTAGAAGATTCTTCTCGTACAGCTGGTATCTGGTTTCATATTCAGCCCAGCCAGAAAGGGGAAATTGTTTGCTCATTACAGTAAAGCTTGTTGGTCTGGTATCAGAGACACCATTTTTCACTCGTGTCTAGATTTCAAATCCAGCTCCTACTGATGACATGAAAGTCTTGCATTGTGATTACCGGGGCTCTAAGTAAAAGATCTAGCTTCTAGTTCAGTTATCCATTGCACATAGGACTGGTATTGGAATGTTCTTATGAATTTGTTCGTAAGGGTCATTGTGAGGGGCAGAGTGGAGGGAGCTTTACCTTAGTCTTATACGTGCAAATGCCCTGGTGCTTCTGCTGGATGCAGAGGGGGAAAACACTTTATTTTTCATCAGTCAATTGCCCAAACAAAAGCGCAAGTGTGTTTGGATTCCCAATCCAATTCTGCCAAACATGCACCGAAAAAAAAGGTAGCCAGATATTGCCTTTTATAGCAATTGTTAAGTTAACATTATACAGTGACTGAGAAATACTGAAACTCAGTTTTAAGGGCTTTGCATATCAGGTAAAACATTTTAATTGTTGCAGACATCAGATGGTCATGCAGATTAAATATTGAAATGAGTGCAACTTGTTTTTGTATATAGGTTACAAATTTATAATTTTTTATATACACCATTGGTTTGTAAGCATGAATCTGTATGAATTTAGCTGTAGAAGAAAAGTACAGTGGATGTGGTCCAGCTAATAAAACCTTTTCATTTTAGTATTTTGAATACTATTTATAATTCTGGTTGTCTGTACTGGGGTACGTTACCCGAGTTTCACATGAGATGGGTTTTGCATTTACAGTAGCTGTTACTGCTCAACACTAGGTGAGAAGGTTTGAGTTCAAGCCCTATGTTGGAAGCTCAGTCTAGGACAATAATAGTCAACCTACGACATGGAGGCCGGAAGTTGCCCCTGCCGAACATTTGCACGTCGAGGTAAATGCGTGGTCAATCAGTAGTGTTTCCAGTTTTTTTTCTTGATTGATTGATGGCATAAATCGAGAAATAATCAACATTGTTTGTTAGCCGACCATAAAGGTTGGCCACCACTGGTCTAGGCTGACACCAGGCAAGTGTTAATGATCCCGTAGAACAGTGTTTCTTCCCAGTGTTTGACTTTCCATAAACCAAGAGCTTGCACTTCATTCCTCTCGCAACAAATGGATAGCAATAAGTGTCCCACATTCCCACAGCCAGTATTAAACAGTCTTGTCAGCCAAGAACTCTCCCCTCACCTCCAACCCGCCTTGGAGATTTTAAATGGGAACATTTTGTACTTAACTCACCAAAGGTTTTGAAAATATTAAGAATTAGTCATTTAATGTAGTTTATTTACAGAATAAGCTGGGATCACAGCTGCCTTGTAAATATTCCATACCACTACCTGTTCTACAATGTGTGTTGAGGTTGAGTAGATTCTACATTACTAGGAATCTGCCAGGTACAATTTGCTGTACAACATTTTTCCACAAGAAGGTTGTGTGATGCCATAGGCAGATATGAGAGGAATTAAATAACAAGCAGGTGCACACAGGGGCAATGTGCTTTCATTTATTTAATACTCTTCAATGCAAGCCTGTTAAAGATACTGACACTCAAATGAATTACTGAGTATTATGTAGTGTTTCTTCAGTATAAACAGGCAATTAGGCAAAGCGTTTTTGTTAATGCTCCAGCTGATGACAGGCCATTTGCAAGTCTCACTGGCTTTAAGGGAGGTCTATTTGGCATCCATTATGGCCTATTTCGTCATCCATTCTTAACTGAAGTGAACGTTCAGAAGCCTGAAGTGGATGATTAGGGCGTCACATTGCCAGCCTCAGAATAAGTTTCAACTCAAAATTGTGGACCTTGGGTTAAAGCGCAATATATGGTGTAGCTACAACCTCAACACTTCAGCTTAATATCCCAAAGCGCGTCATTGTTATTATCCTATTAAAGCTGTTTGCATACACCGGGTTGAGGTGGTGCTTTGGTGATGTAACGCAGCGGCTGTTTACATGTTGGAGACAGTGCAGTTCAGTAATCGGTTCACAGCATAAAGTATGACAATTCAACATCACATCTTTACAATTGAGAGAGGAAGCTACTTTGCCCATGAGATGTCAGACCCACGTTACCTTCAGCTAGTAAGGCATAGTAGAGCCTCATTCCTGTAAAAAAAGTATGGAGGGAAAAGGCCGATTGAGTAAGTTTTTGTCCTCCACTGGAAGGAATGGTGAACCATTAAAAAGACAGTGAAGAATGTCAGCTATACATCTGCTAAAGGTGTAATTAACAGTTCACATTCATCCATTTAATTAGAAGGCTGGGTTTAAAACGATGCCAGGTACCAGAGGATTTAGTACAATATCAGGCAGTCTGAACTCGCTCTCTTTTCACTCGAACGGCAGTACGTGTGCCTGCTGTGGCCACAAGTTTCACGTTTCTATGGGCAAGGCTCATTTTGCTCTCGGAGGCTACAGAAGGTGTTCAAACAAGTTCTCCAGAAAGAGGGGGGGGGGGGGGGGGGGAAATCAGATCTTATGCTTTGTGTGGCTATAAACAGCTTTGAACTGAAAAATAATATTGCTAACACTATAAACCCACTACCACAATGCAGCAAAAGTGTAGCCAACTGAAGTTCCCCTTTAGGCTGGAAATAACAGGTGGCTTTATCTTGCAGTTAAGCAGCAAAAATATGTCAAGAGTACAGAAAGCTATCCACATCCAAAAATGTACAGAACAGCAACTCTGTCCTCCCGTAAGGTCCTCTCCATCAGGAACTGAAATGCTTATTAGACTCGAGCACCACCTTGAACGTGCCAGCTAAACTTTCATTTCAAAACGGAAACTAAATGGATGAATAGACAAAAGTTCCCAAGCTTTACCAACTATTTTTGACCCACACGCTGGTGAGGTTCTGGTTTCAAATTAAATTCACTTACTCTGGCTGGCTTGGCTGAGTTGATTATTTATTTTTAGGAACAGGACCTCACTCACTGCGGTCTCACTCATAACTATCTGAGCAGATGACATATCCAGCTGTTTCTCTCAATCACTGACCCACCGGGCATATTCGGCTGGGTTTCTGCAAGAATGCAAAGTGCACACAACGTCAACTGCTAATAAAGCCAAGCCTTGGCTTTTGTAATGCATCAAAAATGTGGTTGGAACATTTCTTAAAAAAGGAAGCTATAATCCCACAGATGTAGCCTAAGATTAGCAGGAAATCACTGCAATATGAACTCATACAGTTTCCCCCCCCACGTATGTAAAAGCCAATGTTTTAAGAGATTCAATAACTGACTAATATTAGAGAGCTATGAGAAGTTAGTCCTCAATCCAGAATACAAGGGACCTGGCAATACTTAACAACAGGAATAGCTTCAATAAAACTACCACCATGACCCACTGGTAATGCTAAACTAACAGCCGATCCATTTAATGGCAAGTAGCCTCCTCCAACAATACAAAGACACTCTCAGCACGGACTCAATACACCGTGCCTGGAGTTGTCACCATTCCAACCATCTTCACTCCCAGAAGCGCATCAAGGAAAAAGTGCACAGGAAACTAAAGTGACACTGGTGCATTAACGGTGCGTATTCCAAGACCCAGTTGAGCAGTCGAGGAACAACCAAGGAATGGAAACTCTTAAATAGGAGGAAAATGTACATCGCAAGTATGGCCTGCCTCAATCGGTCTGGAACAAATTGAGGGGTGGGGGACCGGACAAAGAGAAGTAGGATTTATACATCAATATGTGCCTCCGTGGTTACTTTCAATCGGAAGCATCCTATGCATGCAGGATGATTTCAGGCACCTCAATCTTTCTCAAGAACAATTGCCAGCATACTGTGCCCTCCATCTGGGCCGTGTAGATCATTTGTACCCCGGGCTTTCAGCAACGGTAATTTGAGAAGACAAGATTATGCCTTCACCCTTTTTGAGCAATGCTGCCCAAGCCTTTTCAAGACCCAATCCTACTTTACCTGAGCATCCGAAAAACTTGTCTGCAGTTTAATCCAGTCCCCACAAGAGCAACCAACACTGTTGTTCTTTGGTGTCTGCAGAAGTTTCTTTTTTTTTTAAACATTTATCTGTATTTAAATAAATAAGAATTTTCAATCCAAATAGCACAAGATCCTCGGTTTCACCCCAAATCATCACAAGCATCGGGATTGTATTCGGATGGTCTGTCCACTATGTGGATTTGCGTCAACGGTCTCGTTGAGTCTATACTCCGTCGATGCAATCTCTCGTTTGCCGCGTTGACACTGGGCTTTGTGATAGTTCAGTCTTAAGAGGAGGGGGGACAGCACCCGGCATTGCTCAGCGGTTGTGGCTCTTCATCATCAATGATCTGGATCCCACGTCGGGCATTCCCGACCCGGCTGGGATCAGTCCCGCGTGCTGCTTCCTCCGCCTGGGAAACGGCCAGCATCTCTGGAAGAGAAAGAGGATTTAAGAATGGTTTTGTATCAGAATTCTAAATACCTGTAATTCTTATAGCACCTTCTCACATTGAAATATCTCACGGGGCTTTACTCTTAATTGCTGCCACTAAATGTAGGAACTTTTTGAGGCTACAACCCGGCAGCCATTATGCACACATTGAGGCCAGACAAATGGCCATGAAGTGAATGACCAATTTTATCTGTAGGATTGTTGGTCAGTTCACTGGGAGAAATATCCCTCAGTCATGCCATGATCAGGTTAATAGGAGCTCAGTTTCATCTCACAAGGATGGCACCTCCGACAATGCAACACTACCCCACCACCGCAGTATAATGGCATCCTAGACTGAGCTCAAATCCCAACATGGAGCTTGAACCTACAAACCTTCTGAACCAGCGGTGAGAACGCTAACAACCGAGCCAGACAGATAACATGGGATACAGCCAGATTGGAGTCTCGGTCACTTACTTTTACAGAGGTCAAGGAATAGTTCCTCAATGCCTTGGTTTAGCTTGGCTGAGGTGTGGAAGTGCTTTGCTCCAACAGACTCAGCGTACCTGGAGGGAAACAATATCAAGTCAGACACCCAGTGAGAACATTCAGTGAGCATTCGCTGCCACCAATCTTCACACGTCAAGTTCCCATCTCAACATTGCTAACTGAAATGACAGCAACAATGGAGAATTGGGCGGTTGGGGGGGGGGACAATAGCCTGTCCTCTAAGTTGGAGACTATGTGGGACACATATAATGTAGAAAGTCTGGCAGATATTTTTCTGATCAAATATTCCACTCGGGATACATACACTTCGGCTTCTTCAACGGACACAGTCCGGTTCTTCTCCAGGTCAGTTTTGTTTCCTGAAATGTCGACACAAACAAACAAACAATCAAAGAGGTGGCGTCCACGTCCCGGGCATTACTAGAAAACCCACAACAGTTTATAACTTGCATAAATGGAGACAACGCATAGCATTGTACAAAACAGAGCACAGAACTTAACCTGGCAAATTTCCCCTGCAACATTGATAGGGGAAAAAGAGGTGAACATTATTGGACACACTCATGCTATCGGATAGGTACGATACAATTTTAAACGCGACAACCTTCCCCCACCCCCTAAACATGGGAAGAAACCAGAATAAGCCAATACCAAGACACGTACCTACAATACATAGACAGATCTCACTCCCCAACATCTTCCTTAACTCCTTTACCCAGTTCTTCACCTGCAAGATTTGAAGAAGTTGGGATATTCACAATCTGATCGGAAACCAGGCGTACATAGAACTGTCTTGTTTCAAGACTCTCAGGCATGGTGATGGATTTGTGTGTATGTGACAGACATTTGGCTAACTAAAAACAGAAATACTACCAACACAAGATATACTCCTAGCAGCCATGAAGTGATGACAGATTTATCTGGAGGATTGCTGGCCTGGACAGCGGAGAAGATTTTCCCCTCATTAGATCTCACCTTCTGGAAGGAGTCCTCATCAGTGATGTCATAGACTAATATGGCCCCATTGGAGTCCCTGTAGTAAATGGGCCCCAAGGCGTGGAAGCGTTCCTGACCAGCGGTGTCCTATATAAGAGAATAAGAAAGGTATTCAATTCCGGGGAAATAAGCAAAGACAACTGCAAATTCCTATCAGGAAACGGAGTTCGTACTTCTTGGGAAAAGTAGAGGAAGACTACCAATTAGGCTCTCTCTACCTTGACCCTCCCTCCCTTCAAATCCTGCCTAAAGACCTTCCTTTATGGTGGTGCTTATGGTCACCTCCCCCCACACTCTCCCCCGGCTCGTTGTCAGACTGTCATTGTCAAGCACTCCGGGACGTTACCCCACGTGAAAAGCGCTGAACGCTGAATGCAAGTTGGTATTAGGTACTTACCCATATTGCAAGATTGACTCGCTTTCCACTGATATTCAGTCTTTTGGTCAAGAAAGACGCCTGAAAATTGAGGGCGGGGGGGGAAGAAAAGATTTGCGGTTAAATAATGCAGAAGAGGTGCTGGGCTGCCAACTTCCCTAAATGCTGGGGCCAGAATTCAGTTTGCAAAGCACTCAGTTCCGCCTTTGGTTTATAATAGATTTGAACAGCGTGCACCAAAATAGTGGAGGGGAAATAAAAAGACATCGCCAGCAAGCAACTCCATTCTCTTCAGCCACACGACACACATTAAACCCAAGTGGATGTTAAAGATCCTACGGTGGCACCGTTGAAAAAGAGAGGCGTTTCTCTCTCTCCCCCCTCTCCCCACCCGCCCACCACTGGTGTCCTGGCTGACAATCCCTCTGATAATAATGGGAATCATTTGCTTCATGACTGTTCGCAGGGTGTTGCTCTGTGCAAATTCCATTTCGCAGCACTCACGCTGATCCGGCAGAAAGTTCAATCCCAAACTACAGACCACCCACAAACAAAGCGAAAACAAAGCCTGAAATCCTTCACTGAAACGGGATCAAGCCCACAACTAATTGAAACCAAAGTGCGCCAGATTCGTGATTTAAGAGATTTCCTCTCGTGCTCGGTGTGAGTTCCACCTTGGCTTCACTCTCCCATTGTTTGTCCTGTACATAAAGTCAGACATTGGAAACAGCGAGTCCCAAAGAGAGCCAGCGCCCTGCGGGCAGACGGTAAATCTAATAGCAACCAGTAAGGCGTCCAGTACATTCCTGTGGCTCCCTGCATTATTCATTTGGTGGGGAATTTACATTTCATATGGGGCAAAAGTCTCAAAAACACGCTGAACAACATATCCAATTCTCAAAAATTTTGTGGGTGAAAGGCGGTAACCAATTGCTCGCAGCCCGTGTCACACAAACAGTCGGGGATTGAGTGACCAAATGATTATATAATTTTTTTGAAGGGATTATGGGGAAAGCGATCCGCCAATTGGCTGACAAACGGATTCCTACTTACTGCTAGGTAAACAGAAGCGTGTGGAGTAAGGAAACTTGCCCAATGTTTTACCCTGGCCGGGAATCAAACCCAGGTCCTCTCGTTTGCGAGATGAGCGCTATACTCACTAAACTTCAAGACTCCATTTGATCAGCTGTTAAATTTCGGATGAACCCTTCCATGAAATTGCAGACTCCCCCCCCCCCCCCACCCCAGTGTCTAGTTGTAGATTGAACAGCCTTAACAGCTACTCATGTGTTTCTGCAGTTCCCTTCTCTCCCTTCCCCCCCTCTCCAAAGCAAAGGAAAATAGGAAACAATCCGATAGCAGATCTGAAACTGTAAACTCACCCAATTAATTAGGTTTTGGATACTCTTTAAGTATGGTGATGGGTTTCCGGCTGACCAAAAAAAAACACTAATTCCTGGGCTACACAGCGCCAAGTCTAATTAAGAAACATTTAAAACAACTCTGACATAAGCATCACTAAATTACATTACTCCGATGCCAGGCAGGTCATGCGCTCCAATCAGTCTTATAATAATTAAAATAACAATCGTTGCATTGGGATGTAGCGCCTTATCGCGTCTCCGAAACGTCTCAAAGCGCTTCAATCCTCAACCTTCAGAGAGGAAGGACAATGATTTTCTGGAAAATTATGTTTAATCTTCTTAAAGACGATGACGTTTCCTGTGCTGAAAAGCGGGCAGGTTATCACAAGGTAATCGATTGGTTATTGATCAGTTATTGACTCCTCAAGGCAGAACTGCACCATTGTGACCTGACTGCGAAATAGATGTGGGAACAGAGTCAGTTTGTCCTGTGTTCTGCCTCCAAATTAATCCCTCCCCAACATCATCATCATCTCTCTTACCCCTTCCCTTCATCCTCCCCCTCCTTCTCTCCTTCCATCCCTCCCTCTCACCCCCTCCCTCCCTCCCTCCCTCTGCCCCTCCACACTCACCTGTAAAGTAGTGATGTGCTTCTCGTTATATTTATTCTCGCAGTACCTGAGCAGGAGGGAGGTTTTACCCACACAGCCTTCTCCCAGGAGCACTACCTTGTAGCAGTAAGTCCTGCCAGGAACAGCCATGCTAACAAGAGGCAAACAGAGGGAAATCTCATCAGAGAGAGAGGAGAGAAAGTGCTGCAATATCTCCCACACTCTGCAACAACTACAGAGGAGGTGGGAGGAGGCAACACACCAGACAGCTCAGGACATGCTTTAAAGGGCTCTTTTCCAACCCCCAAAGCAGGTAGGAATCAGCTGTGGTCAACCCAACTGCAGGAAAGGGGCTAATAAATAAGTAATAAGTCTATCAGCAGCTCACACACACCCCCCACACACACACATACCCAACCATCCACCCACCCACCCTCCAGATCCTGACAAAACTGCATCATCACACAAGCTTAGGAGGAGCCAAGGCTCATGACAGCCTTGGGCTGCTGTTGCAGATCATTGCCCAAGTCCAACTCCAGGGGGCGCCTCTCCACCCTCCCTGGGACCAACCATCACCCCTCGGGCTATTGGTTGCTGCAATTGCTTCCCCCCCCCACCCCCCCCACCCCCAACTTAATTACATAATTAAAAAGAAGTGGATACTCAATCCACGACCGTCAGTGGGAGGGACGGACGCTGCTGCGCACAAATGACGGGGTCCGTTCACTTTGCGGCGTATTCCGTGAAGCGCTTTGAGGCGTCTCAACCGTGCGATAAAGGCGCGGTGAGGATTATCATTGCTGTAAGTGCTATAGATGAACTCCATGCTGAGTTACTCGTTATTGATTAACGATGTGTTATTCTATGGCCGGAGGTGCTGTGCCGTCTTTCCAAGGTGGTAAACTGAGCCCTCCCACCACACGCACGCACGGAATTCACAAAGTGTGCCATGAGACACGACTTATCGCAGACACTTGACCTGTGCCTCAATGATCACACCGTGACCGCAGTTCCAGAGAAAATTCGAAGTGATTTAAATGAAGAACGCAAGTAGATTTTGGTAGCAGTTTATTGTAAAATAAAACACTTGAGGCTTTTGCATTGAAGAGTGTGCCTGGAGGGAGTGTATGGAGCTTTTACAGCAGAGTTAACACTACCCTCGAACACGTGGATCGGAAGGACACTCATTAATCGGTCAATCATCTATATTATTTCATACAGAAAATTCTACTTACAATAAAAAGATATTTGCATTTCGGTAGCAGCTTATTCATTGAACTGTGTCATAGCGTGATTATTATTACAAGAGTCATCACTATTTCTTCTGAAGAGGGGAAAAACCCGGCATCTATTCTGGACGCAGCAAGTCCCCGAACAAACGAGAGTGAGCTCAAAGATTAATTTACAGCAGCAATGACAAGAACAATAAATGACATTTGTGTAGCGCACGTCGCGTAGGGAGGACGTCCCAAGGCCCCGGACAGTCAGGGAGCTTTAAAATTCTATTTCTATATTCTATTCTCTTTTTTAAACTTTCAGGATCTTTATAAGGGGAAAGCGGTCTGTATTCTGCCAGTTCAGCTAACCGACTTGTAAACCACCCCAACACCCCCCCCCCCCCACCACCCCCTTCCCCACATCCATTACTCCCTTCCACTCGTGAATTAAAGGCAGGCAACGAACGGGCTGCCCAAAAAAGAGGGGGGGGGCGGATTATGATCGAATGTTACAGCACAGAAACGGGGCCGTTCAGCATATTGACCGGTCGGCTGTTGACCGGGTTCCCACACTGAGGGCCACGCTGTGTGGTTGCTCTGTGATGTCACAAGGATACTGCTCCCTCCCTCCCGTCAGTCAGAGAGACCCAGAGAGCGCGGCCGGAGAGACTTGTGTCTGTAACATGCCCTCGGGCTGCGCTGGCCTGATTTCCGGCCGCTTTCGAAGCGAGAGATAATATACTGTGTATTATTGTACTGTTGCACGTGTTCTTGTCACGTGAGTCAACGCCCTGCGTTTGGGTAACACTTCGCCCCGCATCAACAGGTTATCAGACAGAGACCTCGCACCCCATCATCCTTCAGACCGAGTTACTGCAGGAAAATGGTAAGAAAATACAAAGTGGAGAATAGGATCGATACTGGTCGCGCTCTGCAAATTCACTGGCGGCACGTGGTCTCCGCACAGACGGCCGAAGGGTTTTCCTGTCTTTGTCTCTCTCCCGACGGCTTTCTCTGCCTTGAGGGTAAATGTCACCAGGGTTGACTCTAGATTGACTCTATTTATGTGACGCTTAAAAGCAGGTCCAGCATTTAGCAAACGGTTGAATTCAGTCTTAACTTTGAAGCCCCCGTTTCTGTGTGTGTGTGTGTGTGTGCGTATGTAAAAGAAACTCACAAATGGAAAAAAAAATTAAGCGACTTCAAAATCATAATACAGCTTAACATTTGGTACAAAGCCTTCCACGTCAGGAGGGACGTCTCAAAGCGCTTCACGGGATATACTGTAAAGTGGAGCGACTGAGTGATTTTGTAGGCAAATTAAGGTTGGGCTTAAAGAATTGGCCAATTTCTGGGCACTCCGAATTGCGACACAACCAGAGGAAATGTAACCCCACGTGTAATTTCTACCGCTCTACTGTACATCTTACCACATGATCAGCCACAGTGTAGAGTAATACAATTACATCCTTTTACTCGTCACGATCTGGCCATTGTTAATACCATCGGCCACTTTGGATTCCCGAACACTCTCTTCAACGCAATGCTGTTTTAACCTCATTTCAGGAGAGCCAAACAAGTGGCCGGAAATTTCTCACGGTCGTTAGCCTTTAGACTAAAGCTGATTGTCTTCAAACTTAAACTCGTGCCAGGATTTTGGGGCGAAAGTTCCTCTAAATTTAGCCTTACAGTACAATACAAAATTACATTTGTATAGCGCCTTTCGTGTCGGGAGGACGTCCCAAGGCGTTGTACAGTCAGGAATTTGGAAGCAGTTTAATTTGTTAATTTGTGGAGCTCATTTGAAAATAGAAAGAGGTTTTCTTTCCTTACACCAGTAATGTGATTAGGAGGTTCATGTACAAAGGCCATCGCAACACACCTGTACCCCAAATGGCTCACAACAGTGGGGGCAAAATTTGCTACTTCTTTTTTTTACACAGAGCTAATATAAAAACCTAGCGGTCAGCGGGGGGAGAATGCACACGTTTACATTAAATATACAGACATTAAATATACAGATAGTTTGCAGCATTTCATAACGTGAATGAATTATCCCGAGCGACGCACTCTGAAACACTCCACACTTTACGCCCCTCATCCTTGCGAAACAACCTCTGCCTGTTTCATTGCTCCTGGTTGTCTCCAGCTCCCTCACTATCTGTAAAGAAACAAAGAAAAAAAGGGGGTTAAATGCTTTTCAGGGTTTACTTTACCTACGCTTTGTGTTTATTGTTATTGTGTTTAGTGTTTATTTAGTGGAGTCCTGTAGCTCAGTGGTTAGAGCACTCGCCACGCAATGGAGAGACCTGGGTTCGATTCCCAGCAGGGCGAAATGTTGGCCTATTTTCCTTACTCCACCCTCCTCTGTTTACCTAGCAGCAGTAATAATAATAATCCTTGCGAAACGCAGCAGCTAATTGTGCATGGCAGTAAGTAGGAACTCGGTTGTTAGTCGATTGGCGGATCGGTTTTCCGGGGGTAATAATTCTTTCGAAAAAAAATAAAACATGATAATAATTTGGTCACTTCAATCCACGACTGTGGGACGCTGCTGTGTGCAATTGGCTGCCATGTTTCGCCCACAAAATACACAGTCAATCCACTTTACATATATTCTGTGAAGACGTCTGAAAGATGTGATTAGGCGCTATATCAAATGCAAGGATTATTATTATTATCTTTATATGACGTGCATGACTTTGTGTTGCTGACTCTGCTGCTGAGCTGTTCTGGTTTGCCCTTTTGTTCTTTGTCTGGCTCATTACCTGGCAGCAAACCAGAACTGATAACAGATAAAAGCCGGGCTTCATTTCCCTCCTGACACTCAGCCAAGGCTGAGTGGCCCTGTAGTTTACTGGTTAGGACGCTGGCCTCACAAGCGAGAGGAATCTGGATCGAATCCCGGGCGGGGCGAAACCTTAGGCCGGTTTCCTTACTCCACACGCCTCGGTTTGCCGAGCAATAAGTAGGAACCCAGTTGTTTGTCAATTGGCGGATTGCTTTCCCGGGGTAATAATCCCTTAAAAAAACACGTGGTCACTCAATCCATGACTGTTTGTGGGACACTGCTGTGAGCAATTGGCTGCCGTGGTTTCGTCCACCAAATACACAGTCAATCCACTTTAAAATATATTTTATGAAGCACGTTGAGTTGTCTGAACGACTTGATAAGGCGCTATGTCAAATGCAAGGATTATTATTATGATCATCATTATTATTAAGGCAATTATGCTTTTAATTATACTTTTTTAAAAAAATGTATAAAGAAAGATTGAATCATTTCACGCATTCTCACCCCCTGTGGAGATCTCTGTAGACATAGTCTCCTTCCTCAGGGCACGCTTGGATTAATTCTTGTTTAGATAGACTCAGCAGCTCTGACCCAGAGAGGACTCCAAAAGACTTAACAGTGCTGCGGGGAGGGAAGAAGATACAGTAAACCTCACATAAGGTATCAATTGGGACTGCACATTTAATATGAACTTATGCAAAGTATGAGTATGTCAAACTTGCACAGGCTCTAAACTTTTGAACGGGACTTGTGCAGATGTATGACTTAACGCGATTAGATGATTCATACGGTTCAGAATGATGCGAGTTTTACTGTCGATGTGCTGAGCATAACTCAAAAGGTGGAAGGAATGGGGATGGGTGAAGAGCACGGCTCAGGAGGAACAAAGAACCTGGGAAGAACGTTCCTCGCGAGGGGACTGCGGAGATTGCCGCACACAACACGAGGCGCTCGACCCAACGGAGAATGAAGAATGAAAAGAATCAAAGCTGAGCAAGGAAGAGCAGTGAAGAGCGAGGAGCACATTGGACAAGAGCGGGGGAGAGAGAGGTGGAACAAACGGGGAGGATTCATAATGACAACAGCCATATTAGTGACCATAGATTAGTCCCCAGCATGGTGGGCATGACGGAGAGAGGCAGGAGTTAGAGGTGAGAGACAGACAAGATGAGGAAGGTCTGGCTTTTCAGTTCACAGACGGAGATGGATGTACAAGTGGCTAAAAGTGATGTGGCTTGCGAGGGCAGAAGATCCCAGCTGTACTTACAGTGGTCGATAGCCTTTGGATTGGAGCCAAGCCCTCACCTCGTTGGACCTGGAATGTATTGTCACTCCAGCAGCATGGCTATCTCCGAATCTCCGGGATTCATGGTGCTGGTAAAAACAGAGGCAAAACCAAATCATACAGAGCCAATTCATGTGGAACAATCTGGATACCAGGTCTAGACAGACGGTTCTTTTAGAGAGCTAGCACAGACACAACAGACCAAATGGCCTCACTCTGGGCGGTCAATTTCTATGGTTTTATGCTTTGTACCGACATTGGAGAGAGGCATATTGTTTGCAGCCAGCTACGGTAATCATAATCCTTGCATTTGGTATAGCGCCTTATCATGTAGGAAGACGGTCTCAAACCTCTTCACAGGGATTCACTGTGAAATGGAGTGACTGTGTATTTTGTGGGCAAACACGGCAGCCCAATTGTGCACAGCAACATCCCACAAACAGCCATGGAGCGAGTGACCAAGTTTATTTGAAGGATTGTTGGCCAGGACACCGGAAGAGAGAGAGAGAGAAACTTCCCTCTCTTTTCGAACAGTGCCATGTGGGAGCTTTAACGTCCACCTGAACGGTACAGACTGAACCTCGGTTTAACAACCCATCCTTTGAGTTCCCGTCTGCCTTTTCAGGTGGACATTAATGATTACAAGGTAACAGTTTACGTAAAGTAGCCGGGAGTAAGACCCACAAACGGGTAAAAGGGTAGTTGCTTACCGGTGAGTACTGTGCTCCATGATTGACTGGCTCCATGATATTGCATGGTACGTAACCAATCTCCCCTCTCAAGCTTCTGACCTTCCACCATTGTTTTGTAGCCTCTAACACCTGGAACATGACAAGCAGCGTGACTGAGAGTGGTGGGGGGGTTGGGGGGTGGGGGTGGTCAATGGATGAGCAACGCCGCATGGGGGTGGGTGATGGACGATGGGGCAGAAACAGCATTGGGTGGATCGGAGGGGATAACATTCTTAAGGCTCAGACATTCTTTGGCCATTGGTTTGCACCATTATCCATCACGTACCTCTAGAACATCTCCCTTCGACACGTTGATCTCCCGCGAGTTTCTCCCTGTGAAGTCATACATGGCCACGGCTTGCTTTGGCATGTTCTGGGACCTGTCATGACAAATGGTCAATCGTTCACAGTCGGTCACTTTCACACAACGCCCCTCGCTTTCTACCTTACACTGTACATCTCCTCAAAGGTATTAACAAGGACTGTGTTAACGCTATCAACTTACTCTTTGGGGACCCCATTGTTAGTGGGATGTCCTGAGGAAACACTTGCCAAACATAGAATCTTAGAACACAGAAGGTGGCCATTCGGCCCACCGTGCTTTTGAAAGAGCTATCCAATTAGTCCCACTGCCCCGCTCTTTCCCCATAGCCTTGCAATTTGTTCCTTTTAGGCCTTGTAATTAACAGTCAAACTCCGTGTCAGGTGGATACTCACATTTCCAAGGGAGGGTACTGGGGGGATTCCATCTGATGAGAGAGAGAAACACAGCGTTGAAAGTTTAATGTAGACCCTGAATCTTTCAGTGTGATGGGAGCTGCTTTTCTCTTGATTACTTGAATAGAATAGCCCCAGAGTTAGACGGCTGCAAGTCCCTCCCTCCCTCAATCAACCCTCTCTCTCAAACTTCTTCCTCACCCTTCTCTCGTCGGTTGAGAAGCGGCTGGGGGTTGGGGATCTCCCGGACTGATTCAAAGGGGGTTGCCAGCCATCGGAGAAGCTGGGAATGTATCCTGGGAAGGAGTCACCATTTTGCCAGTCTGACCTGCATTTTTTTAAAACAAATAGTATTATTAATATTAAGAGCAACGATAATAACTCTCTCACACCTGATACAGCGCCACGATCAACAAAAACACCTCAAAGCCCTTCTCAGGGAATTGTGAAGCGTAGTGACTGTAGTTGTACCCAAAGATGACAGTCAGTATGCACACGCCCAGATCTCACATACAATCATGAATATATAACCAATTTACACAGAGAGGACACCGGGAGAAATTCCCTTCTCCTCCTTTCCAATGGTATCGTGGGATCTTTGGTGGGTGCCTGAAACAGGCAGTGGGTTTAATGTTTAACGTTAACTCTGCGGTTTACCTCGGGGTATTCCAGGCCGGTCCCAGTGAAATCCAGAATTGCTGCTCATCTGTGTTTAGGCTTCTTTGAAGGAAATTTATGGCTGTCGTCTTCAGGAAAGGGGTGATCACATTCTGCTCCAGATTAACTACCGGACAATGTTTCAGGACCTGTGAACAGATTTACACTTGAGGGATGTATAACTTCTTAATAATAATAATAATAATAATCCTTGCATTTGATATAGCGCCTCATCACGTCATTGAGACGTCTCTAAGCGCTTCACAGAATATATTGTAAAGTGGATTGACTGTGTATTTTGTGGGCGAAACGCGGCAGCCAATTGCGCACAGCGACGTCCCCACAAACCATGTCGCTCTTTACACAATGGGGGACACCAGGTCATAAGAGAGGGTCAGGTAAAGAAAACATTTCGGCCCATTTGATCTCTACCTTCCAGAGTCTCCGTCCTTCTTCAATCTTCCCATTTACAAGCTATCTCCTTAAACAAGTCCTGGCCTCTCCCCTCTTTCCTTGTAGTCCCTCTGTAACTGTTAATAGCTTTCTGGGGAAATAAGTACTGCTTTGTTTCTTTCTAAGGGATGAGGATGGGATATGGCGATATGGTGTATAGAGCATGGAATGGAGAGTGAATCTGTACTTACATAATTAAGTGTTTGGAACAAACCGCGACACAGGTCGGTTGCACTGGGATTATTTAGGTACGCATCAAGCTTGCCCTAAAGAGAGAAAAAGCATATTCAGTGCCGCTCGCAGCTCCAGCATTAACACCGAGATCCTCTTTTCATTGCTATCATTGTCGTTAGCAACACTGCTTTGTGTTTTATCACAATAATAATCCTTAAATTTGATATAGAGTGTGTTCACATCCACCCTGGGACACTCACCAGTAAATTAAGGACGTATTTGCTCTTCTGAAGAAAATCCACAAACTCAGCCTCTGGGGGTAGATGGGAACTCCCTGAAAGAGAGAAAGATTCTGTGAGATCTGGATGTTGAATCCATTCAAATTTTCGAGACCGAGATCGGGTGATAGATTCTTTATTAGGTCAGGGTATCAATGGATATGGAGCAAAGGCAGATAAATGCAGTTGAGGTTCAGATCAGCCACGATCTAATGGAATGGCAGAACAGGCTCGAGGGGCTGAATGACCTCCTCCTGTTCCTGTGTGCCTATGAGCCTCGCTGTCCTTTGAATGCTGACTATTTATCAGCTCGGAGCCGAAGGTTGGCCCCAACATCAGGTGTGGGGCAGGAAAGTCATCCGCAGCTTTCCCATGTGAGAGACTGGGGGGAGGGCGGGTGGGGGTGGGAGACGGGTTCTTGTGTGGTTTGAACCTGATCAGGAACCAGTTTGAGTGAGTCCCGATTGGGGCTGTTCATCGGGACGTCACCTTTACCTTTTTTCGGTTTCTTCTTTTTCTTCTTCTCTTCTTTTTGCTTGTTGGAGCCCACGATCTGCTGGATTTTGTTGACAAACAGCTCAATGTCATCCAGAGCGTGATTCAGGATTTCCTGGGAGGGGGGAGAGGTGGGGAGGGGAGGCGAGAGGTCAGAGCTCATCAAATTAAAGCGTCAACTCGATGTCCTTTCGCCCACAAAATATACAGTCAATGCAGTCTATTCTGTGAAGCGCTTTGAGACGTGTTAAGGCGCTATATCAAATTCAAAGATTATTATTATTCACTTTCAACAACAAAGTGTGTGTGTGGAGAGATAAATTTAATGCTTAGGGGTGATTAATGGTGAAACCCACTTATAATTGGATTTAGTTTGTTGGCTTGAAACAGCTTGGATTGTGGAAAAGAAGTGAGTTAGATATTGGCGGATGAATGCAATGCAATATACAGGACAAAGGACGAGATTAGGAATGTGGTTATCAAGCTCTGACGCAGTTAAGATTATACGGAAAAGAGATAACAGGAGGGCAATGCTATTCATGTGATCAGGTTTGCTTTTTTTTCTTAAAGCGGTGTCTTAATAATAATAATAATAATAGTCACCCTTGTATTTGATACAGCGCCTTATCACGTCATCGAGACGTCTCAAAGTGCTTCACAGGATATACTGTAAACTGGAGTGACTGTGTATTCTGTGGGCGAAACACGGCAGCCAATTGCGCACAGCAGCGTCCCCACAGACAGTCGTGGATTGAGTGACCAAAGTTTGCTCACCATATCCCGTCGTAGGTTAAAACTCGATGTGCTGACATTCGTCTTGTCAGAGCCTATTGGGGGAAGAGAAAGGGTCAGGTTAAGAGCTCTCGGGGACAAGGGAGTAAGAAGCAGTGGTGCTAGTTGGTGGGGCAGAGGTTACGTACCATGCTCTGATGGGGCCCTGGAGTTGGGGCCAGCCCAGCTGCTGTATTCGGACATGGCTGGGGTGGTGTAGCCCGAGGATGACCATCTATCCTGCGGGGGGGGCATTCCCGACTTCATGTGATGCGAGGGAACGGGCTGAGTGAGCATGTTGTCCAGGTTACTTCTGTAATCATCCCAGAGAGAAGACATGGTGTTCAATAGCATTTAATGGGTGGGGGAGGAAATTGAATGGAGGAAATGCCTCTCTTTACAGAGCATAATAATAATAATAATCCTTGCATTTGATATAACGTCGTTGAGACGTCTGAAAGCGCTTCACAGGATATATTGTAAAGTGTAGCGACTGTGTATTTTGTGGACGAAGTGCGGCAGCCAATTGCGCACAGCAGTGTCCCCACAAACAGTTGGTGGTTGAGTGACCAAATTTTTTTTTGGGGGGGACTGGGGGGGTGGATTATTAGCTCCAGAAAGCGATCCATCAATTGACTAGCAACCAGGTTCCTACTTACTCCTAGGTAAACAGAGGGTGTGCGTGGAGTAAGGAAAGTTGTCTAAGGTTACGTCCCGCCCGGGAATCTCTGCCACATACCTGAACGTGCCCTGATCTCCCCGGTCCTGTTTCGTTCCCTTCGTGATTTTCTTGATGGCCATGTCAATCAAATCGGCCTGTTGTATAAAAGGAAATGATGTTTGTAAAACATGGCCAATGTTTGAACGGTTGGCTTTGACGGGGATGGGGCTCAAGGGGTTGAACGCTCTAAAATAACACAGACATTTTGTCTCTAATTCCTTTCATGATTATCTGTAGATTGTGCTCTCCTGCTATCCCCACGCTGACCAGTGGAAATAATCTATTGTTAGTTACCGCAGCCATAACACCTTACCAACCTGTCCACTCCCTCCCCTCAGCAGCCATCGGCCTCCTCGATGTCCCCCGTCCTGCCCGACCCACCATCGGCAGTCGGGTCATCAGTCTTTCTGCCCCCACCCGCTGGATCTCCATCCTGGAATCCTCCCCCTTGGCCCCTTCCCTTGTCTCCTTCAATGCCGACTCAAGATCTTCCTCTTTGACCGTGTCTTCGGTTACCCTCCCACCCCCTTGCTCTGCACCCCTCTTGATTCCAAACCCCACCTTGGGTGCAAACCCTGGACTGTCCAGCACCTTGGGGTGAAAGGCGCTGTACAAATGTAATTGGTTGTTGTCGTTGTTAACCCTTTGCGATTTTGAAGACCTCGGGTCAACCCTTAACCTACTCAGCTCTAATGCTGAAAGCCACAGCTTCTCCAGTCTCTCTTTAAACATGAAACACCGGTATACTCACAGAGACTTCTTCACATTGGAATAGGTAAACGAGGGATTTCCTCGAGTCCCTGATGGTTAGAGCCAGCACGGAGTTGTAGATACAGCTGTTTAATATCGCCCGGCTGTCGTACACTGCATCAATGCTGAATGTTTCCAGCTCATCCTAGAGAAACAACAAGAAAGTCAATCCCTCCTGAGCAATGTAGGGACACAGGAACTTTCACCCCAGTTCCTTAGATCCTAGTGGATTCATTTCAGAAACAGTTTGATGCTACATTGGGAAGATGATTAGGGTGGATATCAAAGAAGTTTGGGATCAAATGGGATGGTGAGGCATCTTCATTCCAATCCTCTGCTGTGATTTTTATTGACCTCATAGTGGCTGATGAGGTTCCTGGACCTTGGGAAGTCCTCCTGATGTGAAAGGCTCTATACAGATTTAATTTATTGCTGTTGTTGTTATGGATGATGATGATGATGAGATCCAATAGCATTTGAACCCTTAAATCCCAACCCTGATGCTCCAGCAACGGAGCAGATCCCAGCCTTGGACCCCTTCACCCCCACCTGGTCTCAGCGATTAGTGACATTACCACAGAAGAGAAGTTCTCCCCCGGGCTCCTTACCCTTGTCTCTATATCGGACAGTTTGAGGAAGCTGTCACTCATCTGCATCATCATGTCCTGCCCCCAGACCCTGCCCTTGGCATCCAGCATCTTAAGCTTGGAGATACAGCTGTCCAATGTCCTTGTATCCTTGAAATCCAGGTCACAGGTGATCAGGTGCTGGGATAGAAATGGCTTCAGGTTAATAGTGATCAAACATGGGCAGTAACCTTGAATTTGATATATTTGACCTAATCGAAGTGTGAATCTGAGTTACCAGGGCTAGATCTAATCCTTGCATTTGATATTTGATACATCATTTCTTTGAGACGTCTCAAAGCACTTCACGGAATATACTGTAAAGTGAATTGACTTTATACTTTGTGGGCGAATCGTGGCAGCCAATTGCATACAGCAGCGTCTCACAAACAGTGATGGATTGAGTGACCAAATTATTATCATTATTTTTATTTATTTTTGAAGGGATTATTGCTCCCGGAAAAGCGATCGGCCAATCGACCAACAACCACTTACTGCTACATAAACAGTTGTGCGTGGAGTAAGGAAACTTACCTGTCGTTTCATCCTGCCTGGGAATCAAACCCAGGCCCCCTCGCTTGTGAGGCAAGTGCTCTAACCACAAAGCTACAGAGCTCCACATTCTCTTTATAATGGAGTGGTGATATGGCACTCTGCCTGTAGAGCACTCTGACATTGCACTTTGACAGTCATGACTATAATATTGCCTGTAACACTGCACCATTGCACTCAGGTCATGTCACCGAGAATATGTGGACTTCACTTCAGATGATAGAATGGATTTAAAAAAGACTTTGGCCACAAACCTCGACTCGATATTGAGAGAGATCCTGCATCGAATTGAGGCTTTGTGCATATTCCTTCCGTTGCCCTGCAATGTAGAGAGAGAGAGAGAGAGAGAGAAAGATTAGAACACTTAGGGTACCAACAGGTGCAGGTCGGAGGGTGGGGGTTCGCTGGAAGCAGGTCAGGTCCCTTTCAAGAACAAATTAGATAAATTTCTCTTTGGAAACAATATCTCGGGATGCGGTGTATAGTTTGGGTCATGACATGTCAAGTGGCTGCCAGGTTGGTGGAAGGTGAACTGGATGGACCTTAGTCTTCTATCGCTTAGCAAATTCTTATGTTCTTACGCTCTTATGAGGGTGGATTAAGAGGACATAGGTTTAGAGTTCCAAAGGTCAATTTTAGGACAGTCTTGGAGTCGTGTTCCGCCATTGTCAAGCGCTCTGGGACGCTATCCTGTGTGAAGGGGCGCTATATAAATGCAAGCTGTTGCTTTTGTTGTTGTTGTTGTTGAGTAAGAGTCAGTGTGAAATGATGAGATGATGGAAATTTCCACCCAGTCATTTCTTCTGCCCACATTACAGTACAGACCAGGCAACTCTTCCGTGTTGATTGACCCTGAGTTCTTAAACAGAGAGCCATGTCCCGAGGCCCGAGTACTTACGGTAGATGGATTTGGCACTGGGTCTGCCCACACTGTTTGTCCTCTGGAATTGAGGTTTTTGAGGAGGAAGCTCACTGGGGAGAGCGAGAGAGAAGGAGAGAGTGTAAAAAAAATGTTTCAAGTTATGTGGACAAAGGTTGGGTCCGTTGTTATCTACATCTCGGCCTTTATTCAGCGCGAATTAAAGCACGGTGGGGGTAAGGAGGACCAATAGCAAAGCTCAAAAAACACTACATTAAAACAGGTTTCGAGAGAGCAGGAAGTGATACAGTACAATACAAAATTACATTTGTATAGCGCCTTTCATGTCGGGAGGACGTCCCAAGGCACTGGATGGCAGTATTGGCAGTGACATGATGATCTGGAAATTGCCTGTTTTTAGCGCAGGATTGGCCTGTGTGGCGCTCGAGAGTGTAAATGGTATCCAATCACCATTCCTCTGTAAGCCAACCCGTGTTTACAACAAACCGTGTTATAACTGCTTATACTATAGCACAGTGTCACACGGTGTATAAAAGGCAAATGTCTCCAGTTTAGTCTCAGAGATGTGAGGTTAGGGATGGACGTACTTAGCCTGACTCTGGTTTTGCCCATAATCTAGAAGGTGTCTGGTATCATAATCTCCGTACATTGTCCCCGCTGATTGTGAACCTGAAAAATAAATGAACCGAACATACATTATTTTGTTGTCTCTCTGACAATGTTTTGCCCAATGTCACCTCTCTCATTCACACTCACACACCCACCCACCCACTCACTCACTCCCACTCCAGTATACTATTATAATAATAACGATAATAATAATAATCCTTGAATTTGATATAGTGCCTTATTGCGTCATTCAGGCGTCTCAAAGCGCTTCACGAGATATACTGTGAAATGGAGTGATAGTATAATTTGTGGGTGAAGCCCGGCAGCCAGTTGCGCACAGCAGTGTCCCACAAACAGCCGTGGGAGTTGAGTGATCAATTTTGGTATTATTATTCTAATATATAGAAGCAGAGCTGGGACAATACCTTCCTGTTATGCCCTCAGCTGGTACGAGTACAGTCTGTTATAGACATTAAGAGAATGGGATACACTTTGTCCTTCCGCACACACAGTCAGTGTAAACACACACACAGTCAATGTAGACTCACACACACACACAGTCAGTACAGATACACACACACACACCCTGGATCTTTGTTGTACTAATGCACAGTTTTTACCGTAGCTTTGTATGTTCCACACGGCAGACTCACTGTAAACACTGCAACGTTATTGAGCAGCTAAGCATGAAGGTTAGGAGAGTGTAAAAATAACACTCTTCTCATTAATAAACTACCTGGCCGGCAGGATGCGCAGGGAGGAGAGAGGAAACTTCAAAGTTACGGTAAAAGAAGAGAAAACAGAGAGAAAGAAAGCAATTAATCAGTGAAGCCCCAGTCACAAGAGACACAGGATGTTCTATAGCTCCCTTTTTAAAAAAAATATTAATAACAAGAAAAATTTGGTCAATCAATCCACGACTGTTCGTGGGACAAATTGACAGTCAATTAATTTTACAGTATATTCTGTGAAGCGCTTTGAGACGTTTCGAAGACGCTCTATTAAACACAAGGATTATTATTATTCAGTGCAGTGCAGGGCTCTGCCAATAAAGAGAACAGTGGTGGTGATGGATCCACTGCCCTGATAGGAAGGTAGTTTATCTCTCAAACCGGCTCCCAATGCCAGGTGTACGGGAGCGAGCCTATTGTCCAGTCTGACACTGGGTGACTGACCTTATCTCCAAGGGACCATCGCTTGGGGAGAGACAATCTCTCAATCTTCAACTTGCTGACGCTTCATGATGAGAATTGTTTTTGTCTCAGGCTCATAGGAACTGGAGCTCGAGACGTTCGCTCACTCATGGGTGCGGGAGAAGACCCGGACCAGTTAATGATTGATGAGGAGTCATTAACAAGTCAATGTTCACTTCGGTGGGGCGCAATAAATGACTTGGTGCTAATTCCGTAATGTTACAGCATTTTATAGCACTCTGACATGGCTCGGCGACGTGATGATAAGGCGCTACATATCAAGTGCAAGGATTATTTATATTTATGTTTCCAGCCTTGGGGTCCTTCAATGGACCACCCTAAGGGGGAGGTTTAGTCTGTTTCATTTGCCTGGACAGTCACAGTGCACACCAGGCCTGAAATTCCACCTGGTCTTAGCCCGAAAGACCGTTTTGTCTTAAAAGTGTCAGAATTGTGGAAAATTCCTAAATTCGTCCTTACAATATATTCTGTGAAGCGTTTTGAGACGTCTCAACAATGTGAAAAGGCGCTATATCAAATGCAAGGGTTATTATTATTAATTTGGAAGCCGGTTTCTTTGTAAGAAAAAACAGCTTCCAAATTAAGGCTTCGATATTAACAACAACAACAACAACAAGATTCCATTTATAGAGCGCCTTTCACGTCGGGAGGACGTCCCAAGGCGCTGGAAGGTGTGAAAGACCTTGATAAAGACTTCCTCCTTATGTGAGAGGTGTTGCAGTAACCGTAACATGTACTGATTCGCTCATCTCACTGCTATTTATTGCTTCCATAGATTAGCTGATGTGTTATTCATACCTCAAGCCAGAGATTGCCCTTCGACCACCATTGGCGGCCGTGCCTTCAGCCGCTACGCCCCGAAACTCTGAAACTCTCTCCCTCAATCCCTCCGCCTCGCCCCCTCCCTCCCCACTTTCAAATCCCGCCTAAAAACCTTCCTTTTTGATCGTGTTTGCGGTCACCTCCCCCCTCCCTCTCCCCCCTGGCTCGGGGTCAGACTCCGCCACTGTCAAGCGCTCTGGGACCCTACCCCGTGTGAAGGGCGCTATATAAATGCAAGTTGTTGTTGTTATTGATTGCCCATGGAGCCCCTCACAGCAGAGCCTGAACCTGCCCTTCCCCCCACACACCCCCTCCCGTTACCAGCTATATCCTTGTACAGGTCTCAGAAGCCCCCAATTCCACGCAGTTTTAGCGTGCGAGACAACAAAAACAACTTGGATTTACCATTTGTCTTCAAATTTGCAGTGGTCAGGATTGTGGAAAACTCTTAATTTGGAAGCATTTGCTTGACCTGTCGCTTTAACGTAAAGCGTTGTTGTTGGTTTAACATCTTCAATCCCAGTTACAATCTTACATCCCTCTATAAGGTCCCCTTCTGAAATGTCTCTTTTCCCTCCCCCGCCCCAACTTGGCATGAGCCTCGGTCACTGTTAATCGCTCCGAGTCGAAGGGCACTATATAAATACAAGTTGTTATAATAATAATAATCCTTGCATTTGATGCAGCGCCTTATCACGTCTTCAAGATGTCTCAAAGCGCTTCACAGATTATACTGTAATGTGAATTGACTGTGTATTTTGTGGGCAAGCGACCAATTTCTTTTTAAGGAATTATTACCCCCGGAAAAAACATCCACCAGTCAACTAACAACTGGGTTCCTACTTCCGGGTAAACAGAGGCGTGTGTGTGGAGTAAGGAAACTTGCCCAAAGTTTCACCCCGCCGGGAATTGAACCCAGGTCATCTCACTGCTTGCGAGACAAGTGCTCTAACCACTGAGCTACAGGTCTGTTGTTGCTGTTGTTGTTATTGTTGTTGTCAAGGCTGTTCTGTCTTAACTTTTCTAATCAATGCTCGTAATTCATCCCTCTAACGTCAGCTCACAGGGGATCTCTTTGAGTTTTGTACAGGTGACAAATCAGCAATGAAATCATGGGGCACACCCAGCAAACATAGGATGGGATACAGCCATCTGCACCTTACCCAGTAAAAAAGGGACATCATTTCAAATCGCGAGGTGAAGTCATCAATCATAGAATCATAGAACAGAATCATAGAATCATGCATCACAGAAGGAGGCCGTTTTGTTAATAATAATACTAAATAATAATAATCCTTGCATTTGATATGGCGCGTTAGCACGTCACTGAGACGTCTCAAAGCGCTTCGCAGAATGTACTGTAAACTGGATTGACTTTGTACGTTGTGGGCGAAACGCGGCAGCCCATTGCGCACAGCGGCGTCCCACAAACAGCCATGGATTGATTGACCCATTTTGCCTTTGAAAGAGCTATCGAATTAGTCCCACTCCCTCGCTCTTTCCCTATAGCCTGGCAAATTTGTTTCTTTTCAAGGATATCTATCCCAACCCCTTTTGAAAGTTATGATTGAATCTGCTTCCACCATAACCTTTCAGGCAGTGAATTCCAAGTTGTAACAACTCACTGCGTAAAAAAAAAAAAAATTCTCCTCATCTTTCCCTCTGGTTCTTTTGCCAATTATCTTGAATCTATGTCCTCTGGTTACCGACCCACCCGCCAGTGGAAACAGCATTTGCTGTGTGGGTCATGAGTGGAAAGCCAACACCCAAGGTGTTGAAGAGCTCTCAGGCGCTACCCTGTGTGAGTGGCGCTATATAATTGCAAGTTATTGTTGTTGTTGTTGGATGAGAGACTCTTCTGTTGGCTGAGTCATGAGTGAAATGGAATAGAGCTTCACCCTATCAATCTCCCCAGTCCCTGCTTTTAATTTGAATATATTTGTAATCAATAGGTTAAACGAAAGAGACAGTATTTTAGTACCAGGGGCTAAGTCAGGTGATATGATTCCCCTAATCATTGAGCACCTTAACATCACACCAGGAAACTCGTTCCAGTTCCCATCCAGGTGTTTATCAGTAACAAATAATACATTTTTTGGTAACTAATTGATTACAAAGGTCACCACCACTCCAGCCTTTCACAGTAATTCAGGGGAAATGAAAAATGTAAAAAAAAACTCTTACTAAATTGCTGCATTAATTCTTAGCTCTGCTTAACTGGAGGAATTTGAAAGGTGGCAACGGGAGAGTGGGTTAGGTAGAGGGCACAAGGGGAGGAAAATACCAGAGTGGATTTGATGGACTGAATATTTTGGTCTGTAACGTTCTATGACTCTACGCACTCAATTTTATTGAGTTCCCAAATGGGGTGACAGATTGCCAGTGGGAATGAAAAGAGGAAGTGGGTATAATAACGATAATATTTATAACAATTCTTGCATTTTGTACAGGGCCTCATCACGTCAGAAGGACGTCTCGAAGAGCTTCCCGGGTTTTACTATGAAATGGAGGTACTGGGTATCTGTGGGGTAATGCGGCAGCACAATTGCGCACAGGAACGACCAACAAACAGCCATGAAACGAGTGACCAATTTTATTTGGGGGATTGTTGGCCAGGACACCATGGGAGAAAGAAACTCCCTTCTCTTTTCGAATAGGGCCACGGGATCTTTAACATCCTTCTGAACAGGCAGTTAAATGTCTCATCTAAAGGTCTACGTCTCTGGCCCTGATTCCATTGCTCTCTCTCTCCCTCTCTCTATCACTTGCTCACTCTCAGTGCCAAGCCCCTGTCACAGCAAAACCGCAAATAGTCACAGCGACCTCGCAAACACACAGAAAAAGTCAGCCGGTTATTGTGAAAACAACAGCTCACTTGACTTCACTGCTCTAAAAAATAACCAGATACCTTTCAAGGTGGAAGGAGGGAGGTGTCTGTCAGCACTGTTGATCTTGTATCCAATTCCTCAGGAAAGTGAGAAGCAGTAGCGGTCGCTGAGTGAGGTCCAGAGGTGAAGAAGACGGTTCCTGGAGTTCAAGGCAGTGACACAGATGAGTGAAGCACTAACTACTGCGCCCAATGCCTTGTGTAGGAGGATTTGACTTGGACGCGGAGTGCTGGGAATGTGCAAAGGTCCACGAGAAAGATTTCAACACTCCGATATTTTTACAGTCTGACGGTTCTGCCTATCTCAGAGTTTCCACAGCCACGCCTGTACACAACAGATAAACACAGCGACCAAGTAAATCCGTTGATGCCAAAGTCAGATGATGGGCAGGAACCGCTCCCTGTGACACCGATTGATTCTGTGACACATAACGTTGGCGTCACAGAAATCCATTGCAGCCACAGAATGGATCAATTATTCACAAACTGGGGGTGAGTTGTAGGGCAGGGGTTAGGAAGTGATGGGGTGGGGGTGAGGGCGGGCGAGGTGGCAATCTCATGGTTAGACTCTGGGGCCAAATTACGTGCCTGGTTTACATTGGGCATCAATGTTGATTAATATGGTAAACAATATTTATTTACATTAGGTCACACCTGAAGACGTCTCAATGACGTAATAAGGCTCTATATCAAATGCAAGGATTATCATTATTATTATTAGCCTTAAGTCCTTCCTGTTTGACTGCACCTTCGTCCACCTTTTATTTTGTCTACAGCCCCCACCACTCCCCACCCACCACTCCCCCCAGCCCACCCGGCCCCGGCCGAGCACAGAAACCACTCGGTTTCGAGGGCGTGGAGTATTCATTCATCTCTGTTGGTTCCCATCTTTGCAGCTGTCAAGCCCAGGCTGACGCTAGGCGGTGCAGTGTTGGGGGGGAGCCAACCCATGGTTGAACTTGTGTCGTCCTTTGGATGAAAAGTTGGGACAGGAAGTGCAGTGATGGGATATCATCGGGTTGGGAAATGTACCCTGATGTACCAGCAGGGGACAGTGGTGGCCAACACGTCGTGATGCAGACAGCAAGAGCCTCATCAGGGTTTTTGTTTGAAGGTTTGCGTCTCTTCAGAGGTCAGTTACCTCTCATGGCTATGGCCTTAAGGTGACTGCCTGGAGTCCTGTAGCTCAGTGGTTAGAGCACTCGCTTTGCAAGTGAGAGACCTGAGTTCAATTCCAGGCAGAGGGCGAAACCTTGGGCAAGTTTCCTTACTCCACACAGAGCCTAATAATAATCCCTCCAAAACCCAAAACAATAATAAATTGGTCACTTCAATCTACGACTGTTTGTGGGACATTGCTGTGCGCAATTGGCTGCCGCGTTCGCCCACAAATATACAGTCAATTCACTTTACAGTATGTTCTGTGAAGCGCTTTGGGACGTCCTCCCAACGTGAAAAGCGCTATATCAAATGCAAGGATTATTATTATTATTATTAACGTTTAAGGTGCTGTACTATTTTTGAACCTGCTCCAACACGTGTCAAGAGCGTTCAGAGGACAAGGTGCCAAGAAGCTCAGTTGGGAAACCAACTCACTTTGACTTCTAGTCAAATGCCCTCCAGACGCATTTGACTGAAAGTCAAACTAGGTTATTTTTGCCCAGTGTTACAGTAACCCCGTGAGTATTGTCACAGCCTATCGCGTCCTCTCTGACACGCAAAGCACAGATGTACAGCACAGTCTGTGCCAAATTCCTTTATGCCTCGTTCTGACCGGCAGCCGATGGTTCACCATCGCTCTTCGCGAACCGCACACATAAGGAAGGGAAAAAAAAAGATGCAATTTTATAGCTGAAACGCCTCAAGAGAGTTTTGCGGTATTCCCGTCGAAAGGGGAGTGGAGAGTGAAGCCTCCGAGACGTTATTCTGCGTGAAGGGCGCTATGTAAATGTAGCATGTTGTGTGGCTGTGATTTGGTTGGGAAAGGCTTGCAGCTATTTTGCTGGGTCACACAAGCAGCCAGGGACTCCCTTCGCTTGTCAGATCGTGTCACCGGATCTTTATCGTACCCTCGAACAGACGGGGACCTCGGTCTAACGCGTAATCTCAAGGACGCCACCTCTGATAATGCCGCGCTCTCTCCACCTCCCCAGGTTCGATACCCAGGCAGGGGCGAAAGCTTAGGCCGGTTTCCCTGCTCCACACGCCAGACGACCGACGACCCCTTTTCCAGGAGTAATAATTCCCTTCACAAATAAACAATGATACTCCGTTCGACTCAATCCACGACTGCGCTGCGGGGGACGCCGCTGTGCGCAGTCGGCTGCCGCGTTCGGCCCCCGGCAAAAATCCCCAGTCGGTTCGCTCGACGGTATAATCCCGCGAAGCGCTGAGAGACGTCTCGAAGGTGCGGATAAGGCTCTGTACCAAACGCAAGGATTATTATTATGATGATGGTGATCATTGCTGCTGTTGCAGCCCTGTGGTTTACCAGCAGGCGTCAGGTCTCCCCCAGTCATCTCTGCCATTTAAAAGTCCTTGGACACCCTCACCCCCCCTTTTCCTACCCCTCACAAACCGGAAGAGGCTTTGCTGTGTGTGTGTGTGATCATTGCTATTAGCTGTTGGAATGGAAAGAGCAGAGAAATCCTATGCAAAAAGCTGATCGCTTCATCCCACCCTGGAGGGAGGACAAGGGGAGGGGGAGAGAAGAGGAGAGGAGAGAGGGGGCAGGTGATGGTGGTGGGGGGGAGAGAGGGAAGGAAAAAAAGTGGGGGTGGTGGAAAAAGAGACATTTTTTTTATTTATTTGCATCTTAAACTCCAGGTGAGTACAGTCTAAAAAGGGGGGACGGGATTCTGTAGCTTTTATGCGTAAATGGTTACGAGACGTTTGAGTATTTTTTTTTAAAAAAAGAAGACTTTGTGTTGATGGCTCTGCAGAGGGTGTGTTGGGGTTAGAGGGAGAATTGCAGATGGTGTGAGTGTGAGTGTGTGGGAGGGCTTTTATTTTCTGGCTATGTGATTTTTTTTTGTATTTCTCTCTCCTCTCCTCTCCTCTCCAGTCTCTCTCCCTCCCTGTCTCTCCCTCCCTCCATCCCTCACTCCCTGTCTCTCCCTCCCTCCATCCCTCACTCCCTGTCTCTCCCTCCCTCCCTCCTTCCCTCTCTCCCTCCCTGTCTCTCCCTCCCTCCATCCCTGTCTCTCCCTCCATCCCTCTCTCCCTCCCTCCATCCCTGTCTCTCCCTCCCTCCATCCCTCACTCCTCTCCCCCATCCATGTCTCTCCCTCCCTCCCTCCCTGTCTCTCCCTCCCTCCCTCCTTCCCTCTCTCCATCCCTGTCTCTCCCTCCCTCCATCCCTGTCTCTCCCTCCATCCCTGTCTCTCCCTCCCTCCATCCCTGTCCCTCCCTCCCCCTCTCCTCTCCCTCTCCCCCCCTTATGGACGGGATTGAGAGAGATGCTGAAGGTTGGAACCTGAATCCCAGACTCGGGACAGTGTGTGTGACTGTGTGTTTGGTGTCTCTCTGTTTCAGGTGGAAAGTACATTGTTTCGTTGCAGAGACTGTGATACTGGAACCAAGTGATGGATAGAGAAAAAGGGAGAGGGCATTCAGAAATAAGCCAGAGATCTGGGGCTATTTAATCCCCCCCCCCCCCCCCCCCCACACACATAGACACACACTCTCTGTGTGTCTCTGTGTCTCAGGGTTGTGGGGGAATGATTCTCAATGTATGTGGGCGAGTTGGGTGTGAGACGCTTGAGAGGGAGTGGATCAAAGCCACCCCTGTTACAAGCTGCTTTGTCAATTTAATGTCCATTTCAGACACTACAGAGACTTAGCGGAATATAGGAGAGGTGGGGGTGAGTGTGGGGGTGGGGGGAATATGGAAGGAGGGGAGGGGGAGAAAGCCAAATTAGATGTTGTGTCATTGTGAGTTGAGATTAAAGGACCTGTTATTGCCTTTCGCCTCTGGATTGGATGTTGAGTGATGTGTACCGGTGCGGAGAGAGAGAGAAGGATAACTGGTGCGAGAGAGAGAGAGACGAGAGAGAGAGAGAGACATGGTGCTCGAAAGATTCATGCTTCGTTCGCACAGAGGGAAGGTGGGGGGGGGGGGAGATCCCTTTAATTATAATAATAATCCTTACATTTGATATGGCGCCTTATCATGTCATCGATATCTCAAAGCGCTTCACAGAAATATACTGTAAAGTGGATTGACTGTATATAGTCTGCAATCTTCTCCCCCCCCCCCCCCCACTCCCCGATAGGTGATGACTGACCTGTCTGATCTCAAATAGCACCACAGTTTATTTAAACCCCTGAAAAAGGAGAGGTGGGGAGGTGCGGAGGAATCGGGTAGGGTGTTTCACCTGCCAGATACTCAGTATCTCTGTTGGGAAACGCACGTGTGTGTGGGCACGATTGGCCTGGTTATGATTCCGCTCATTTCCCCCCCCACCCCCTCCCCAAACTAACTAACCTGCTGACACTCACTCGCTATCTCTGGGATCACTCATGAATCCTATTACATCCTGGAGGGTAAGTGATATGTTGGAGCCCATTACTGCAATCGCAAGGCAATGCCTTCAGTGGAGGACAAAGGATTTTTTTTTCTGAAGCTAACCACTGCATGCCCTCACACTGTGAAAGCACAGCGCTTTTTGTTTGAGTTCCCCCCCCCCCTCCGCTTTTCTCCTCCTATTTCTCCCACCCACCCCCTTCTCCACACAGCAAAAATCGTTGCCTTCTTGCTGAGTTCCTCAGGGCCCCCACCCTGCACACGCACCCTCCCACCCCATCCTAAAGACGCCCATTCTCTCCCCCACCACCCCGTCACATGAGGGTTTGAGAGTGCAAGTAGCCAGCAAGATATTTAACTGTTGACATCTCTCTCTACATCCGAGACTGATGCGGTGTCTCACTCGATGTCCTTTTACACTCTGACACACTTGCACACGATCATCGATACACAGGCACACACACATACACACACAAATAATATTTATTATATTAATACTTGCGTTTGGTACAGCGCCTGTTATGCCAAGTGTCTCAAAGCGCGTCCGTAAAGCAAGTTTCCGTAAAGTGTAGTAACTGCGTGTTTTGTGGGCGGCAGCCAATTTGTGCACAGTGACGTCCCACAAACAGCCTTGATGCGAGTGACTGATTTTATCTGGGAGCGGGGAGGATGATAATAATAATAATAATCCTTGCATCTGATATAGTGCCTTATCACGTAGTTGAGACGTCTCAAAGTGCTTCACAGGATATAGAATCGTAGAATTACACAGCACAGAAGGAGGCCATTCGGCCTGTGCCGGCCCTTTGAAAAGAGCTTCCAGATCAATCCCATTCCCCCGCGCTCTCCCCATAGTCCTGCAAACTTCTCCTCCCCCAAAAATTGTGTACTTCTCTCTTAAAGAATATACTGTAAGGTGGATTGACTGTATATTTTGTGGGCCAAACACGGCAGCCAATTGTGCAGAGCAGCGTCCCCACAAACAGCCTTGGGTTGAGTGACCAATTTTTGTTTATTGGGGGTGGGCGGGGGTTGTTGGCCAGGATACCGGGGGGGAGGGGGGGAGAGAGAAACACCCTTCTCTTTTCGGTGAGGGCCATGGGATCTTTAACATCCACCCGAAGAGGCAGAAGGGGAGCTCGGTTTTAACGTCACATCTGAGGACGGCACATCTGCTGCCTCGGCTGAGAATAGTCAACTCGGCACAGATCAGACGTTGAACCGTGACCTTCAACTCCCCCTGGGGTTAACCCCGCATGGGCGGGGTGGGGGGGGGAGTTAGGGCCTTGACCCACTCGGCTGTCAGGTCAGATCCCTGTCTGTTGAATTTCATGCGCTCGGTTGTCAGCAGAGAACCTACACAAGGAATGTGGGCCAGCGAGATTGAGTCTGACACTTGAGGTGGTGATTTGTGAAGGTCGTGCAAGTTGTAGTACACCCAGACTGAATAGCCAGAGAGCTTTCCGCCTCTGTGGGTCAGGCTCAGCCTCTGCTTCGCTCACGGATTACTCTATGGGATGGAGCGAGTGATGGAGGTTGAGCAGCTGGTTTGTTCCAAGGAAACTTACCGAGTCTGAGGGGGCGAGTTTGCACCGAGACGATTCGCTCAACCCTTGCGAGTGCGGTCGCTCACACTGACTGGGGGTCCCCCTCCCCCTGCCCGGTGCCCGTCCCACCATTGAGGGTCGGGCCTTCGACCTCTCTGCCTCCGCCCTTTGGAACTCCATCCCACGGTCCCTTCGCCTCGCCACCTCCCCCTCCAACACCTCCCCTGCCTCGCCTCTTCAAGGCAAAGTCTCAAGACCCTCCTCTTCGACCAACCGCACCTTGGGTCACCCACCCACCTACCCCTCCCACCCTCCCTGATCCCAACCCCCAACTCGGGTCCAGATTCCTGACTATTCAGTGTTTGGGGACGTCTTCCCGACGTGAAATGCACTGTACAAATGTAATTTGTTGTTGTTGTTGTCTGGGTCTGGAAGCGGGAACTTGGGGACAACGATCAGCCTTCCCGAGACCCGTGTCTGTCCGGTTTATCCGACTCCGAGCCGGAATGCCGCCGATTCGGAGCGAGCAGCCCCGGTGACTATCAGCCTGCCGGTATCTTGCGGCAACGGAGATGGAATCTGAATTGCCGTAGGAACGGGGCTGACTTACCGTCTCCGCCAACCGACTGACGGGAGCGGGGTCGGCAAACCGGGAGCCAAGCGACCGCAAGGCTCTCTCCCGGTCTCCGTCGCCAGTGGTCGGGAAGGAAGCGAGTAATAAATCGATGTTCATGTGCGCCTTCATGTGATCAAATCGTTCCCAATTACCTGTTCCAGGAACCCGCAGAGCAGCTCACAGCGTAGAGAGGAAACTGCTTTTTCATATAAAAAAAATGATCTCCGTGGCAACAGCTCGTAAACCGAACCCTCGGTGTTGTGTGTGCGTGTGCGTGTGTGCGCGTGTCCTCTCTCTCTCCCTCTCTGTTATGCGTGTCTCTCTGTGTCTGTGTGCGTGTGTGTGTGCGTCTCTCTCGCCGTGTCTCGTGTGCGTCGTGAGTGTGTCCGTGTCCGGAAGGTGCTAATTAAATAGCGAGTCCTCCCTGCAGTGTGGCGTTCGCGTTTATTAAACGGGGGTTATACGAGCTGGCACGATAATAATAATAATAATCCTTGCATTTAATGTAGCGCCTTATCACCTCGCTGAGGCGTCTCAGTGCGCTTCACAGAATACACTGTCAAGTGAATTGACCGTGTATTTTGTGAGCGAAGCGCGGAGATAGAACGCTCAGCCATTTTCCCCGGGACTTGTAAGGGTTGGTTGATCTTGGCCGCTCTGCCCCGCGGCAGGTGTGGTTGGTGTGTTTCGTGTGATTGAAGTGAACCCGGGGGGTGAACCTGCCGGCGAGGAAATGACCGTCAATTAACTGGTCGGCAGGAAGCAGCTGGCCTGATCTAATCAGGATTTTTCAAGCCCACAGAATGTAAATAGTTTTGAGTTGAAATAAGGAAGGTCTACTCTCTCCCTCGGCAACTGTCCCCCATCCCCCCCACCTCCCCCCCGCCTCCCCTGCCGTTGGGGCGGTAGGTTATGTGCCTTCTGGGCCACTTGACACCCTGCCTTTATTGCTATCGCTGCAAAATTTATAACCGCCTTTAAAATGGTATCGGAGATGGGAGAAATATTGGAAAAGGTAAAAATGGGAAGGGCTGGGAGAGAGAGAGAGAGAGAGAGAGAGAGACGGGAGTGGGGGGGGCAGGAGGGAGGAGAGATTGGAAATGGAGCCAATCGGACAGATCTAGAAGACGTGAAAAGTGCTATATCAAATGCAAGGATTATTATTATTATTATATCCAAAATGTTGGGCAAAGTCAAGATGGGCCAAATGGCCTCGCTCTGTGCTGTAAAAACTTCCTTCAGCTTCTTAACCTGACCCCACCCTCCCTCCCTCCCTCCCTTAACCTTTGCTGCCTCTGTAAAGTGGGTGAAAGTTGTTCTTTGTGCGAGAACGAGTGCTTTAACCTTTTCCTCTCCTGTGTTGGTATTTTAGGAGATCCTGGTGATGATTTGGTCCACACTTCCCTCTCGTTCCTGAAGGGATAAGATCAGCCCCTCTCCTACCCTCTCCCTCGGCAACTGTCCCCCAACCCTCCCCTCCCCTCCCCTACCCTGCCAATCCCTCTGCCTACATTCCCCCCTCACCACCTCCCCTCCCAGTCTGGCTCGATCTCGCTATCCACCATGTCCCGACCGACGGGCAGTGAGGAGCGTTGGAAATGTTGGGAATTCTCCGGGATCAGCCGGCAGGAGCTGGTGTTGGCGGAGGCCCTCCAGATGGAGTACGACGCTCTCTCGCGGCTCAGGCAGGACAGCGAGCACCCCCGGCAGGAGCCCAAGGACAAACACCTGCCCGGAGTCCAGCTCATCTCCTTCGACACCCACCCGGTGGATTATGGTCAATCGCGCAACGACAGAAACTGTGTGCTGGGGTCTCTCGGGACACCCGGCCCAGACCCCAGCAAGGCCTCCGCTCCGTCAACCCGGGGGGTGGCTTGTTCCTCATCTACCTCCATCCCAGGACCCCCGGACCACCCGAGTCAACAAAGCTCTGATTACTACCCTCTGTGGAAGGACCTGATCCCCACTGACGTCAGCGTCAGCCCAGCCCCCCAACGTCCCTCTGGCCCGGACCCCCTCCCCAGGGCGGGCGAGACGTCCTGCCAGCCTGGGGGGGATTTCGCCGTCATCGACCGCATCCCACCCGTGCCTCCGCGAGCCCCCCTGAGCTCGGGCCGCAGCAGCAACACCAGCAGCAGCAACACACCAACGGACCCTTGGTCTAAGACCCTCACCGGCGACCACCTGGAAAAGCGGACCCCCCCCAATGAGATCAACCTATTCTCCTCCAGCGGAGACTCCAACAGCAAGATCCCTGAAGCCCCCAGCATCTACTCCGAGGAGAGCTTCGACCTCATGGACTACGACGATGTGAACGACGCCATCACTAAGCTGAACCTCATGTCCACCTACGGCGAGGGCTCCAAGCTGATCCGCGTGGGCAGCATCAGCCCCAACTCCATCCACAAGGGGCTGGAGCGCAAGCGGGAGGCAGTGGGCAAGCCCGTTAGCCGCAGCAAGACCCTGCCTCCCCAGGTGCCGCCCCGCACCTACATGGCCCGTCACGGCAACCAGAACAACGCCCTACACCAGGGCAAGGGCAGGCGGGTGTCTGCCGACCCTGCGAGACCTCTCGTAAGTCTTTGGTTGTGGGAGGGGGAGGGGGGGTTCTTTTCTCTCTCTCTCTCTCTCTCTCTCTCGGCCGGGGTTCTCAGTGCCTGTTTGTGTTGGGCCAGTCCTAAGTGTCACCGTTGGGTCTCGCAGGGAACCTTACGGCAGAACGGAAGCTACGAGCTGTTCGAGGTGTCGGAGGAGAGGAACGAGGAGGTCGCCGCCTTCTGTCACATGCTGGACTTGTGAGCATTCACCTTCTTACCTCGTGCCCGGCCCTCTCCCCCCCCCCCCCCCCACCCCGTCTTGCTTTCCAGGGGTAACAATCCCCTCCAAAAAAAGAATGTGGTCACTCAATCCACGACTGTTTGTGGGGTGGGGTCAATGCTGTGCGCAATTCACTGCCGTGTTTCACCCCCAAAATACAGTCAATTCACTTGGTGTTATATAATAATATATAATATTATAATGATTCTTTTATTATATAATAATAATCCTTGCATTTGATACAGCGCCTTATCACGTCGTCTGTAAAGTGAAGCGGTTGTATATTTTTGGGGGCGAAACCCGGCAGCCAATTGCGCACGGCAGCGTTCCCCACAAACAGTCGTGGATTGAGTGACCAAATTATTCTTCGTTTATTAATTCCACAAGAATAAGTATTTTGTGAAGCCCTTTGAGTGCGTCTCGAAGACGTGATAAGGCGCTGTATCAAATACAAGGGTTATTATTATAATTATTATATTATTATTATTATTATGTTTCTCTCCGCTCTCCAGGCTGCGAAGCGCGTATCACAACGAGGGTCCGGAGAACACAGGCTTGATCTGGAGCCCGGCCCTGGTCCAAAATGACCAGCACAGAGCCGGGGTCAGTCTGAAGGTCACCGTCAGCTCCAGGAGCCTATCGGAGCCACTCACCTTCACCTGCGACAGTGAGTGACCTAGTTTTCCCCCCCGAGTCCTACCGCCTGGTCAAGCGCTCTGGGACGCTACCCCGTGTGAGGGGCGCCCTATAAACCCAAGTTGTTGTTGTTGTTGTAACCCTGCAAGCCAAAGCACTAAGGGGTAGGGTAGTCCCAGTTGGACGACCAGTGGGAAAGCTTGCCAGGCAGTTCTATCAATGGTAAGCCATGCGATTTTAGTCGGTTAGACTTCAGCAGTTACCCAAGGCTTGGGGAGGAACCCAGAGCGTGTGGTGGGGTAACTGCTGGAGCCTAACCAGCTAAAACTGCACAGCTTACCCATTGATGGCACTGTCCGGCTCGGACCATCCTTCCCGTTGGGGCTTTGGCTTCCGGGGTTATTAACAGGAGCTGAGTGGGGGCATCGCCTGACCCCAGAGACTGTTCTGCACCCATAACAAAGCCTTATAACAGTCTTGTCGTGTAGCTCTCTTGTGTTCGACGTTGGGAGAGAAACTGTGGCAATGGGCCAGGGCGCAGGGCTTGGGAGGAAAGGGAAGGTTAGAGGAGCCCACCATGCGTCTGAAATCCTGGGAAAGTTGGGCTGGGTTGGCAGGGGTGGGGCTGTGATTTTCACACGCTGCCATGTCTAGACTTGTCACAGCTATTTTGTTTGCGGTGACCAAACCAGTTTTTTTTTTGTTGCAAGAGAGGGAGAGGTTTCCATCTGGGAGTTGGGCTGTGGTCAGGAGAGAACGACGGGCGGTTACCACCAGGCATTGGCCCAGTAACCAGCCCGGCTGGTGTGGCAACAGAGCAATTTGTTCATCTGAAATGGACCTCAGCCAAAACAGTGAACAACTCACTCCCTCCCTCCCTTCCTCCCTTTCTCCCTCCCTCCTTCCCTCCCTCAACCAGCACCACATTACAATTGGGTCCCAACTCTATAAATATATATATACATATATATATTTACATATATATAGGAAACCTCACATTAGTCATATTAGTTGGGACCATATATATATATTACATAACTTAGATGTGTCTGTAAATCAATCTAAAGTTCCCAATGTTAAGGGGAATAACACTCTGAGACGCCATCCGGCCTGGAGGGCACTATATAAATCCAAGTTGTTGTTGTTGAATGTTTGTGTGCATCCCAGGAATTCCTGTAGTGCACAATCATTCCCACGTGTCGTGGTGTGTTGCCACGCCAACAAGATCGCGGCTTTCGGTCATTCAGGGTTCCTCACCGAGGGCACGGCTTGTTATCGATGATCTTCTGTGTCCCTGCCTCCCCGCACCCCACCCCCCCACTCTCCCCGCCCCTCCTCCCTACTCCCCCGGTTGCTTTGCTTTGCTGTGATGGTGGGTTGGCCTCGTTGTCACTCTCGGTGCTGTCTTGCAGGCGGCTCCACCGTGGACCTGATCGTGTACCACGCGCTCTGCTACATCCACGACAGCCTCCGCGGGATAGACGTGAATCACTTTGTCCTGAAGCTGTGCGGCCTGGAGGAGTTCCTGCACAAGTCAGTCTAGGTGTTGGGCTGCAGTGGGGGTGCCGAGTGTGTGCGCGTGTGTGTTAGGGTGGGGGTGGGGGGCGATAGGCGTATGTGTGTGCACACGAGTCAGGGTTGGAGATTGTGTGTGTGTGTGTGTGCGGTGCTGTGAAATGGACTCGGCCTGACAGGATGTGTGGGATGGAGAGATTAATACGAGGTTGATTGTGAATGGGCGAGGAACACCGGACGCAACATCCTGTCATTTCCATTTCTTTCATGTGAGCTGGCCGTACCTTGACATTATTGGGGGCGGGGGGGGGTTTGGGGGGGTGGGGGAGGGGAAACCCACCCCAAACCTTTATGTCTAAGCTCCAAAAATTTCATTTATTTGTTTATAACAAAAAACACATTGCTTTTCTTATTCCAAATGAAATCGAAAACATCAAGCGCTCAAAAGTTCAGGAGCTTGTCCACTACCCAAAACAATCAGACGACAGCTGTTACAGAATAATCCTTCCATTTGGCTCAGAACCTCAAAGCGTTTCACAGGGAATCACTGTCGAGTGTAATGACTGTGTATTTATAGGTGTTCGTGGCAGTTTGTTTGCTCACACTTACCCGATAGTGTGGTCTAACCGTGTGTGTGTATTTATGTGTGTGTGTATTTATTGTGTGTGTGTGTATTTATTGTGTGTGTGTATTTGTGTGTGTGTGTATTTATTGTGTGTGTGTATTTATTGTGTGTGTGTATTTGTGTGTGTGTGTGTATAGTTGTGTGTACATATACACAGAACTGCTGAAAGAGCCAAAGAGATGTCCAGGGATACAATACAGTATACACTTGTAATGGCTCCTTTCATGTCGAGATGACGTCTCAAAGCGCTTTTTACACAGCTGGATGGGCAGTTGAGCCGAAAGTGATGGGTGGGTGGAGGGGGGGGGGGTGGGGGGGGAGAGTGGGTGAGTGAGAGTGAGGAGGGGGAGGAAATATGTCAAAAAGCGCAGTTAATGAAGTAAGACTTGAGATGGGCTGTGTGCGTGTGTGAGGCGGGAGGGAGGGGTTGGGGGGTGAGACGCAGGGAACTTGGTCTGAGCTGGGGTTCCAAAGAGCGGGGTTGGGAGGTGCGGGGGGGGGGGGGGGGGGGATGAGGGGAAGAGTGGCTGAAATCCAGCTTGCCTGCCGAAAGTTCTGGATGATGCAGCCCCAAACCTGCGGTGACTGAAACCTTTTCTGTGACAGTAAACAAACACTGGGAAGCCACCAGTACATCCATTTTTGCCGCAAGTTTGAGGTGGACATTAAGCTGCAGCTGCTGGAACTTCAGACCATCAGCCGGAGCCTGAGCCGCACAGTGAGTGTCCGTCCCTCCGTCCGGGGTCTCGGCTTTGTTCCCCGTCGTGTTGTCGCTGACCTGCTCACCGGCTCGTAAACCCGCGCCCCCCACCCCCTCCCTCCCCACCATGTCCACCCAGGATATCCCCACCCCACTCAGTCTCACAGGCTCCTGCCCTGTTTTCCCAGATCATCGATGACCAAAATCCTTCCTCCCTCAACCATTATATCCACCTGCAGGAGAGACCACTGAAACAGACTGTCACCAGGTGAGGTTTGCCCACAGACAGAGCTGGGAGCATGAGCGGGTTACAGTCTCTGTGTATTACCAGGGGCAGCGCAGCCCCTGGGAATCCACCTGATTTAGTTAGCGGGTGGGGAGGGGGGTGGAGGAGATGTAACATTGGATCTCCCTGGGGCTAAACGGGCAGTCGAGGGATGACAAGGGGAGCAGGATGTGACGATGGGGGGGAGCAATGATGGGGGCAGGGTACGATGCTGTGTGGGAGGGGAGGGCAGGGTGGGTGGGTGTAGATGTGAGGGTGTTGCTGATTATGACTGTGTTGTGTACAGACAAGCTCTCAGCCTCCTGTTCGACACCTACCACAACGAGGTGGACGCTTTCCTGCTGGCAGAGGTAAGCCCTGAATTCCACCCGGTCTCAGTCTGCGAGACCACTTTGCGTTACTCCACACGCCTCTGTTTACCTAGTGGTCAGTAGGAACCCGGTTGTTAGTCGATTGGCAGATGGATCACTTTCCCGGCATAATAATCCCTTCAACACAAATAGTAATACTTTGGTCACTCAATCCACGACTGTGTGGAACACTGCCGGACACAATTGGCTGCCGCGTTTCGCCCATAAAATACACAGTCACTCCACCTTGACAGTATATTCCATGAAGCGCTTTGAGACGTCTCAATGATGCTATTTAGGCGTTGTATCAAATCAAAGATTATTATTATTATTACTATTAAGTTTGTTTGGATGAAGAAGACTCTTTGCCCCATTTGATCTCATCCTCCCCAGAACCTCCTTAATGCCTCTCTTGCCTCTCGTTTCCCAGGCTGACTATTCACACCAGGCTGAGCGGGTGGTCCAATCTGTGATGGCCATTTGCAGCACGCTGGCCCTCGTGGAGACCAAGGAGATAACCAACGCCTTGAACCAGCTTCCGCCCTGCCCCTCCCGGCTCCACCCCAGGATACAGAAGGTACATCTCCCAACACTCAGGCCACCGTGAGCAGAGCATTCCTTTTGCTGCTCTCTGAAACTCTCCCCAGATCCCATCGCCTCACTCACACCTTCTCTTCTCTTCCCGCCTTCCAAACCCTCTTTAAATACTCTTCGACTCCCTTTCCCCCCCACCCCCACGTCTTGGGTCAGTCAAACTGTGTCAATCAATTCACGGCTGTTCTCGTTGACTTTGCCGTGTCCAAATTTGGCTGCCGTGTTTGCCCGAGAAAATACAGAAAGCTTGTGAAGCGCTTTGGACATACTGTGTGGAACGCCAGGATTGTTTCATTCCCCATCCCAGCGCTCCCCTCCCCTCACCCCCCCACCCCCAAATAAAAGCCTTGTCCCTTTATTTTGCCATCGCTGTTGTAGAGAACAGGTCCTTCCTATGTCTACACCGCAGAAGTTGGGTTAAACCCCAAACCCGGTCGTGTTGAGCTATGATGTACAGCGATGGTGGATCAGATCGGATGTTTGTCTCTGTCTAATCACTCGCTTCCATCTCTCCACAGGACCCCAATGCTCTGTCGAGAAGGGAGGCCCGAGGTAAGCAGCTCAGGGGGTTTTTATATGTGGGGGTGGGGGAGGAGGGGGTAAAATACATGATGCTGTGATGGGAGGACGGTCGGGCGGGTTTTCTGGAAGGATGAGATCAAAAGGGGCTTTCTTCAACCCAACCTCTCTCTCTCGTCACCTCATGTCAGAGATGGGTCGGAGCTGAGCGCTGTCTTCTTTTCTCTCTCTCTCTCACACACTTTCTCACTCTCTCTCTCTCACTCTCGCTCGCGGGGTAACAGCGAAGATAGTGGAGTCGCTGACTGCCGCCATCTTGGAGCTGGTAGAGCTTTACTGTAGCAGCTTCAACGCAGACTTCCACACGGGGCTGCAAGGCAACCGCAAGCACTCCCCCACCCAGAGCGCCTGCCAGGTGGACAACCCGCTCAACTTCACCATCTACGCTGCTCATCGCATTCCCATCTCATGGGCTACCAGGTAATAATCATCATCATCATCATCATCAGACTAACGATAATAATAACATCAAATGGAAAGATCGTGGTAAGTGAGTCATACAACTCATAACTGGTGACTGGGTTAGTTAGTGCTGTGTAATGAATGGCCGATGACTCCAGCTGGGACACCAACAATGAGCATTTGCTGCTGCTGCTCTAACCTAACGATTGGTGGAGAGCGAGATCCATCCCTGCCCTTCCCCCACTCCCCTTCCCCCACTCCCCCACCCCCACTCCCCTTCCCCCACCTCCACTCCCCTTCCCCCTCCCCCAACCCCGAAACAACTAAAGGTGCTCAGTGGCCGTATCAATTGCTTTGGAGTTGGAGGAGAAGCAGTGATGATGTGTGTGTGTGTGTTGGGGGGGGTGGGGGGGGCAAAGTTTGCTGAAATTCCTGGAGACATCACCAATTTTGATCTTTCCGCGAAGTCTCGAGTGATTGAAAGAGGCTGACACAAACTGAGGCTTCTTCTCCCGCCCCCCCACCCCAGCCCAACTCCACCCTCCCTTCCCCCTCTTCCCCCAACCTCCCCCCCCCCCCACCAGCCCCCAACTCTGGACACCAAAGCTTTTGTGCGTCTGCTAATACTCGTTGATTGATGATTGGTTCCGATACCCTGGGAAACCCTGCCTGCCCTCTGCCCTTTTGTCCCCAGATGTAATCCGCCTCCTACGTGTCGCTAGGCACCTGTCACTTGCTTGCCGTGCGCTGGGAAGTGTCGCTGAGGCGTGCTGGAATGGGCAGATGTCATCCTGACTCTGTGTGGCTCCCACACCGCCCTGGTGGCTGGCGGGGGGGGGGGGTGGGGGGAGGGAGGGAGGGAAGGAAGAGCATTCCTCCGCTCCGCTGTGTAAATCTCTCCTTGTCACTCTCTTGAGCAGCTCAGAAGAGAGAGAAGAGAGAGAAAGAGACACACACACACGTCCTGGCTCTCTCCGTTTCTCTCTTTTTCTTTCTTTCTCTGTCTGTCTGTCTGGATCCTGAAAGAGAAGGGAGTTTCTCCCAGTGTCCTGGCCTCCAAATAATATTACTCATTCACTTTGCGGCTGTTTGTGGCACATTGCTGTGTGCAGATTGGCTACCATGTTCACCTACAAAATGCACAGTCACTACACTACATAGTAAATCGTGATAAGAATAACAATCCTCGAATTTGGTCTGGAGCTTTATCATGTCGGAAGGACATCTCAAAGCGCTTCGCAGGATTTACTGTGAAATAGAGTGACTGAGTGTTTGTGGGCAAATGCGGCAGCACAATTATTATAATTATTAATAGTCACTATTATTATAATTTTCTCTGCTGAGTGAGACGAAGCAAAGTTGGGGTTGGTGTCTGCTGCAGTTTAAGGGTTACATGTTCTGTCTGTCTCTCTCTCTCTCCTTTTCTCCCCTGTAGTTATGAAGATTTTTACTTGTCGTGCTCACTCAGCCATGGAGGAAAGGAACTCTGTAACCAACTCCAGACTAAGAAAGCTCACGTCTACAAATACCTCTTCCACCTGCTTATTTGGGACCAGAAGTGAGTGACTGGACAATGGGCGCATACAATGGGATTGAGATCGATTCCCTTACCCGTACAGCCAGGAATCTTTTTTTCTCTCTCTAAAGTCACCAGCGCTGCCTGGGGAAACTGAACTGGTTTCGGGAGGGGGGGGGGAGAAATCAAGTCATTCAGCCCCTCGAGCCTGTTGTGCCGCTCTGTAAGATGATGGCTGATCCGTACCTCAAACTCCAAAGAATAATAAATAATTTTAAATGCTCGTACGTGAACAATGGACCGGTTGGTGAGGGGTCGGGGTGGGAGGGGGGGAGAGGAAGGGGAAGGGAAACTGGAGGGCAATCAAAGCCAAATCCCAGGGGGAGGCCACCCCGGAGATCTGGGGGCTGGGGTGGGGAAAGGGAAAATATTAGTAAAGGAAGATTCTGACTTCATCTGATATTTTTTCTCTCTCTCTGTTCAGTATCTGTTTCCCCATTAACGTGAACCAGCTGCCGAGGGAGACCCTGTTGACGGTGTCGCTCTTCGCCTTCCCGTTGCCGCCTCCCGGCAGCTCGTCGGAGGGGAACAAGCAGCGGCGAGCGGCCGAGACCATGGGCTGGGTCACCATGCCTCTCTTCAACTTCAGACAGTAAGTCCGAGCTAAAGCCGCCGGATATGGTCACAAATTCCATCCAGGATTAGCCAGGAGACCATTACATCTTTTTTGAGGGGGGGGGGTTTCTGCCACGTGCAGAAACCTATCACCGTTGCGTAAGAGTATCCAAACCCAAATGAGAACTCCGTGCATCCCACCTACACATGGGAATTCAAGAGATAGATTGTTGGAATGGAATGCGCTCTCTCTCTCTCTCTCTCTCTGGAGGGACATATCCTGATTACTTGGAGAATATTAGGCACAAGTTGGTGAGAGCCAAAGCTTTGGGGGAACTCCAGAGTGTGCGTTGGAGGTAACTTCTGGAGTCTTAACCAACTAAAACTGCACAGCTTGCCATCAAGTATGCTGTCTGGCACATTAGTCACTAGTTGGTTGATTTTATCTTAATTTAGATAGCGGCGAAATACAGGACACTTTTGCTGAGCTGTGTTGTTGGAGGCGCTGTCCTTCAAATGAGATGTTAAACCAAGATCCACTTTCTCGCCTGTTCAAACGGATGTTAAGACTCCTGCAACCCTGTTGGAAAAGCAAAGGGAGTTTCTCTCTGGGGGAGGAGATCCTGGCTGACAATCCCCCCCCGTCCCCAACCCCAAATAATCGGACAATTCAAAGATTGCTTTGCAAATCTCTGCTGTGTGAAAAAAGAAAATCTTTCTTTCCCATTCTCTCCACACACTGGAACTAGTCATTTTTTACATTGAGCAGATGGCTTAAATATAAAACCTTTTATCGTTTGGCAAAAAACCCTAAAATCCTAAATTACCATGAAACATCTTCGAGAGAAAGAATTTACTTTGGCCTCTCCCCCAATCACTATAGACTGGCCTCGGGTGAACTCCGAACGTTACTCTGTATGTGGAAGTTGTGTGCTGAAACTAACATTATTCCTGTATCTTACTGGTTAGAGCGCCCGCAAGCGAGAGGACCTGGGTTCAATTCCCGGGCAGGGCGAAGCGTTGGGCAAGTTTCCTTACTCCACTCGCCTCTGTTTACCAGCAGTAGGTAGGAATCCGGTTGTTAGTCGATTGGCGGATTGCTTTTCCCGGGGTAATAATCCCTTCCAAAAAAAACAATAATAATAATAAATATTTGGTCACTCAATAATACATGACTGATCGTGGGACACTGCCGGGTGCAATGGGCTGCTGCAGTTCACCGACAGAATATACTTCCTCCTCCCCCCACCTTTTCAGGGTATCCTGCGAAGCGTTTTGTGTCGACTCGGTGATGTAATAAGGTGCTATATCAAATGCAAGGATTATTATTATTATTCTCATGTGTTTTTTTAAGTGCTGAGCTCAGGGGTGTTGTTTTCAGCCAAGCTTTAGCCTCTGGTGACTGTTGGGCAGATTGAACATCTCGAGTTGTATAAAGGATCATCACGGGACTCGCTCGTTGGCTCGCAGGGTGGACAGCACCCTCCACGCAGGCCAAGAGCACAGCTGGAGTTTGTCAAAGTGCTGTAAGACTGCCAGATGTGAGCTCGCTGAGCCATTTATCCAAGCGCCCTCCAGTGCTAACGGCATTCATGTCAGAGACTCTCAGATTCCAGCATCTCGAAATTTTGGGTGTTTGATTTATATGTAAAAAAATATTCTCTGGATAATTTGTTTCTGGAACTCTCTTCCCCCCAAAAAATCTCTCCCTTGCCTCCTGGCAACTCCCCCCCCCCCCCCCCCCCACCACCCCAACCCCTCTTCAAAGCTCTTGTGAAAGCACAACTACAGGAGTGAAATCCCATAGCTCAGTGGTTAGAGCGCTCGCCTCGAAAGCGAGAGGACCCTGGTTTGAAGCCCAGGCAGAGTGAAACCTTAGGCAAGTTTCCGTACGCCACGCGCCTCTGCTTACTGAGCAATAAGTAGGAACCCGGTTGTTAGTTGATTAGTGGATCGCTTTTCCGAAGGGGGTAATAAACCCTCCCCCCAAAATAATAATAATGTGGTCACTCAACCCACGACTGCTTGTGGGACGCTGCTGTGCGCAATTGTCTGCTGCCTTTTGCCCACAAAATACCCAGTCAATTCACTTTACGTGTATATTCTGTGAAGCGCTTTGAGACGTCTCAACGACGTGATAAGGCGCTGTGTCAAATGCGAGGACGATTGTTATTCTTATTATCATCTGTTTGACCATTGCGCTTGTTAATGCCTTCATGTTCCCCCCCCCCCACACCCCCTTCCCACCCTGCTCAGTGATTTCTGTTTTCTCTCTCCGTCTCGTGCCTAAGGCGTCTATCCTCTGCGAAGCTGCTACACAAGAGCACGTTGCCGTTGAGACCTCCAGTCGCCTACCCTCCCTCCCCCTCCCCTTTCCCAGCGCACTGTGAGAGAGAGAGAGAGATGGAGGGGAGGGTGGAGGGGGTTCCCATGGCGATAGCCAGCTGAGCATCCCTTGGAGCTGAGCCGGTGTTGTCCTCCGGCTGGAGCGGTTGCTGGGACAACCTCGGGAACAATAGCTCGTCTCTCTCCCAGGGGCCGAATGAGAGGGTGGTGCTGCGTGAGATGGTACTTCAGCCATTCAGCTGACGTCTTGATGTGATGAGGGGGAGGGGGAGGGAGGGAGAGAGAGAGAGGGGCAGAGAGAGAGAGAGGAGGGGGATGGAGAGGGATGGGGGAGGGGAAGTCCGTTCACTCCTATTCAGAGAGTTCACTGAACTGAAACTCGTTGCTCCACTTTTCTTTATATATCGTGGCTCCACGTCCTGAGAGCTAAACAGTGAAAGGTTATCGCCACTGACTGGTTGGCGACTCGGCAAATAAAGTGGGCGATGGTGGTGGTTGAGGGGTAGGAAGGCGGGTGGGGGTGGAGGCATCAACTCAACATTATTACTGGAAAGATAAAGAGCGGGGGGGGGGGGCTGTGGGGGTGAGGGAGGAGATTAGGGCTTTAAATAACACAAAGAATTTGCAGGAGGTGAACTGCCAAGTGGAGTCGTTACAATAGAACTCTTGGAGGTTTAACATGTCAATGAACATTGGAGTAGATGCCTCCAATGAGATGTGTGTGTGTGGGAGTGGGGGGGCCGGGGGGAACATGACACAGCCATCATGAGCAGAATGGTCTCCTGTTGTAGTAGTAGTAATAATAATAATCCTGGCATTTGATATAGCGCCATATCACGTCTTTGAGACGTCTCAAAGCGCTTCACAGGATGCACTCTAAAGTGAGTTGACTGAATGAATGAAGTTTACCAACAGCTAAGGATTGAGTGACCAATTTTTTTTTTTAATTTGGGGGCATTTGTTGGCCAGAACACCAGTGGGAAAGAGAGAGATGGAACGAGAGAGAAACTCCCTTCGCTGTTCAAATTGTGCCTTTATTATTATGCTGACGATATGATGGAGCTGATGAGTTCAGCCCCGAGTGATTTGTGTGGCTTTGTTAAGCCCTCCATGGCCTCGCCCCCACCCTACCTCTGTGACCTCCTAACCCCCTACCAACCCGCCCGCTCCCTCCGCTCAGCCGGCTCTGGCTGCTCCACGTCCCCCGGCCCACCCGCCCCACCATTGGCGGGAGAGCCTTCAGCCAATCTGCCCCCAACCTCTGGAATTCCATCCCCCAGTCACTCCGCCTCGCCCCCTCCTTAGCCTCCTTCAAGTCCCGCCTCAAGACCCTCCTCTTCGACCGTGCCATCGGCCACCCCCCTTCCCCTCCCCTCCCCAGCTCGGGTCTGAAATGCTGTACACAGTCCAGCGCCGTGGGACATCCTCCCGATGTGAAAGGCACTAAACAAATATAATCTTGTTGTTGTTGTTGTTCTCCAGGGTGTTGACGTGTGGACGGAGGCTCCTTGGGCTGTGGGGTGCCAGCCAAGGCATGATCCTCACCAGGTCCAGTGCCTCCAACTTCACCCAACCAGACAGCGTCATCCTACAGGTATGAGCGACTGTGTCCAGGGCGGGAGCTGGGGCTGAGGGAGCAGAGGGGTAATCACTGACTGGAACAGGGTTGGCCAGGAAAGGTGGTTGAGGCCGGGCCACTGGGACTTGTTTAAGAAGCAGCTCGACGCAGTGATAAGGGGACGGGATGCAGCGAGGGCGGGTGGGACGGCGAACGACAACAACAACTTGCATTTAGGCCGCGCCCGTGCTGAGAGCGTGAGCAGGAGAGCGCAGGTTAGACATACTGTAGCGGCAATTTCATGCAGAAAATCCTTGCAGGGAGGACTCGCATCTGGGAGTGATAAAGAAGCCAGAGAGCCCTGAGCCTGTCTGTGCTGGCGTTGTTCCCCGGCTTTGTGCTGATGTGGCAGGCAAGAAAGGCAGGGCAATAACCTGACGTTCTATTTCCCACCCCCCCACCACCGAGGCTTGACTCCCCCCACTTGTCAAGCACTCCGGGACACTACTCTGCGCAAAGGGCGCTATATAAATGCAAGTTGTTGTGCTTCTGCTTTAACCCTTCACTCAGCTGACATCTTCCCCCACCACCCCCCTCCCCCCATAACAATGCCACGAAATACACAGTCACTACACTCTGCAGTATATCCTGTGAAGCGCTTTGAGACGTCTCGACCACGTGATAAGGCTCGGTATCAAGTGCAAGGATTATTATTTCCTCTGTGTTTCTCTCTCGTGCGTAAGGGGGTTAAAATAAGCCCACATTTCCTGGTTGACCACAGAGCTGCTCGCTCCCAGTCCCCTGGACGCTCTGACGGACTTTCCAGCCAAATAGTGTGAGCGCTGTGTGTGTGTGTGTATGAGTGAGGCACAGCATAAAGACATTAGAGTGGTGGTGTAATCACAAGGAAGCTGCCTTGCGCAAGCGAGAGAGGGGGTGTGAGGCGGGAGCGTCTGGATACCAGATACACCTGCATCCCCCGCTTCCTCCCTCCCTCCGACCCCCCCCCCCCCTCCGCCTGGAGGCACGAGAGACACCAGAAGAATGGAAACTCTCGCAGGCACCATGCTGGATGTTGGAAAGTTTCAGCACTTAATGGGAGGAACACTGGCCCGCGTTACAAAGGGAATGTTACAGGGCAATTATCGACACCAAAGGCAATTAGCTTGAGCCAAAGCGGGTTGGGAGCCGAAGCTGATTTTATGGGAATTCTCTGAGAGGGCGACTGAGTCAGCAGGCGAGGCTACGGTAATAGAGGTGAAAGCCAAAGTCCAGCAGAACAGAAAAGGATAGGCTTCTGCCTTCAAAGCACTCAGAAGAGCCCAGGAGGGTTTAAGACCAGATAGAGTGGGGGGAATAATGTTCGTGGTTCATGTCTTTGTGACGCTGTGTGCGATGGGGCGGGTGGCAGAGAGACTGGGGCACTTTGAAACGAGGGAGCTATTGGTGTCTGCTGTATCCACCTTCCTGGCTGCTGGCCCTCATTCCTGCATTCCCTGTGCAGATGTTTTTATAAAGGAGTGCCGTTCGGACAGAGTGGGATCAGGGAGATTATTTGCATTTGGTGTGTGTGTGTTTCGCCCACAAATTACACAATCCACTTTACAGTAATAACCTGTGAAGCTCTTTGACGACACTAGAAAGCGTTGTATCAAATGCAATAGATGATTAATCATTACTGTGTGTCTATTGGGTGTATGTGTGTATTGGGGTAACATGCGTTTGCACGTGTGTGTATTGGGGCTGCGCGTGTGCGCGTGCCTGAGTGAGCGCTTGACGTACGACAGTGCGAGGCTTGAGACGTTCGGGTCGAGGTGAAGGCGATTATAATTTGCACCGTTTCGTAACGGGTTTGATGTGCGATTTTCATCCCGTTGCGTGTAAACTCGATTGCCCCTCGATCCCTCTCACCCTCTCGTCGGCAGATCGATTTCCCCACCTCTGCGTTCGAGGTCAAGTTCACAACCCCTGCACCGGCCACGTTCAGCCCGAAGTACGACTTCAACAGCCTGGACAGCGTGTCGCGGAAGAACCTGAAGGAGGTGATGCAGAAGAAGTCTCTCTTCTGGTAAGCAGCCGTGCTCTGTCACGACGATTTATCACTGCAGTCGCAACAGCAACAGCTTAAAGCATTTACATAGCGTCGCCTCGCGCAGGGAAAAAACCTCCCGGAGCTCAACACGGAAGGACTCGGTGGCGGAGGAAGGTTTTCTCCCGGTGCCCAGGTTAAATCGACGGCTGTTTGTGGGACATTGTTGCCTTGCCACGCGTCTGATTCATCTTTGCTCGCAAGCGAGCTCCCTGCAAAGCGCCTGTCGTGGGGCGTTTTGAGGTCGCGGGGCGCTGGATCGAACGCGGGGAATTTTATTCCTTGACAGGAGTGGGTTGGGTTGAGTTGAAGCTTCCCGATCTGGAGCATCACGTCAGTGGCTGTTCCCTCACGTCAGCGCACAGCTGGGAGCAGCAAAAGGAAACGGCATTTCTATGAGTCTGTCCGAATGGCAGGAAAACTGACTTTTTATTTATTTTATTTTCTTCCCCTTCTTCTCACTTCCCGCCCCGGTTACCGTTGGCAAAGTGGCCGGGTTTCCTCACTGACTGCAGGAAACCACCCCCCACCCGAGAGGCTGTGACACACACACACACACATGCAGTGTTGGCGACATTCCCAGGAAAATCTCCCCTCCTTGTTGTACGATCGATGTCCGAAAGGGAATTATTTCTCTCTGTCCCAGAGACTCATTCAGTGCAGTGGCCTGAGCAAATGCTCCCACAGTCACAGGTCACCTTTAATCAGGTTTTAATCAGGGTGTAATCCACTTTGATCAGAGGTAATGAGATTACATCAGCACTGTAGGCTGGTGCGTCAGCCTGGCTCTGTCATCTCTGGGGTCTGAAGGTGTTCGTCTCGAGACACGCCTCGTTGACCGAGTATTCGATCATTATTTACCCCTTTCCCCCCCACCCTTCGGCTCCTGTCCCCCACCCCCACCTCCTAGTTCAAATGCCCTTCCAATGGTGTTCAACCCACAACTGCACAGTCCATTCACTTTACAGCGTATCCTGTGAAGCGCTTTGAGACGTCTCGAAGTTGTGATAAGGCACTGTATCAAATGCAAGGATTATTATTATTAATGAGCGCTTTGGAACATACTGCAGATGTGAACGGCTCTATGTAAATGTAAAATCTTGCGGGTTTGAGACCCCACATCGGGGACTTGGAGCATTCTCGACTGTCACTCCAGGGCAGTGGTTGGGGGGGAGGGGGAGAGAGAGAGAGTGCCACAACCCTGTTTGGATGAAACTAAGGTCCCGTTTGCCTATTGGGATGGACGTTAAAGACCCTGTGCATCTGCGCTCTCTGTTGATCGCTCTGTCGGAGATGAAATGTGTAGGGAGGGGCGGGCAGGGATTTGGTGAGAAGGACTCTGGTGGCCGGCTGTGTGTGTTCTCTCTCTCTCTCCCTTTGGTGGCTGTAACGTGATCCGCTCCCGATGTCTCTTGAGATGCTGGGGGAAGCCGTGTAATCCAATAGCCCCTGAGACAGTCACAGGAGCCGTTCGCCTCGCCTTGCGCCTACCACCTGGGTCCCTCTCTGTGTCCTCTGCTTTACTGCTAAACACCTGAAGCTGGACAAAGAGAGAGGAGGAGGTTAGGTTAAGCTCAACAATGACTCCGTGTAACTGTGTATTCCTGGGAGTCCTGTAGTGTAGTGGTTAGAGCGCTCGCCTGACAAGCAAGAGGACCCGGGTTTGATTCCCGGGCAGGGCAAAACCTTAGACAAGTTTCCTTACTCCACACTCCTCTGTTTACGTACCAGTAAGGAGGGACCCGGTTGTTAGTCGATTGGCGGATTGCTTACTGAGGGATAATAAATCCAAAATAAATAAAAAAAATTGGGGTTACTCAATCTACAACAGTTTGTGGAACGTATAATTATAATTCCAGTATTATTATTATTATTATTATTATTATTATTCATGCTTAGAGGGGTGAGGGATTTATATGGCATAGTCTGCCATCTAGTGTAGCTAATCTTAGAGCATTGGATCACATCCTGGTTTAGCAAAGAGCAGAGATGTGGGATGGCGGAGGTGGGGGAGAAAATGAATGGTGGGGGGTGGTGCGGGGTGGGGGGGGGGGGTGGGAAAGGGAGGAGTAAATGGTGAATAGTTGGCATTCCACCTCGTCCTGGCTTACGTAAGGCCACTTGGTCTTAAAATTTAAGATGCCTCAAGAGTTTGTGTGGGGGGAAAAGCAGCCTTGATTTAATTTAAGGGCGCTAATTGAAGCCAATTATCTTAAGAACTAGGGAAAAGGTGCCCCTGCGTGTCCCCGGCCTCTCGGGTTACCCCGGGGTCCCCCTGAGGTCAGACGGTTTTGTGCAGTAATGTCATTGTGTCTTTGATGCCTGGCAATGACTGATGATGTCCCCCCACCTCCCCACCCCACCCTCCCCACCCCACTCCACACACACAGGCTGAACGAAGCAGATAAGAAGTTGCTGTGGGAGAAACGTTACTATTGTCACTCGGAGAGCAGCTGTCTGCCCCTGGTGCTCGCCAGTGCCCCCAGTTGGGAGTGGGCCTGCCTCCCTGACATCTACATGCTACTGGAGCAGTGGCGATGCCTCACCCACCTGGACGCCTTGGGGCTGCTCCACGCCACGTGAGTACAGTTCAGAGGAAACCTAGTGTTGTCTGTGTGTGTGTGTGTGTGTGTGACGCCCACAGCGCAAATAACGTACCATCAAAAAGTGATCCGAAAGGCTCCTTCCAACAACCGAGCGCCCTTTCCTGAAACGGGATGTAAGCGCCACAATTTGTCCTTGTTTTGTGTTGAATTGGGGAATTTTTCTTTTAACGGCCTGCATCGCACAAAAACTAAGTCGAGACTTCCCGCTACATCGCCATCGGAGGTGCCATCCCCCGGATGAAAAGTTAAACCGAGGTCCCACCTGGCCTGTTCAGGCGATCGTTAAAGATCCCGTGGCGCCATTCGAAAAGCGAAGGGAGTTTCTCTCTCTCTCTCTCTCTCTCTCCCGGTGTCCTGACCGACAATCCCCCAAATCAAAAAAAAATTGGTCACTTGTGACCACTTGGCTGTTTGTGGAACATTGCTGTGCGCAATTGCTCTGCCGTGCTTGCCTGCAAATACACGGTTACTTCATTTCACAGTAAATCTTTCCGATGGGATAAGGCGCTGTATCAAAAGCAAGGATTATTGTTGTCCTCGTACGCCTCTTTCCCCCGGCCCCGGCTGATGTTCCCTCTCTCTCTCTCTCTCTCCCCCTCTCCCTCTCCCTCTTCTCCTGTGCGTCTCTCAGGTTCCCTGATCAGAGGTTGCGACACACAGCCGTGCAGTGGATGGAGACCATGTCTGGGTCCGAGCTGGTGGATTTCCTGCCTCAGTTGGTTCAAGTAAGTCCCGCATGACGGCATCGCTCACAGATGTGGACATGAGTGAAACAATGTGTGTGTTTATCCGGAGAGGCAGATTGTCAGCAAATTCAAGAAGGTGTTAGACCCGTCTTTGAGGGGGGAAAATCAACTGAGAAGTTACTTATGAAACTGTGTAATGTAAGGTGTTTGTCTTTACTTTGGTCAGGTGTGTTTTGATAGTCTTCTCCAGCCTTGTACTTCTTTACTTCTGATTGGCTCAGTTGGAGGCACTCAGTTGGTAGAAAATCCCCCTCCCCGAGATAAAAATTTGGGGTTAAATGATCTGCCAATTTTGGTCTGAAAAATTGGCAGGTCATTTACCCACAAATGCAGTCAATAATCACGGCATAAATTATCCGACTTGTCTTGACGTTATAGACTTCGTGTCAAATGCAAAATCTGTTAATATTCCTGTCTTCCAATGTGACTGCCAATGTACTGTGTGGTGTGACATGTCTTGTCCTGTCTTGTATTAATGGCACTTGCCTTATGTCCCTCAGGCTGTGAAGTACGAGTGTTACCTGGACAGCCCTCTGGTTCGCTTCCTCTTGAGACGAGCCATCTGTGACGTGAAAATTGCCCACCATATATACTGGTGAGTAGTAGACCCAGCTAGACTGTGACATTCACCACCACTACTCTCCCTGACCCTGGGCACTCACGGCCAATTGCAGAGCTGAGCTGTCATTTTCTCTTTGGTTTGGATGAGGAACTGGATTAACTGGTTTTTGCATGTATTGCAGGATCGGTTCTGTGTTTACCACAGCCACATCCTGCCACCTGCTCCTGGCCTCAATTGCTGACACATCGCACACGGTCGCTGTTGTCTCCCAAGACTTTGCACCAAATGTTTTGAACCAAATCTGTCTAGTTTCATTTTCTGAAACCCAGTACAAAAACATCAGCCTGGCTCAGGCAGTGGCACTGTCTCCTCTCTTGATTGACAAGTGGGTTCAAGTCCTGCCTCGGGGACTTTGAGCTCACAGTCTCGGCTGACATTCCACTGCAGTTTTGGGGATGTCGTCCTTCGGATGAGATGTTAAACCCCCAAATTTGGTCACTCAGTCCACAATAGTTTGTGCGATGCTGCTGTGCACAATTGGCTGCCGCGTTTCGTCCACAAAATGTACAGTGAATTCACGTTACAGGATATCCTGTGAAGCGTTTTGAGACGTCTCAACGATGTGATAAGGCTCAGTGTCAAATTATTTTTGTTGTAAACCGAGGTCCCGTCAGCCTGGTTAGGTGGACGTTAAGCATCCCTCGATGCTATTGGGAACGAGAAGGAAATTTCTCCCCGTGTCCTGGCTGACAATACCTCAGATAAAATTAGTCCTGGCTGCCTGTGTGACATTACTGCTCACAAATCGACTGCTGCGTTCGACTATAAAAATACACGGTCACTACACTTTACAGTACGTGCTGTCAAGCTCTTCGAGACGTCCTCCTGACCTGAAAGGCACTGTGTCAATAATATAATAATAATAATCCTTGCATTTGATATAGCGTTTTTCACGTCTTCTCGACGCCTCAAAGCACTTCACAGAATATACTGTAAAGTGAATTGACTGTATATTTGTGGGCGAAACGCGGCAGCCAATTGCGCACAGCGATGTCCCACAAACAGTCGTGACTTGAAAATGACCCATTTATTATTTTTTTTGTTTGTTTTGGAGAGATTATTATTAGGCTCCGTGTGGAGTAAGGAAACTTGCCCAAGGTTTCGCCCTCTGCCTGGAATTAAACCCAGGTGTCTCGCTTGCAAGGCGAGCGCTCTAACCACTGAGCTACAGGACTCCACAAATGCAAGGATTAGAAATATTGTAAAACAATGACGCGTAGCAAATCAGACAATATTGCAAATGAACACATCGCCCCCTCTCTCCCCAGCCCACACCACTGTACGACATCTTTTTGTCCCCGCGACTGTGATAAGACAATGATCGTCTTTCTCTCTCTCTCCCCCCCTCTCTCTTGCCCTGGTCAGGTTGCTGAAGGACGCGTTGAAGGACTCGGAGTTCAGTGCCCGTTACCAGCACGTGCTCGGGGCCCTGCTGTGCTGCGTGGGGAAGGGCCTGCGGGAGGAGTTCGACAAACAGACCAAACTGGTCCAGATCCTGGCCAAAGTGGCGCAGCGGGTCCGTGACTCAGCTCTCTCCTCACGCCAGGTGATATTCCCCCACTATGTACCGGTGACGTTATTTACGTGGGCGCTAACTGTTGTGTTCATGCAAAAGTCGTCCGATGGAGACCTTTGTGAAGAGTGTGACGCTCTGGCTCACTTGTGTGTTGCAGGCCGTGTTACGTGAGAATATGGAGGAGATCCAACATTTCTTCAAGGTCCAGAACCATTGCCGTTTGCCTTTGAACCCGAGCCTCCTGGCTACAGGGGTCAATTTGCGGGTAGGTTTCACCTTGTCAGTGTATGGGATGCGGAGTTTCCCCACAAGCCTCATTCGGGTAGGGCACCACTCAGGTTACAGAGGTGTAGGAGAGAGGCTGAGACCATAGGAACAGGAGGAGGCCATTCAGCCCCTCAAACCTGTTCCACCATTCTGTACCTCAACTCCAAATACCCGCCCTAAGTCTGGGATTTGCTGTTTGCTGTCCCCAAAATTGGGTTATGCGTTCGAGCTCCATGTCACAACTTTTGAACGCAATCTCCACCGCTGTACCGGTGGGAGGGGGGGTAGCGCCCCATCATCATTGCTGCCCTCCTTCAAGTGAGATGTTCAACCGAGGCCCCATCTGCCCTTTGAGAGGCGAAGAAGTGAAGCATTAGAAAGAAGACCTGGGCAAGGATACGAGTTGGAACAGGAGATGTCTGTCGCGATGGGATTTGACGTTAATTCTGAGAGTTTATAGGAAGAACAACCTGAAGGACAATGTGTTTGGATTTGTATTCATCCAGAGATGGCCTTGTTTGGCCTCTTCTTCTCACCGATTCCAAGTCTGACTTTTTGCTCAACCTTTATCTGTTCTGAGCTGCCTCAGACCGGCCAGTGTCAGTAAAGTCTGTGCAAAAGGTTCACCTGGATCGTGCTCATGTTATTGCCATAATACCCGATTGTTTATTGCTAAGCAAATGTCTCCTAAGGTTGTCTTGTCGTCCAACAGATGTAGAAGTTAGAGCCTTGTTGAGATTCTCTTTAGAGATGTTGCTGTTTGTGGTCAAACCTCCTTGATAACTGTTTCGTCCCTACCCCCACCCCACCCCCACATCCCTCTCTTCCTCCCCCAGGATTGCTCTTTCTTCAATTCCAACGCGGTGCCTCTGAAAATCTCCTTCATCAACGGAGACTCCAATGGGGACAACATTAATGTCATTTTTAAGGTACGTTTTGGAATAAAGCGCTTCGAGATCCTGTCCATACTTCATAGGCTGTTTTCGGGACCTTGCTATGAGCAAAATACAACAACAACTTGGATTGACACAGCGTGGCCCTCATGCAGGGTAGCATCCCAGAGCGCGAAATACAGTCACTACACTCAGCAGTAATTCTACGCGAAGTGCTTTGAAACGTCCCGTTCGCGGTTTAAAAATGCGAGTCCTCCCTTTCGAATTAACCTCACTGGGAGGTTATTTGGAGTGAGCGGCACTGTGTAAACGTGAAGTGTTGGTGCTCACTGTTGTCGTTGTGGTTTGGGGCCAGACTGGAGATGACTTGCGGCAGGACATGTTGACCCTTCAGATGATCCACATCATGAACAAGATCTGGCTTCAGGAAGGCCTGGACATGCGCATGATCTTCTTCAAGTGCACGTCGACTGGATGTGATCGGGGTAAGTAAAGCCTGTCTCACTGGCGGGGAGTAGGGGTATCGGTTTGGAGCACTGCGCCAGCCGCTCATCTAATTCCCTTTGTGTTCCTCACCCGCCACCACCCCCCCACACCCACCCCAGGGATGGTCGAGATGATTCCGAACGCGGAAACCCTACGGAAAATCCAGGTGGAGCACGGAGTGACGGGGTCCTTTAAAGACCACCCCCTGGCGGAGTGGCTGCAGAAGCACAATGCCAGCGAGGAGGAATATGAGAAGGTGAAGAGTTTCGAGCAGGTTTCCTATTTCCCCTCTCCCCCACTCCCACACCCCCTGTGGCTTTTTTTGACACAAAACCATTGCCCATCAGTCCTTCAGTCTCTCTGCCCACCCCCTCCCCCACTCCCCACCCTTTGGAAATCCATCCCACAGTCCTTTCGCGTTGCCCCCTCCCTCGTCTCCTTCAAGGCCAGTCTCAAGACCCTCTTCTTCGACCGCGCCTTCGGTCACCCTCCTACCCCCACCCTCCTACCCCCACCCTCCCTGCCCTCCAATTCTAGACTGTCCAGCGCCTTGGGACGTCCTCCGGACATGAAAGACGCTGTACAAATGTAATGTGCTGTTGTGTTTACACTGTTTATTATTATTTGGTCGGGGAATGGGACTCTGGAGTACCTCAATCGATGGCTCTGAATCATTCAGAGTCTCTCGGAATGAGCCCGGCTGACCGGCACTGTGGCTATCTAACTTCCCCTGTTTGTCGCCCTTGCTCTTAGGCTGTGGAGAACTTTATCTTCTCGTGTGCCGGCTGCTGTGTGGCCACCTATGTTCTCGGCATCTGTGACCGACACAACGACAACATCATGCTGAAGACCAGCGGTCACATGTTCCACATCGACTTTGGCAAATTCCTCGGCCACGCCCAGATGCTGGGGAACTTTAAGAGGTGAGCGGGCGTGTGGGCTCCATAATCCACTAGTGTAAGGGTTAGCTCACTCACATCGTGAGCGAGAAGACCCGGGCGGGGGACCTTAGATAAGGTTTCCTTACTCCACGTACACGCCTCTGTTTACCTGGCAGTAAGTAGGAACCCAGCTCTTAGTCACTTTCTGGGGGAAATAATCCCGCTAAATAAATAAATAATAATAATAATCTGGTCGCTCAATCCATGACTGTTTGTGGGGACACTGCTGTGCGCATTTGGCTGCCGTGTTTCACCCACAAAATATACAATGACTCCACTTTACAGCATATCCTGTGAAGCGGTTTGAGACATCTCAGCGATGTGATAAAGCCCTACATCAAATGCAAGGATTATTATTATTATAATTATTATTGTGCTCGTGCTCAATTTCAAACATCCTTCTCCTGTCTTCCCGCAGGGATCGAGCTCCCTTCGTCTTCACCTCGGACATGGCGTATGTCATCAACGGGGGCGACAAGCCCTCCAGCCGCTTCCACGACTTTGTGGACCTGTGCTGCCAGGCCTATAACCTGCTCCGCAAACACACGGACCTCTTCCTCAACCTCCTGGGGCTGGTATGTTGAGGGGGAGTGGGGGGGGAGATAAACAGGTGGCGATTCCCCACCTCCAAATACAAGACAGGACAATATTCAAAGAGAACTTGACGATTCCCTTTTAACCGGACGCTCTCTCTCCTCTCTCCAGATGCTTTCCTGCGGGATCCCAGAGTTGTCCGACGTCCAGGACTTGAGATACGTCTATGATACCCTAAGACCTCAGGACTCGGAATCCCACGCCACCACCTACTTCACAAGGTATTCCGAACTGTTTGCCTACAAATTATACAGTCACTACACCCCACAGTAAATCCGATGAAACGCTTGGTGAGATGTCCTCTTAATCAAATGCCACAATTATTATAATAAGTTATTATTATTATTATATGTTATTATTAATAATGATGATAATGGTGATAATAATTGTTAATAATAGTAGTAATAATAATTCAGAGCTCGGGAGTGGTAACCCTGGCTAGTTTTCCCACTGGCTATCCCAAGGCCAATTGTAGTCCCAACCACTGCCCAAACTCACATTGACCTCCCACCCACCCACCGGGTCTCTGGAGATTATAATAATAATAGATTGGAGTCTCGCTGTCCAGAGTGGGGTGGGGGGGCTTAACTGATTCAGCCGTTATGTGGGGGGAACTGCTAGTTTGCCTTGACCCTTGTGTTTACCTCTGGCTTCCCTGATGTGATACCCTCTCTCTCTCTCTCTCTCTCCCTCTCGTTCCAGGCTGATCGAGTCCAGTCTGGGCAGTGTGGCTACCAAACTCAACTTCTTCTTCCACAACTTGGCTCAGATGAAGTTCGTCGGCACCGACGATCGGCCCACCTTGTCCTTTGCCCCAAAAACCCACACTCTGAAGAGCGACGGCAAAATCAAGATGCTGTTTGTGTGTCACTATCAGAAGATATTCAACCCCATCAAAGGATATGTACGTGATAGCTCTCTTCCCTCCTTCCCTCTCTTTCTCCTTCTCTCGCTCTCTCTCTTTTGCGTCCTGGTTGCTGGGAGTTTGAACACATGTTAGAGCACTCGCCTCACAAGCGAGAGGACCCAGGTTTGATTTCTGGGCGGCGCGAAGCCTTAGGCAAGTTTCCTTACTCCACACTCACGCCTCTGTTTACCAGCAGTCAGTAGGAACATGGTTGTTAGTCATTTGGTAGATAGTTTTCCGGGTCACTCAAAAATTGGTCACTCAATCCATGACTGTTTGTGGGGACGTCGCTGTGCACAATTGGCTGCCAGGTTGGCCTACAAAATAAGCAGTCAAGTCACTTTATAGTATATCCTCTGAAGCGCTTTGAGACGTCTCGAAGGCGTGATAAGGCGCTGTATCAAATGCAAGGATTATTATGATGATGCCCTATTTCCGTACCGAGGTTGAGAGAGGGCCAGCCCGTCGTGTTGTGTGTCACTGTGTCGGTGGTTGGTCTCTGTTAAGTTCTTGCTGTTCTCTCGCCGCAGACATTTGTTGTGAAAGTGGACCGGGAGGGTCAGCACGAGGCCACCTTCGTCCTCAGGACCTTTGAGGAGTTCCACGAGCTGCACAACAGGCTCCGGCTCATGTTCCCGGCCTCCAAACTGCCGAGGTAAGCAATTCATCTGGATCTCGGGAAAGGGCTGCATTCTCTGCTCACCCTGTGTCAGAGACGCTGTCCTTCGGATGAGACGTTAAACCGAGCTCCCGGCTGCTTGTTCAGGTGGTCGTTCGACACTACAGTAAAACTCGCACAAATCTTCTCTTTTTATAAATCGTATAAAATCGCCCAAGTCACACATTGACCCGAGTTCCATTTGGTTTCCTATCGAAACCACTTGGATTTCTTTGCGCTACTTGTATCAATCGCCTCCTAACTCGTAACTTGGGTTTCATTCGACTTTTACAGTTTGCCGGCAACTCGGACGTTGCGTAAGTTTTATTAAATGTTGTGGTCCCTGATTGATACGATTTATGCGAGTGTTGCTATACTCTGAAAAGGGAGGGGAGTTTCTCTGTCCTGGTGTCCTGGCTGACAATCCCCCCCCCCCACCCCACCCCCAATAAAATCCATCATTTGTTTCAAGACTGTTTGTGGGACGTTGCTGTGCACAAGTTAGCTGCTGGGTTTGTGCCTGCAAAACAGTCACTACAGTCACAGTAACACCCCGCGATGCAATTCCACAATTCGTGGCAATGTTAGATTTTAAGGCAGAATAGACTCGAGAGACTTCACAGGGTGGAAGCTCAGACCTCCGTGTGGTTATCTTCATTTATTGATTGATTTTATTTACAGTTTCCCCAGCCGGTTCGTGCTTGGACGCTCGCGGGGCGAGGCAATGGCTGACAGGCGTAAAGAGGAGCTGAACGGTTACGTCTGGCATTTAATAAACTGCCCCCCAGAGGTCGCTGAGGTACGTGTCTGACCCATAACTGGCCGTGAATGTTAACCGAGTCAGAGTCACAGGGTTGTGTGAGTTCAAGCTTGAAGTCGGAACGTTTCACTGAGCAAAGAGGAATAAGGATTATTCTAATTATGCTCATGTCACATACAAAGCCCTCCACGGCCTCGCCCCACCCTATCTCTGCGACCTCCTAACCGCCTCCCAACCCGCCCGTTCCCTCCGCTCAGCCGGCTCTGGCTGCTCCACGTCCCCCGACCCACCCGCCCCACCATTGGCGGGAGAGCCTTCAGCCACTCTGCCCCCAACCTCTGGAACTCCATCCCCCAATCTCTCCGCCTCGCCCCCTCCTTAACCTCCTTAAAGTCCCGCCTCAAGACCCTCCTCTTCGACCATGCCATCGGCCACCTCCCTTCCCCTCCCCTCCCTTACCCCCCCACCAACCCCAGCTCGGGTCTGAAATGCTGTTGCTCTGTCCAGCGCCTCGGGACGTCCTCCCAACGTGAAAGGCACTATACAAAGGTAATCTTGTTGTTGTTGTTATTACAGTTTAAACCGTTCTGTAGAGGTAATGGTTTTCAGCGATGGTCAGCCAGACCCTGCCCCATTAACACTGCCCCGTTGCATTATGAACGGATGTCACTTTTTGTAATATATTTGAGCTTCCGAAAATAGCCACTTTGACATTTTATTCACCAGGTGTATTGTCGAGAGCCGTTTCTGAACTGTCTTATTAAAGGTCCCACTTGCGCCACTAATTTTGGAACTGCGTTTGTTTTTACATTGCCAAATGCAATTATTATTATGATTATTATTATTATATTAATGTCTGACACTGGCTGTGATTTTCCACAGTGTGACCTGGTCTACACTTTCTTCCACCAACTCCCGAAGGATGACAAATCAGGAAACACCAGCTCGCTGCCAAAAGCAACAGGTCTGCAACCCTCCCTCCATCCCTCCTTCCATCCCTTCATCCCTCCCTGAATCCCTCCTTCGCTCCCTCCCTGAATCCCTCCTTCACTCCCTCCCTCAATCCCTCCTTCGCTCCCTCCCTCAATCCCTCCTTCGTTCCCTCCCTGAATCCCTCCTTCGCTCCCTCCCTGAATCCCTCCTTCGCTCCCTCCCTCAATCCCTCCTTCGCTCCCTCCCTGAATCCCTCCTTCACTCCCTCCCTCAATCCCTCCTTCACTCCCTCCCTCAATCCCTCCTTCGCTCCCTCCCTCAATCCCTCCTTCGCTCCCTCCCTGAATCCCTCCTTCACTCCCTCCCTCAATCCCTCCTTCACTCCCTCCCTCAATCCCTCCTTTGCTCCCTCCCTCCCACAGATGTATTTCCATTCCCACACATCACATGCTCAAGATTCCACCTAGTTTTTTTTTAGCCCTGGAGACCATTTTAAAACCTTAAAACGTTTCAGATTGCGGAAACTTCTTAAGCTACAGTCTTAATTTGGAAGTCGTTTTTCCGCGGTTCTTTTTATGAGAAACCCCAGCCTCCGAATAGAGACCTGACTGAAGAATTCTCCACGATCCCGGGCCACCTTAAATTTTTAGACACAAAAGCTAAGCCTATGATTATGATAATAATAATCCTGGCATTTGATACAGCGCCTTACCACGTCTTCGAGACGTCTCAAAGCACTTCACAGGATACACTGTAAAGTGAAGCGACTGTATACTTTGTGGACGAATTCCGGAGCAGGTTCTGCTCGATGGTTGTTCAGAGTTTTCCATCCCGGTTCACGCTGTTTGTTTCTCTTTCCCTCCCCAAGACGTGCCTCCAACTCCACCGATGGGCAAAGTGGGCGGGGAGGTAAAACTCTCTATCTCGTACAAGAACGACACCCTCTTTATCATGGTGATGCACATTCGAGGTCTGGTGAGTATCGAGGGCAATGGGTCTGATCTGACTGTGTCAATGTGAAGGGGTCATTGGAGAGGTTCACACCAAGACGTCCTTCCGCTCGGAATGAGGTGACCTGGCCCCCCCCAGAGAGCTAATGCCAATATCATTGACCCTACAGGTTCTGCAGGATGGGAAGGACCCAGATCCTTATGTCAAAATCTACCTACTCCCAGACCCTCAGAAAACCAGCAAGCGGAAGACAAAGATGGCACGAAAGACTTGCAACCCGACGTACAATGAAATGGTAGGTCAATGGATCATGATTAGGACAAGGTGAACGTGGACAAATTGGATGGGGGTGGAATGATTCTGGTGGTCACAGGCACATAACTTATGCCCCCCCAGCCCCCATTTATTTAATTATTTATTTAGTCACCCGGAAAGTATTAGGCGCAGACTCAAGGCTTGAGAGGGGAGTCCCCAGAGTGTGCGTTGGGGGTAACTGCTGGAGTCTAACCAGCTAGGTCTGCGCAGGTTGCCATTGATAGCACTGTCTGGCAAACTTTGGTGCTGCTTGTCCAGCTAGAACCACTCTACCTGTTAGGGCTTTGGCTTGCAGAGTTAACAGGAGCTGAGTGGGAGGATTCCCTGCTCCCAGTGATTGGTCTGCCCTTCCAGGTCCTGCCGGTCTTCACCATTCACCATGGTTAAAGAGTATCCAGAGTGTGAACCTAGAGTGTGCATTTGGGTAACTGCTGGAGTCTAACCAGCTAAAACCAAGTACCTTGCCATCGAGATCGAGAGCACTGCCTGACAACCACTGCATATAAACACGGGACTGATGTTAACACGGGCCGATTCCTTGTTGTTTTCCAGTTGGTGTACGGTGGGATCCCGAGAGGAGACGTCCAGCAGAGGACCATCCACCTACGTGTACTGAGCGAGGAGGCATTCAGGGAGAACTTCATGCTGGGCGAGGTGTTCATTAAGCTCAAGGACTTTGACCTGAACCTCGAAGCGGTCAGCTGGTATCACCTGGGATCGACTACCTCACAGGGGACTTTGATCTGAACATTCTGGGGCTACGCCAGCCCCTTAGGACTCTTCGATGACCGAAGATGAAGTCGAGTCGTGGGTGGGTGGTGAATCGAAATGACAAAAGATGACCACTTTTTTTTTAAACAAAAAAGAAAATGTTTTGGATTCGTCGATGACGAGATGAGACTGTTTCAAGGGTCTTGACTTTCGGGCCTGTTTATTCCTGGAAACGTGTTTTAACGACACACACGACAACAACAACAAAAACACTTAAAAACCCTCAATCTGGAGGACCAATAAGGCATGATGTTGCATGCGCTGAGAGATGCAATCAGTTTGCTCCCAAGTTGTGTATTATTACACTATGAAACGTGAAGGTAAAGGTTTCGTGCTGTCTATATGCTTTTTTTTTAAAAAAGAAAAAAAAGAAGGAAAAAAACCCAAAACGTGTGGTTTTTTTCGTGTTGTAACGAACATTTTGTTGCCCGATTTTTTTTAGGTTTGTATTTTGCACTCAAACGCAAAGACTGAAGCAAGCCAAACAAACCGGGTGGCGGGGGGGGAGGAATCGATCGAAAGCTTGAGTGAGAACGTCCATTGAGTGAGTGAGTGAGTGATGGGAGATCAAGGGCGTACAGAGATCACTTAGTCAAGAATTTAGGAGGTCTCCTCTGAGACAAATTGATTTCAGACCCTCTGCTGTGTGTGTGTGTGTGTGTGTAAGTGTGTCTGGGGGAGAGCGAGGTGTTTGGATTAAATTGTGTTGCAATGAATTGTCTAGTTGAATTGCTTGCATTAAGCTAAAGCCCTCCCCCAAAACCTTGCACCATCTCTGGTAAATTCTTATTTGTTGGGGGGAGACCAAGGTTGGATGGGTGAGTGGGTTGGCAGCAGCTCAATTAGGGATTGTATCTGGGATGTCCAGTGAGCCGTGCACCATCTCCATCCAGAAACCTTGCTCAGTTTAGCAAAGTCATCTGATCGGCAAGGCAGGAACATTAATGGTTAACTGGGGAACACTCTGCCCCGTCGCGCTGAACGGTCACTGATGAACCTCTTCGGGGTCCAGTCGTTCCCCCATTAATCAGAACTAAAGTCAATTCCTTGTTTTGTTGGGGGAGACATCTGTGTGTGCCTCCCCCACTCTCTTTCCATTTACTGACCTTGCTACTGCCTTTCTCAATCCATCCCCTACATCCTTCAGTGCACGTGTGGTCACTGACTCAGCCTGCCCGCAGTCCTTCCCTCTAATCCCACATCACTTCTCAGTCAGGCGTGAGAAAGTCATTGTAGTTATGTGAAGACGAGGTCGCAGATATACAAACCTGTGTTCCTTCTCAAACGTACTTTGTGTTCCCACTTAAGATAAGTTGCTGATAACCCCCACTCCTGTCCACAGCCCTCACCAACCCCGGTGTTGAGGTTAGTTCTATGCTGCTCTCTTCCTTCCCCTTTCCCCACACGCCCTTTTCTACCTTGGATTGAAGGAGAAACCTTTGTGGAAAAACCCTTGCCGTGTTTCGGTTTAAACGTTGTACATACGCCAGAAAGCAACTCGACCTACTGAATTAATTTTATTAACTCCGTGGGCGCTGTTATGTTCTGTAAAATTTGTTCATAGATTGTTTTGGTCCCTATTAAGTAATCTCTGTTTGATTGGCAGAGAAGAAATGCTGTTGGATATTTAAAAAAAAATAAAAAAATGTACTTGATGGTTTCCAATTCAGTGTCTCGTTCATAAGATGTTTCAGGGACATGACACAAGATACATATACTTGGCCTTGAGGGCTTTGAAAGTGAGGACCAGGATCTTGAACTGTATCCTCTGTTTGATGGGAGTCCCTTCGCCTCGCTCCCTCCCTCGCTTCCTTCAAAGCCCATCTCAAGACCCTCCTCTTTGACCACACCTTCGGTCACCCTCCCACCCCTACACACCCTGCCCTCCACCCTCCTGATCTCAACCCCCAGCTTGGGTCCAAATCCCTGACTGTCTGGCGCTTTGGGACGTCTGCCTGACATGAAAGGCGCTGTGTAAATGTAATTTGTTGTTGTTGAACATGAATGTGGTCTTGCAGGTTAAGACTAGGTGGAATTTCAGGCTTGTAATGTTCTTGTGATCACTAGAATTCACCTAAGTGTTGCTTTGTTTCATGCAGAGAAGTAGCTTGTTCCCTTTGATGCTTTTTCTTTGAAATGACAGTTCCTTTTAGCAGTAAATGTCGGTTGTGGCTTCCTGCTTTCTGTACCTTATCTTACAAGAGCCCCGGCTGCCCACGGATTTTCAGTTTCATTCCGTGTCACAGTTGCTGTGGCCACACGTATCAAATTTGTTTATGCAGTGTGTGCTGTTGGATAAGAAAAGGGAGTCAGATAATCAGAGCTCAAGTGCTGTCTCTTGGTCATCCGCCCGCCTGCCATGATAACACTTGCATTCAATGCACTCTGGGACACTGTCCTGTGTGAGGGACACTATATAAATATAGTGATGCAGTGGGTGTCACGTCATCTAAAAAAGCCTTTAACAGCAATGCCTAAGTGTAAGGACTATTTTTTTTCCCCGCAGCAGCTGTTTTGCATGCAGCAACATCACACGAAGAGCGAGTCATTGGCCAGGAAAGCAGAAGAAACTTGCTTTTTTTCTTTCGAATTCTCTTTTTTTTCGAATTGTGTCATGGGAATTTTCAGGGCAGGAGGTGGAGGCGAGGCGGGCAGCCGCGATTGTTGTCCCACCTGAAGGCTTGCACCTGAGGCCATGCAAGTGCTGCCGTGGCGTGTCAGCTTAGACTTGGAGCTTGGACCTACAGCTTTCTGACCCGGTGTTGTTTACTGAGTCAGGCTGAGTTACTGCACATGCGAACACAACACCAAATCTCTGCCAGTAACATTCCGTAAACAAATCTTTTTCGTTGTTGAACACACAAACAGATTGGTGGAAACTGAGCCAAAATTATGCTTTTAAGACTCTCCTCCCCCGGGGGCCGAGAGGCAAGGGCGTGTTTTTGTTCCATGTTTATGACACTTTACCTTGGCGTTACGCCCATGAGCAACACCTAACAAAGCTGCAGAGAGGCAGCCTCGATGCTCACTCCAATCATCGGAATCACTGAAATATAATAAAAATCCTTACATTTGATGCAGCGCCTTATCACGTCTTGGAGACGTCTCAAAGCGCTTCGCAGGATATACAATGAAGTGAGTTGACTGTACATTTGAGGGCAAAATATATCTTCCTAACGAGTAAGTGGAAATCTTCACTGCTGAACCACTTATCTGTTGGGTTTGCGTGTGCAACAATCGCGACACTTCAATGTAAGTGGGATCGGGCTGAGCTGGTGGAATGTTGGGCTCTAAGTTCAAGTTCCATGTGAAGACGTGAGCTCTCAAGTCCAGGCTGACGCTCCAATGCAGTACCAATGCAAGACTGCACTGTTGGAGGTAGCTATATCCCCCACGTAGCTGGCGCTTTAGCTAATTGCTTCTACTCTTTCTGAAATTTATCTTCAGCATTGCAGATAAAGCGATTAAAAACAAGGGCCCGCACGCAGGTGACATGACTTTGGATGTGGGTATCGTATGCATTAAAAAGCCAGTGTCTTCAGGGGAAAGTGTTTGGCAAGCTTTTCGTTACAGATTTAACGCTGCATTGATCAGATAATAAAGAAAAAGTTTGCTGTGTTCACCAGGAGCAACTTCAAAAAACATTTGTGCCTGCCTCTCTATGAATAAAAGGTCAGCCAAACCATGTTTCATAATGACAGCAACCTTTAAATGTACCTGAATAATCTTTTATGGTTATAAGGTTTAAAGTCCAGTGTACTTAGTGGAAACTCATGAACAATTTGCTGATGTGTTTATGGCGTTCAATTAACCTTGCTCTCTTTACATATTTCTTAATGTTCTGGGAATAGAACATTTGCTCCTTTGCACATCAGAGCAGGGCGGACACAGGGCAAAGTTCTTCCTAAACTGGTGCAATAAGTCTGGTAGTTGAAGTTAGTTCAATTTCTCACCTCTGAAATAATGGATATGGAAATCATATTCAAATAACTGCTGTATGTGTTTACGTGTTGCCCATTCCACCATCGCTCGGCAGTCGATCCTTCAGCCTCTCCGGCCCCACCTTCTAGAGCTCCATCATGGGGACCCTCCGGCTCGTCCCCTTCAAGGCCCGTCTCAAGACCGTCCTCTTTGACCGTGAATTCAGTCATCCTCCCACCCCCAACCCCCTTGCCCTCCACCCCTCTTGACTCCAAACCCCCAGCTCAGGTGCAACCTTCACTACTCGGCACCTTGGGACGTCCCCTTGACGTGAAAGGCACTGCACTCCTATTTGAAAGTAGTATTTAAAAATATGACTAGTGCAAAGAAATTATTAATAATAATCCTTGCATCGATGTAGCGCCTTAACACGTCTTCGAGACGTCTCAAAGCGCTTCACAGACTATACCCCAAAGTGAATTAACTGGATAGTTTGTGGGCGAATTCGACGTGGTTTTGGGTAGGACACTGAATGGGACTTGGGTGCACGTGTACGACTTAGGCGATTACTTTATACGATTCAGAGTTTTACAGTAAATTCCGTGGGGGGTGAAACGACAGTAATAAATTGGTCACTTCAACCCACGACTGTTTGGGGGGGGGGGGGAACGCTGCCGTGCGCGATTGGCCGCTGCGTTTTCGCTCACACAATATACGGTCCACGCGCTTTGCGGTACGTTCTGTAAAAAGGCTGTGAAACGTCTCGAAGACAACGATAAGGCACCATATCAAATGCAGGGATTATGATTGTATATTATTATAATAATAATAATAATAATAGGAGTCCTGTGGCTCAGTGGTTAGAGCACTCGCTTTGCAAGCGAGAGACCTGAGTTCAATTCCAGGCAGAGGGTGAAACCTTGGGCAAGTTTCCTTACTCCACACAGAGCCTAATAATAATCCCTCCAAAACCAAAACAATAATAAATTGGTCATTTTCAATCTACGACTGTTTGTGGGACATTGCTGTGCGCAATTGGCTGCCGCGTTCGCCCACAAATATACAGTCAGTTCACTTTACAGTGTGTTCTGTGAAGCGCTTTGGGACGTCCTCCCGACGTGAAAAGCGCTATATCAAATGCAATGATTATTATTATTATTATATTATTGTTATTGTTGTAATAAGTGACATCGACGCCTCCAGGGGTGCAGTACGGGTCCTCCAAGCCAGGGCGGCAGCAGAGAGTGGCGGGGGGGGGGGGCGGGTGCTCTCCTGTCCGCGCTGCGCACCCTCCTCGAGAGAAGCTGATGAAACCGCCGCCATTGCAGCGCTCGGCTCGGCTCGACCGGTCAGCAGCAGCCGCCGCCTCCGCCGCTCCCGGGGACCGGGGGAAAGAGACCGCCATTGCCGTCGCCCCGCTCCGTCACCGACCCCGACCGCACCTCTGACGCGGCAATGGCGTCCCCCAAAGCCTCGTCGCCACCATCCCCCGCGTCGCTTCACAGCGCCCGTCGGCGCGGAGCTGTTTTGGCGCCGAATAATCGAAGGAGCCATCAAAATGGCGGCGGCTGCGGCGGCGCCGTCGTCGTCGAGACGACGGTTCGTAACTGAGGAAGAAACCGAAAGGAAGAAAACCGTCTGCAAACCCCTCTCTCTCCCTCTCTCCCTCTCGCTCTGTCCCGGGGAAGAGCCTTATTTTTTCGCAAACGTTTTTTTTTTATTTTTGTGTCCGGGGTTTCCGAGGCGACGTTTTTTTTTTCCTTTTAGATATATTTTTCTCTCTCGAAAATGAACCGGGACCTCGGGGTTCACCTCGGGCCCGAGCCCCGGGCGGGGCCCTCGGCCGGTCGGCTTGAACCCGACCGGAGCCCGTGGATGCTCAGGCTCCTCTCGGCCTTCTTCCCCAGGCCGAGCCTCGCGCTCTCCCACACGGGACCCGGACCCGAGCCCCGGGCGCCGGACGAGACCGGGACGAAGGCGGGCGAGGCCGCCCAAGCCGAAGCCCAAGCGAGCACGGGCGTGTTCTCGGGCGGCCTGGTGTCCTCCGTCCTCCACTGGCTCAAGCCCCCCGAGCAGGGGCTGGTCCCCGGCCCCGCAGCGGCCGAGCTCTCCCTTTACCGCGACGCCGCCCCGGAGGAAGCCCCGCGGCCTTTGCTTCACTCGGCCGAAAGCCCCGGGGTCGGGTCCTCGCCGCCTCCCGTCTTTCCCGCCCCGGGCGTTCTGCAGACGCTTTGGGACAAACTTGCCGGCGGTGCCCCGGAGCCGCCGTTCCGTTCGGGCTCGTGGCGCAGCGCCGCCGTCAGCCCCCCCGGGCCGTGCGGTCGCCCCGGGGGGGGGATGGCGCCGCACGAACCCCCCCGGGACTTCGCCGGTACGAAAATGAAAGCCGATCTGACGTTGCGTTTGGGTCGGGGCAACGGGGATTGCACCGACCCTGTGCACCGGGTGTGGTTCCCGGAAAGGTCTGGGCTTCACGTCCAGACAAAGGCAGACACACGGGGGTCAGAACTGTTGCTCCCAGATGTCGGGATAAAGGAGAAGTCTGCGGAACTTTTCCATCACGTTAGGGACCTGTGCGTTGTCACTCCGGAGCAGGACTACGGCTACTCCAGTTTGGAAGAGGAGCATAATTATGCCCAACATAGGGGCGTCTATTCGTGTCGCAGCGGTGAGACGGAGGCCGCATCGGAAGACAACTGCTCCAAAAGTGCAGGTGATTCGGAGACCTGTGAAGTTGTAGTTGCAGACCATGAATTTGTATTGCAGGGATCGGTTGACTTAACCATGACCTCAGATAGTTTTGAGGCCTCTGATGGCAAATTATCCATAGGGTACGATGAATGGGACAGTGATAGTGAATCCGAGGACGCTGCAAACGAAGAAGCAAACAGTCCTTCCATCCCTAGACCAAGATGTTCCAATAAAACCATAGCCTACATTTTAGGAGGTAACTCCAGTGATGAGGAGAGTGAAGACGAGGAGGACAAAGCTAGTGATTGGGATGACGATGGCTTTGACAGTGAAACCAGTTCCGATTTCTCGGATAGCGATTGTTCCAGTGATGAAACAGAAAAGCTGTGGAATTCTTTTTCCAGCAGTTGGGATCCATATAACCCTTTAAATTTCCAAGCCTGTATTAAAACAACAAAAAGGCAGAAGAAAACTTTGCCTGAAAATCCTGAATTGCATCAAGAGACTACATCAGGGTCAACATGTCCTCAGCAGTCTCTGTCTTCCCTTGTGGACAGTGATACAGCAATGGACAGTGGGTTTTCTGAGGCAGTTCAAAATCAGCTGCGAGAAGTAGTGACTCAATTGATCTCGGGCAGAAAAGGTTACAAAAAGGTAATTTTTAAAATATTGTGTTTAGTGACATGGATTGATTTAAGAAAGTGAATTCCAGAACTGAGACAGGCCTGTTGGTGCTTAAGCTTCGTAATACTTTGGCTTTGAAGCATTTGACATAATTTCCTGAAATTTCTGCATTTGCACCTATGTTCAAACTTTCACATGGGTTTAATATGTGAAAGGCAATTAACTGACTTTCAAATGTACAGGAAGTGGAGCTGTATCAATTCATCATGTTGTTTGTTTCTATCGAATTGCCAGGAAGCCTGCAAGTGGATGGTACATTTAATCTTGTGCAGATCCGGCTCTGTTCATAGTTCAGTGATGGTGCTGGTGGGGAATGTATTATAGTTCTTAGCTTTATACATATTTGGTTAAAACATGGTCTGTATATTAAATCGGGCACAATTGATTATTGCAGTAAGCTAGCACATGTTAGGAAGGGCTCTCCTAACTTTCTGATCTTAAGTGAGATCTGGGTAGGAAACAGAAAGTTCCCAATTGTCACAGCAAGTTATCTGAGAATTGGGTGCAGCCTATTCTATTTCCGAGAGCTTTTCTAATGCTGCACTGTAATGATTACAATGATTTAACAGGAAGTTAAATGAGTAAGCTTTGTCTGAGGCAATATGCAAAGCTTATTCATGTTTCTCGGTAAATTTGACTACCACACATAATCAAATTACCGCATGTACACTCCCTTGGCCTTGTTTCAACTCTTATTCATCCCATCCATTTTATAAGGAGCTTAAATATAACCTCTGTTTTTGGACTTTGGACATTTGCTTATTTTATATTCCATATATGGATTAGATCTCAATGTAAGATCTTGTCCATTTCGCTGTTGAGGATTCTATTATGAGGATGGATTTTAGTTTAATTGCCTAATAGCTCCATTAGTCATGATAGGAATATGATGAAGTGTGCCAAAGTATGCCAGATTTAGGTAACTTTGAAAACAAACGTGTTTAAACGTGTACAGTTTTTAAAATTAGGTTCACAAATGCTATTTTGGTAATCATAGGCTAAATGCCAAGGCTAATTCAAAACCAGCCGAATAATGGTTTTGGTATTCGGGCAATGTAGGGCAAGAGTGACTTGTGTTAAAGGAATTTAGGATGATTCCTCTACTGCTGGCTGGCTTGTTGCATGAAAGTACAGCCCCAGTATTTTCAGTGTTTCATTTGTAACTATAATCCTCTTATTGCTTATATCCAGTTAAACTGGACTTTTAAAGGCAGTTGGAGTTGGATTTAATGTAATATGGTGTTTTAAAATGCAAATTTTATTTTCTTATCAGAATTTATAATCCTTCAGAATATTGTAGTGTAGAGTTATTCCAAATTGGACAGTTTGTTCCACCTGTTTTTTGGTTGAGCAGCCCATTTGCAATCCAGAGCAAGTAAAGCAAAATTGGCGGCAATTCAGAAACCATAACTCGTACTCAAATTGATTACACAATTGTCAAAGTCAGGGTCACAACAATTTTTTGTTGTCACATACGTGTAGTGTAGTCTTTATGTGTAGTCAAGGTCCTTGCAAACCGACTGATGTGAAAACTGGCTTGGTCAACTCCCTGCCCTGTCAGACAAAATGAATTCCTAGCTTCTTTCAGTTTGCTGACATATTATATAGTAGGTGTGGCATTGCTACAATCTGTAGTAAATGCCGCGTACATTGGTTCGGTTCCAGGGCCTCTGGTTGTTTGTTAGTAAGTGTTATAAGGCTTTATTTTCCTCAACGAGAGACTTGTCTACTTTTTGTCATAGTTCTGGTTACCGTCTAATGACTTGGTACATTCCTTTGAGCAGGTATCTATCGAGTTTATCCTGTTTGCTATTTCATTAAAGTTTCAAGTTACAAATTCTTCAGATTCCTACCATTTTTCTTCCTGAAATGTATTATGTAGTTCCAGTCTTCTGGTAACACTGCCCGAATTGATATTCTAAGTGTAAACATGCATGGTATAACAAAATATAGTGCGATTATATAGTGTCTCTTATTTAGGATAATGTCTTGAGTGTTTCGCAGAGCTGAGCAAGCAAGGCGTGTGTGTGTGTGTGACCGCAGACACAGTTGAAGAGCTAGTTTTTTAATCTGGGATTTCAAGACATAAAGGGGGAGAGACAAAGGGACGGAGTTCCCTCCAGCAGCTTTCTGAAGCCAATGCTGGTTGCCATGGTACGAACAGTATGTTTATGGTTTTAAGAGTTAAAAAAAATGTTTCTATGATATTGGGGAATTGCACTCTTATATAGCATCTTAACGATTCCATGCAGATAAAATATAATAAACTTGAAAAACAATACCTTGTTACATAATTTACCCTTGTCTTTTCATCCATAACCACACAAAATATGCTAATAGTGCAGGAGGTATGTAGTTTGTCTCAAGGCTTATATATGTTGAATGTAAAGTATGTATAGAGCAATGTAAATATTTATGAAATGTAAAAGGTGGAAAATAAGATGGTACCTTTGTGTTTGTTGTCCAAGAGATAAGGTGAACACAAGTTTGATCTGATTGAGTTAGTAAATTTGTTCTGATCGGCGTTGTCTTCCTTGGAGCTGCTCATGAGTCTGTTCTATTTCTTTGGTTGAAACACAGCCTATTTATCATTCAGTTTCATTGTGCTCGTGTTTGAGATGTAGCATTCAGTAATTCAGCTTTATGTGTAGCATTCTGTAACCAATCAGTCAATTTAGTGGTCTATTAATCTTCTAATTACTATTTTGCCTTTGTCATGCATGATACAGTAGGCGCCTTGTTTAGGCTGACTCCCAGTTAAGTGTGGAGAGAGGAAAATTGATCTGATGAATGTTATTTTAGGATGAATAGAAATTTCCTTGCTGGCAGTGAACTGCTAGTGTGCTTCCAGAATGTTTTTTCTAAATATAAGTTGAATGCCAGCGTCTCATCAGTGAAAAGGCACCTGGAATTCTTGCGAGAGGATTGGTTTCTTATCTTTAATTTGCAGCAGGATTGTGGGATCTTTAGGCCACATTTAAATTAATTCCGCATGTAGTTGGATGTCTTAATACATGCAGGGAAATAGTGGTAAATCTGTACCATAGAACTAAATTTCTACACAGTGTGTTATTAAACTGATAAAGATCCTTAGTTGAGGCTAGCGTTAAATTATTTGTCCCCTCCATTTTGTTGCTGGATACATATTCTCGGCCCTGCTTGTGAAAGCCTTGAGGTATTTTTTTGCTGGGTGCTGTGAAACGTGCTCACTAAGTAATTTCAAGAGTGACACCATATAGAGTTGTTGAAATGGAAATTTATTGCAGCTCTCGTGTAGTAAACGTTACTGGCCTTGACTAGAAGAAAATGACTTTTTTGCCTTTCTTCCTGCATTTAGGTTGCCTTTGATGAACACGTCATTGAGTACTATGTGAGCAGTGAGGAGATACGTAAAGGCCCCTGGGAAGAATATGCTCGGGATCGCTGCAGGTTCCAGAGACGGATCAGAGAGACAGAAGAATCTATTGGCTATTGTTTTACCTTCGAGCATCGACAGAGTGTATTGGAAAGGTTACTAATGGACAGCTGATGACCTCCTGGTGTGGACGGACTATTATTACATGGAATAAATAACTCATTTATTAATCATATAGTCTGTTTAACAAATCAACCCTAAAATGCATACTTACTTTAATCATTAGAATAAGGGGCAAGGAGAAAACAGCTTTCATGTATTGATCATCAAGAGTAATTTCTTGAGACGATGTCTGCACTTTAATATTCAAAGCTTGATGGTACAAGCTCTTGTAGGTGGCTGTGTTCGATTTTTGGTCGGGGGAACTTCCACGCTGGGGTCTTAAATTTGAGCTCTGTGCTTATCCTTTACATTTTATCAAGGGATTTGAGGTGCGTGTGTTTTGCTCAGCGTTTGTCATCGTTAATGTGTTGAGTGATTATTTGAAAGCCTGGTTTTGTTCGGTGTTCACAAAGTGAGCGCCAGCTGCTTTTTGCATTAAACAGCAGCACAGAGTAAATTATTACCACGTGGTGTGGCACACCTGGAGTTGTATTTGTCATCTGCTGAAGTTGTACGTCTGTTGTGTCAGCATCTTGAATCGTCTGGAGTGTGTTGTTGCACTCATTGGGGCAGCATTTGCAATGAAATTTCACTCAACCAAGCTGGTGGAAGAACTTCTCGTGCTTTAACGTTCTTATTCTTTCAGGGTAGACGGCTTGAAACCTAGCCCCTTGTGAGTACAGGGTTACAACTTTGAAGCTAGTTTGTGTGAAAAGGAAGAAAAACATCAGTAATGCGGTGGAGGGTGATCTTCTGTGGTTAGGACATTCTGTCGTTCCCTTTATCAGTCACCAGCACTTAATGAATTATTACTTAGAAAATAATACTCGTTTGACTTGGGATTTTCTTCAGTGCGACAAGGAGGGTGGGGAAGCTTTTATTGATGCCGAACAGCTTGTTTTACAGGAATGAAAAGGGGCTGGTGTGGGGGGGGGGGGTTGAATTATGACAGAGTAGCGGAAAGCAAACTGAGGACAGAGTAGCCATATGTGTCTACATTTAGATAAATGTGCCTTTAGTTTTTACTAAACTCCCAAGATCGGGTACATGTGGATCATTCAAATTGGGTACAAAATCCTCAGTCTTCTTTACCACACCTACAATAGAGAGAGGTTTCTGCTTTAAACATACACTCAGCTTCATTTTTTTTAAAATCTGTTTTCAGTGTTGGATTTTAGTGTAGGTGGAAGCTGTTGACCGACTCCAAACTATTCCTCCGATATTGTGCACATCATCACTAATTTTCACGGATTCCAAATTATTGTCGATTCACTTTACAGTATATTCTGTGAAGTGCTTTGAAGACGTGATAAGGCGCTATATCAAATGCAAGGGTTATTATTGCCACAGCAGACGATTGTTTTGAAATTCATTTAATAGCGTTCTTGGCCATTTACATGTTTTAAAATATATTTTTACAGCTTGCTTTAACTCACTAAGAAAAAAAGTTTTGTGTGTTTCACATAGTTTACATAAACGTGTCACAACTGGAATCCAAACCCCTTTTTGTTTTTCAAGTTCAAGATCTGTTTGTTTCCTTTATTCTAAACTCAATCCACAAAACTTGGTGAGAGACACTGCTGTGTACAATTGGCTGCCCTGTTTTTGCCCACAAAATATACAGTCAATGCACTGTGCGGTATATTCTGTGAAGCGCTTTGAGATGTCTTGGGGACGTGATGAGACTATATCAAATGCAAGGTTATTATTTGCTGAATTTGTTCTACAGTATTTTGCAAGTTTGATTCATTTCAAAATGTTTGTGTAATGAAACACATTTGTCGTGCTGGAAGTGTTTTAAATAATATATTAATAGATATTTTCTGATCGGTTCATTGGCACTAGGAATTCTACCACTTGTTTGGCAATGGGGTTTGAATTGTTGGTCAATCTGGGACGAGGATTTCTGTTTTGAAGGGATTAGCATTTGGAGAGGAGCGAACAGGGTAAAATAGGGGCATGACCTGCTGTGAATAATCAAGAGATAATCTCATAGAATCTTACAGCGCAAAAGGAGGCCATTCGGCCCCTCATACTTGTATGGCTCTTTGAAAGAGCAAGCAACTTGTCCCACTACCCCGCTCTGCAAATTTTTCCTTTTTAAGTAAAGTACCTTTCCAATTCCCTTTGAAAGCTATTATCAAATCTGCTCCCACCATCCTTTCGAGCAGTGCATTCCAGACCATAACAACTTGAAGACAGAACCAATTGGCTTCAAAAGCAAATCCTGTCTGCATGGACCTTGGAGCCAGTTTATTCATTCCATGAAGTGAAGTGTTCTAAGGCTGCCAAGCACATATCACATAGAGCAGGGGAAGAACGAGCATTGCCTATATTAATGCAAAAACACTATATTTATGCAGAACATTGTTTGACTCCAGCTACAGGAGTAAATAGCACTTGCCTCTCAGGTGTCTTAGTCACAGGCCCTTCAGAAGTAGTGGTGAAGCATTGGACTCCGAATAAAAAGATGAGTTTGAAACCTAGCTTTGATCCTTTATCACAGTGGTGGACAACCCATGGCCCAGGGCGACTGAGCTGTAAATGTAAGCAGTTTCAGGATAAAATTACAAATCATGTTTGCTTTGCGCAACATTGCAAACATTTCCATTCCTCCCCCTTGTCTTGTCTCCTTCATATAGTGCAATATCTATTGTGTTTATTTGTTTGTGTATGCGATCATTAAGATTGGCCCATTTGCAGTGAACAGACTTAAGTTTATCCCTTTACGTTCCAGTTGCAGCTATTTATTAAACCTATAATCCTTGTATGTAATTTTATGAGGCAGATTTGTACTTATTTTTACTGATTGTTCATTTACAGCACATTTTACCAGTTTCCAAATTAGGATGGAAGTGAGGACTGTAAATAAGTAATGTGTATTTAGTTTTTCCCCTTCAATGAAACAACTTAATATGTAAATCTTTAAGCGATCAGGTTTTCAAGCTCCTAAATAACCCCACAATTGTTGTGAGATCACAAATAAAATATCAGCATCTTGAGCACGTCAAGTTATTTTACTGTCGTCTTCCGTTAGTGAGCTTTAGAACCGCTTTTATATCACTAGTTTGTCTCGTGTCGAGCCTGATTTCAGAGGTAACTGGTAATGTACAACGGGCACTTTCCTAACTCCAGGTCTGCCTTCAGCAAATGCTCTATATATTTTTAAAAAAAGCTGACCCTCTTGTAGCAAACAGCTGATGGTTGATGTCCTTGTTTGATAACAGCAACATGCACTTATATCAGTGCCCTCCGTGGCAGGGTAGCGTCTCAGAACACTGATACATATAAATCCTATCAGTTCATTGTGACCTCGACTCTTATTGACCCGGCCTTCACTATACTTGTGTATACATGTTTGTCCCTTGTTCTGTGGCGTCCAGTGATTACTGGAGCATTTGTGGCGATTGTGCCTTCATTGCCGGTGGGTTTGTCTCTGTCCCAACAGAGGACCCGAGCTCTTTCCCTCTGACGTAAGCAGTCTCCGAGGTTTTCCGTGTCATCGGATAAGGAGGGAGCTTCAGATCTGTGTTGCAGTCAGTGTTCAGTGATCAAAAGAGTTGAGGGAATGAACGTTCCAGCTCTGGCCTGCACAGCTGTGCGGGAAAAGCACAATGGGTTACACAAACTGCATTCTGAACCCTTTCACTGTGTTGCACAAAGAGCCTGTCACATGGCGTGCGTATCCCCCTGCCACCACCCTCGCTCTCTATAGACCACATCACACAATATAAACCCAAAGCCATTGTACGCTTCCACTGTTGCGGTGAGTAACAGGCCAGCGCTGGTCATTGCAGTGCCATTAACCCATTCCATTACCGCGTGATGGGCCAAATAACTCCACCGATTTATGCATGTCGTTCATTACAAGTGCAGGTGACTGCTGCGTTTGCCCACAAAACACAGTCACCGCACTTGTGTTTTGACATAATATTGCTCCAGCTGTTTTGAGAGAAGGAGCCATAAAAATAGATGCCTTTCTATTGTTGCTTTAATTCCCCATTCCAGAATCGTACCTATCGAACATGTACACATTCGCGAAAGTACAAATGTATGTATGTTCCTTCTCTTCCCCCCCCCCCCCCCCCCCCCCCCATAGAAATTTCCAGGATAAAGCGAGGGGGAAGCAGCATACAAACCCTTCCCCCAAGTCTCCAAGGTAATTATAGACCCAGTAGAGGGTCACACAGACAGAGAGCAGCATTGAGAATATTGAGAAAGTTATGATTTATAACCCCTTCCTTCCGGCAACCCCCACCCACCCCAGCGCTCAAGGTCTTAGCCATAAATTGTAGTGTGGGGAACCTCCCATCGTATTACTGTGTCATACATAACTAGTATTCCCATCATTAGTAACTGGGAGTTTCGGGTTATGGCAGAACCAGTGGATGCTCCAGACAAACCGCTGCATGTGTGCTGTACTGTATTGGTGAGTATGCACAGTTGCTGGGTGGTAAGTACGCATGTCTGCCGCTACTTTCTCTGCTGCAGCTCAGTACTCCAGCTTGAATTTTTTTTGGGGGTCTCTTCGCTCATTCTTTGTCATTTGCCTGCACTTTGCTCCGTGTCTTCTCTTGCTCAGTAAAGTCTTTACCGCAAGGTCATTAATCTGTAAAACCGGTTGGGCTGGTCCTAATGGCATTCAAGGTTGGGTTTAGAATGTATGTGTCACCACAACTACCCAGTAATCAGTATGGAATCCACGGACAATGACTCCTTTTAACTGTCTAAAAGCTCACCCAAGAAAGTATACGAAGATAATCAGCCTCGGCTCCATTTGTGGCTTTATCATTTTGTTGCTCCTTTTTGCAGATATTTCAAGGGTAACTTATTAAAAGATCTCTTACTTGGATAAATGATAAACTCCGTCAGACCCTGAATGTTTTAAAGATTAAGTAATGTGTGCCAAGTAAAGCTGCTCCTCCTGACCTTTTATCAATGCCTTGCAATGATCTTTTCACTCTTAACTCTTTCACCCGTCTGCTCACATGCCACCCAACTGCCTCCCTCCCTCCCTCGCCCTCCCTCCCTCCACCATCAATGGCCGAGCCTTCAGCCAGGGCTCGAACTTTTCTTCCAAAATCAACTTATTTCCTCTCTCCCTGACTGCATTCAAAACTGTCTGAACTTGTCTCTTTGAAACCCTACCTTTGTGTTCCCCTTCATAATTATTGAGCGCTTCTAAGATGTTCATTCTAAGTGAAAGGGACTATATAAGGGCAAGATTTTGCTTGTTGCTTTAACTGCAGCGGAAATAAAACCACAGGCATGAATACACAGCACAGGCTGTACCACTCAGTACTCCAGTCATTAAGGAGCTTCTCTGTTGCAATGACTGCTCACAGTCATTCTCATTGTCCACCTTAGAAATTGCGACACGACAGGCAATTGTGAAATGTACAGTCATACCTTGCATCGATAGTCGAGCCTTTCTTGAAGCACATTAAAACAACTTAGCCAATTACAGTTGTCAAGTGAATGTTTGGGTATCTTAACGACTGTTCCAGTTAATGAACCGGTTCGAAATGGTATCAGAAAAACATGTCTTTACTCAGGAGAGTTAGACCATGGAACACACTCGCTCAGGAGTTGCACAGGTGTTGATCAGGGTGTTTAAAAGGGAGGTGGATGGGATGCTTGGGAAGATGGGGCAGAAAAATGGGATTAAAAGATTTGCCATGATCTAATAAAATGTCGGAACAGGCTTGATGGGCTGAATGGCCTCCCTCCTGTTCCTGTAGTCCTGGGTAAAGGTAAATTGTGGCTCTTTCTAAATCCACCAGCATTAACTTTCTTTTTATTCCCTTAGCCGTGTGCCGGTCTCCGAGAGTAGAAGAATCTGGTTCCCACTGAAGATGCATTGGTCAGTTTCTCCACAGTGGCTTTGCTCGAATTGCCTGAACAGTCCAGCACACACAGGTCTTGTCCATTGGGGAGGGGGCGGAGGAGGTGGGGGTGTCGTAGGTCTGGTGATTATCTTATTCTTTCACAAACTAAATAAAGGTTTCTCAGTAAAGTCTGCTGCCTGAGTGTCTCATTGGTCGGAAGGAAGTTTTGAAATAATGTAAATCATGTAAAAAAAAATTAAATTTTGTTGTTGAAATTCTGCATCTACAACAACCTGCATTTACACAGCGCCCCCTCACGCAGGGCAGCTTCCCAGCGCGTGTGACAGTGGCGGAGCCGGACGCTGAGCTGGGGGGGGGTGGGGGTCGGAAGAGAGGGGAGGCGACCGTAGGCACCGTCAAAAAGGAAGGTCTTCGGGCGCGATCTGAAGGAGGGGAGGGGGCAAAGTAGAGGTGTGTTGCAGAGTTTCGGAGCCAAAATAGCCCTTCGCCTTCCATCACTGCGAATGTTAGTAAAAGTATTTCTTTGTCTGCAAGCAGGTAAACCATAAACACTTGCCCTTGGAGTGTTTGTTGCTGATATTCGAACATACAGCTAACGCAAAGTTCCAATTAAACCCCAGTATTTCCACCCGTAACAATGAGGGCGATTATCATTGGGTGAGTTTGGATGCAGGAAGCAATATTGGGGGCGGGGGGGGTGGGGGAAAGCTCCACATTCTTTGAAACTGTTGCCGTGGGATCTTTTAAACGTCCACCTCAATAGCCTGAGGAACGTGGGAGTAAGTCCATTCAGCCCCTCGAGGCCTGTTCCGCCATTCTATCAGATCACGGCTGATCAGCACCTCAACTCCAAACCTTAGTTTAATGTTCCGAGAGGCAGCGCCATCAATAACACTGCGAATCCCTTCACTCCTGCACCAGGGTGCCAGCTGGTCAGCCCAGCTCTTGGTGTGGATCCAACCCGCAATCAAATTCAGAGGCTGGGCTCGGTGTAGACTTGATGTAGACTGCCATCTAGTGCGAATGACTGTGGTCGTCTAAACAGTTTTCCACTGAACTACAGTAGTACAGTAGAGTGATTCCACGACAAAGTGATGTAAATGCATTCGGTGGATTCTGCGTATGGACCTGGACAAAGTGAGATAACTGGGCTGAAGGGCTTTGATTTTTTTTCCTCCCTGCTACCTTGTGACCTGATGCATAATAAGTCCTTTCCATCGTGGGCTGGGTTGACAGTCAATCATGTCGCACCAGCTAGTGTCAGCAGTTTCAGGAAGAGAGCATGAGCATATTGACAGGGATGGCAGGACAACATGCCCGTGGTCACGAAACATCAGACATGGCAACTGCGGTGCAACTTGAGGCAGCAATCGAGAGAATAAATATTACGATGACTCCTTCAAAGTCAGGTAATAATTAGTGCTTGCACTAATAATTAATAATTAGTCTTCCTAACCCCCTACCATCCTGCTCGCTCCCTCTGCTCAGCGGGCTCCGATCTGCTTCACGTCCCCCGCCTCACTCCCCCCACTATTGGCCTTCTGCCATTCTGCCCCCACCCCCTGGAACTCCATTCTGCAGTCCCTCCGCCTCGCCCCCTCCCTCGACACCCTCAAGACCCTCCTCTTCGACAGTGCTTTCGATCTCACTGCTTTCCCCCCCCCCACCCCGCCCTGCACCGTCCTCGACTCCGACCCCCAGCTCGGGGTCCACAACTGTGTCTGTCCAGAAACTCCCTTCTCTTTTCTCTTTTCCAATAGTGGGACTGGACCTTCATAGCCCCCCCCACACCCAGAAAGAGGCAGAGAGGGACTCCTCTCATCTGAAGGACAGTGACTCAGACACACAGCATCTCCCACCCACACAACCCCCAGCACTGTACTGAACCATCAGCCAACGCCAGGGGTCTCTAACCGGTTGATTGTCACCAGGTGGCATCTCGTTCACCCTCGATAAAAACAAGAGCCGGGAGCGATACTTACCGCGGTTTAAACATTAAAGTTTATATTTTTATTTCGACGTGACTCAATGGCGGCACAATTCTATTGTTCCTTCCTCGCGTTTTTCTGATCGTGTACAAGAGCGCCACTGAGTGGTGATCGATGGTCGGGGGCCGTTGGTTTCAGGGTGAAGAGCCCACAACCTCATGATAATAATTAATAGTGAATATAAATCAGCCTTGCATTTGAAACGGCGTCTACTGACGTCCTCGAGAGGTCTCAAAGCGCTTCATAAGATTTTGCTGTGAAGGGTAATTTATGAAGCGATCCGCCAGTTGACTGACTAACAACCGGGTTCCTACTTACTGCGGAGGTAAACAGAGGCGTGTGCGTGGTGTGTTCACCTTTTGTCCTCTCACTTACGAGGCGAGGGCTCTAACCACTGAGTTACACAAGACTCCAGATAATAATAATCTACATTATCTGGGGGGGGGGGGTGGTGGTAATTATGAGAGACAGAGACCCACTGAGCCTGAGCCAAACTGATCACTCCACAGTTGAGCAGGAGTTGGGTTCTCACAGGGTTAAAGCCATTACCTGTGCTAAGTGCAGACCCATGTGTTTAACTCTAACCTCTCTGTAGGTTCCGCAGCTCTTAGGAGCTGCCGGAAGGAGCAGCAAATCTCCCAAGACGAGGAAACGGTCTCCCAACTCCTGGGGGAAAAGGGGGGAAAAAAAGTTTGGGGGAGAGCCATGGCTTTGCAAAGCCTCCCAGACGAGTGGAGTTACGGGGTCACCAGAGACGGGCGAGTCTTCTTTATAGAGTTGAGTAACTTTTTATCATTGGAAAATACTTCTGTTAAAAAGTATTTATCACGTTGCTTTTCGTTTTGTTTGTTGCCCTGTTGGAATTGGTCATTGATTTTTCCTTTGCCCCCCACCCCCCCACCACCACCCCATCCCAACCCAACCTCCTCTCCCTTCCTTTCACCAAATATTTTTTTCCTCTCTCTCTTCTTTCTTTCTCTTTCTCCATTTCTCTTCTCTCTCCCCTCTTTCATTCTCTTCCCTCTTCCCCCCTCTCTCCTCTCCCCACACAGTGATGGGAATCTATTGACCACTTGGCTTCATCCCATGTCAGGACAGGCAATGCAGACAGGGAACAGATACAGAACAGGTAAGGGAGACTTGTTTCACTTCCCCGGAGGGAGGGAGGGAGGGAGGGAGGGAGATGGAGGGAGGCCAGAAAGTTTCTTAAAAGTTTTGTTAAGCAGCCAATTTTTTTTCCCCCTAAATTCCTTGTTTATTTTTCTTTTGTGTTCTTTTCTCGCTCTTTCTCTCTTAACCCTCAGTGCTGCCTGCTGGGTGGGAACAAGCGTTCACCTTCGAGGGTGCCACTTATTTCATCAAGTGAGTACAAAGTTTTATTTTTCTTTGCACAACTTTTAAGGTGGGGTTTGTTCGAGTCGCTCGTCCTGGTTGTGACACTGTTCACGGGGAGGTTTTTTTTTCTCTATTTAATGTCCATCAGGGTGAACTGTGTTTACCTTCTCCACACACACACACACTTGAATTTACTGATCTGGTTTTAAATCATCTTTAATTGGTGTAATTATCTTAATAATTCCCATTAGCGTGCTCGCCTCGCAAGCGAGAGGAACCAGGATCAATATTCCCACGTGTAGCGAAACTTTAGGAAAGTTTCCTTACAGCCACACGTCTCTGTTTGCCCGGCAGTAAGTAGGAACCCGGTTGTTAGTAGATTGGGTAGATGGCTTTCCGGGGGTAATAATCCCTCCAAAAATAAGACCAAACACATTTTTACTGCGTCCACAACTGTTTGTACGCAATTGGCTGCTGTGTTTCGCCCACGAATACACAGTCGATCCACTTTGCAGTATGTCTTGTGAAGCGCTTTGAGATGTCAGAAAAATGCGATGAGGCGCAACATCAAATGCAAGGATTATGATTATGATTTAAAAATTGCAATGTTTAACACCTTGCTGCCACGTTCACCTCAACTCGGAACGATTTTCAACTTGGTTTCCAATCAGATACAATAAGCAAAAAAAATCCAGTGCCCATTCCCCCCCCACTCAGACTCACATATTTCTTTACCCAGAAGGTAGATAACGATGATGAGGGGTTTCCTAAGAAGGGCGTTTGAAGCTGGGACGCTGGATTTATTCCAGAAACAGCTCAATGATAAGAGCCCTGAGATGCTTCCCTGGTGAAGGGCGCTATGTAAATGCAAATTGTTGTTGATGCTGTCATTAGGATTTGGTTCTGTGGGTGTTCTGTAAGGACGAGATGTGATGTCTGTCACTCAAAGGATATCCCTGCACTTCTTTGAATTGATTGAAAAGTTTACTATATTTTCATCAGATGGTTTTAACTGCTCTGCAAATTAGTACTTGTGCGGCTTCTCCACTTAAATGGGATTATAGCTATTCAACGCCAATTAATTGTTCAATTGCTAAAGCACGCAAAATGTCAGATTAGCGCACTAACAACCAGATTAATGCCTTTCATCGGTGCCGCATCCATTTTAGTTTGCAGCTACGTTTTTCTTGGGTTAAATTCTCAAACATCTTGTCATCGGGTGGTTAGCATTCTAACATCATTCAGACTAAAATCTTGTGTCCCGGATGTTGTGTATATGAATATACATATACTCTGCCCGCCATCAGCGGGTGAGACATTAACTCGTCTGTGCTCTTTGGAACGCTATTCCTCTGCCTTGTCCGTTGGCCTCTCCGCCTTCGTAACTAACTTTAAGACGTTTGTCTTCAATCATGAGCTTTCCTCTCCCCTTCCTCAGTTTCCCCCCTTCCCTCTCTCCAGTCAGCTCTTTGAGGCATCCTCCTGAGGTGCAAGGCTCTGCACGAATATCCATTTTTTGTTGATGTATGACCCTGGGTGTGCGCATTATGCGTATTCTGAGTCAAGAGCGCATTTATAGATTTGAAAAAATCGGTTACTCAATGCACGACTGATCGTGAGACACAGCGAATCGCGACTGGCTGCCACGTTTCGCCCACAAAATAACCAGTCGCTTCTGTGAAGCGCTCTGAGACGTCTCAACGGAGAGCTAAGGCTCTATGTCAAACGCAAGGATTGTTACCATTATTATTATTATTATCATCATCATCATCATTTATTATTGATGACTCAGTCGGAAGGCGAACGATTCAGCGGGGCTGTTGTGCGGAGCTTTACGGGGGGGGGAGGGGGGGGTGGGCGGAGAGGGAGACCGGCCTTCCCTGAGCGAGGCGAGCGAGACCTGTGCAGACATGTGCAGGACATACTTCGCCCGCTCTGGTGACGTGATTGATCTGATGAAGAACCGATGCAAGTCTGAGGCAGGATTCTTGCCCTCGCAATGCCGCAGCGATACCAAGTGAGGGCGCTGTGGCCCCTCCCCCGGGGCAGGGGGGGGGGGTGGGTGGAGGGGTGGGGGGCAGCACAGCGCCGCCTGGCGGCAGCGTCGCCGTATTGCGCCCCAATGGTTGACAGTAAAATAAGTCAACTCGGGGCGCAAAGGCAATTTGGTCCGTTCTGGCCGTTCTGGTGCTTCCGCAGCAACCGTCGACTCCGATCCACGCCTTTGCTCTTTCCACGTAGCCTTTTGCACGTCATTCACGGGGCGGTGCCCTGCGGTGTCCTCCCGACGGGAAAGGCGCTTGTTACAGACGTCGTTTGTTGCCGTTAAGTTGGTCACTCAATCCGCGAACCGTGTGTGGGGACGCCGCTGCGCGCAATTGGCTGCCGCGCGGTTCACCCGCACAAATACACGGTCGGTTCACTTTACGGTGTATTCCGCGAAGCGGCTTTGAAAACGTGAGAAGGCGCTGTGTCGAACGACATGTCAATCGAAGTAGTATTATTGTTGTTTTATAGCACTCTCACTTCTGAGTCAAAAGGTTGTGGGTTCGAGCTCACAATCTAAGCTGACGCCAGTGCAGTGCTGGGGGAGGGACTGGTGGCGGTGGGGGGGGGGGCGGGGAAGCAAGCTGTGTTGTGAGACATTCAAACCCAAATCCCGCCAGCTTGGTTCAGGTGAACGGTAAAGATCCCATGGGATTACTTGCAAGAGGAAGGAATCCTGGCCAATAATCCTCCTGGGAAATGGATCCTTCACTTGGTGGCTGTTTGTGGGACTTCACTGTGGGCCAAAATGGCTGTCATCTTGACCTGTAAAATACGTAGTTGCTACCTTAAAGCAGCTTGGAGATGTTTTGACATCAACAGACTCGATATCAAATGAAAGGATCATTGTCGTATTCTTATCCTTCAAATATGTTTTATCCCCTTTTTTGAGTGATGTCTGTGGCTTTCAAAGCCACATGTGCCAACGTGTTTCCCGGGCTTATTCTGGCTCCTGTGTTGACTTGCACATCATTATCTCAGCTTCAAATTATTTCAACCTCGTCAACATGTCCGGCGTTTCCTGCCCGGAATTGACGGTGTCTCCTCTGGGCACTGAGTAACCTCAGCTCGTTTAATCACTCGCTCTGTGTCTCTCGTCACTCCGTAAAACTGGAGGGAATTGGGGGAACAGAAGAGGAAGGGAGGGGGAGAGAGCGCGGGGGAAGAGGGGGAGGCGGGTTTCAGATTCCTCTCGTCAAAGGGGTGTTTAAATACTGAGCACAAATTGTCTGCCATGCTCACCTACAAAATACACAGTCGCTGCACTTTACAGTAAAATCCTACAAAGTGCTTTGAGACGTCTGGACAATGGGTTGAGGCCATTTTCTTTGAACGTTTCCCCCTTTGAAATGAAAACCCGAGTCTGCGCTGAGATTGGATAATCGGTGCTGCCTCTGTCTGCGCTGGGATAAAATCACAAAGGAATTCCTTCATGAACATTAAACCAGCTTTTTTCCCTCTTTGTGTAATTAATTTTCCCTGATTAATATTTAATGCCTGGCAGGACGAGAGGCTGTTCAGAGTGCGGTGCCTTTCACGAGCTCCGAGTCCTGACGTGGGAGCTTGAACCCTCCAACCTCCCGCCTCGACTCCTCCATTCTCAACAACAATTTGAATTTATATAGCGCCCCTGAATGTATATAGCACCGATTATCTCTCTTCCTCTCTCCTTGTCTCTTTCTCTCTCTCGCTCCCCCTGTCTCCCCCCACCCCCCAACCCACCCCCACTCTCTCTCTCTTTGGTGTCAGGCGACTGTTGGTGTGTGTGTGTGTGTGTATGTGTTGTCTCACTGTGAAAGCGCTTGTCTGCCATCGATAACAGTGGTCAGGGGAAAGATCTCCTATTATCCTCCTGTTGTGTGTGTGTGTGTGTGTGTGTGTGTGACTCTAGCGTGACTGGTGTGTGTGCAGGTGTGAGATTGTAGTCTGTCTGTGTTATGACGTGCTTTACGAGTTATGGCGGTTCGAGGAGTGTGTGGTGGGGAGGCCGGTGGCCACTGATGTACGTAAATGGTTAGGATGAAAGTCCTTGTGCTTTGATGGTTTACAGTGACATGAGACAGAAAGCATCTTCCAGGTGGTGGGGGTGGGGGTTAGGAGGAGTGTTGGCATTCTTGCAATGCTGAGTCAAGCCGGAGTTAAGTAACCAGAGGAACTAAATTCCTCCCGGTCTTAGTCTGTCAGGCATAAATGTTAATTGGCGCTTTCCATAAAGGTGGTTTGTTGTTGTGTTTATTATATGGTACCGTTCACCTAAATACTCGGGGTGAATGGTACTGTATCGGGGATTGTCTTGGAGAGCTTTTAAGTTAAATTAGGTTCACCTTACGAGTTTGCGGAGTTTTAAATTAATCTTAAATTGTCTGTCTTTCTGTGTGTGTGCCTCTGTGTGGATGTCTCCCTCCTCCCTGTCTCTGTCTCCTTCTCTCCCTTTCACCGTGAGATGTTCCAGGCTTTACTGCCCCTGAGCGCGGGACAGAACCCGAGGCTAAGATGCCAGAAAAGCAGTAGTTGTGCTGTTGTTAAGGCGCTACGTTGCGTTGTGTTGAACAGCGGTGAACTCCAACCTTAATCCAATCTCTTCAGCTCGACACCAACAGCAAAGTCGCAGTAATCAGCAGCTTGTGGAGTCATCAGGGCTGCTAGTGACTAGGTCCCTGCGACAGATTAATCTCTATCCGAAGCTCTCTCTCCCTCGCGCTCTCTCTCTCTCTCCCTCTCTCCCTCTGCTCCTCTCTGATCTATCTCTGTTGGTCACCTCTCCATCTGCCCGTGTGATGGGAAGCTTTCAAGTGAAGGCAACCGGCGTACGATTACTGTCGCCTTCCACCGAGAGCTTAATTTTCCCCGGTTGGGGGGGGGGGGTGTCATAATCCCTTCAAAAAAAATTAATAAATAACAACAATAATAATAATAATAATTCGGTCGCTCAATCCACGACTGTTTTGTTTGTGTGCGGGAGTCGAAGTCGTTGGGGCGCA